CCTAACCCTAACCCTAACCCTAACCCTAACCCTAACCCTAACCCTAACCCTAACCCTAACCCTAACCCTAACCCTAACCCTAACCCTAACCCTAAAGTTTTAAAATAATTTATAAATTTAATTAATTTTATATATAAGCTATTTTTATATTATATTCTTTATTTTTAAATTTTATTTTTTTATTAAATCTTTTTAATATTATAATTAAAGAAGTTAATTAAATAATTTACCTTATAAAAGTTATATTAATTATTAATAAATATAAATTTAAAATTAAAAAAAACCCTTAATACTTTATATTATAGGTTTAATATATAAAAGATATTAAAAAGTTATATTTAATATAAAATATTTATATATTATAAAATTATTTATTAATATATTAATAAATAAAGTAAAAAAAGTTAAAATAGTAAATTATTTTTAATATTACTTTAATTTTTAAAAGAAAAAAATAAGCTTTATAAATAAAGCTATATTTAATATTATAAAAGACTTTAATATAAAGTATTATTAAAATTTTAAATAAAAGTTATTAATTAAAAGAAAAATTTATAAAATAAAGCTACTTTTATTATTTAAAACTTATAAAAATTTAAATATATATTTTATAAAAAAAGGTTTTTATATAATAAAGAAACTATACTTTAAAAGTTATAAAAAAATAGCTTTATAATATAAAGGTAATTAAAGGATTATTTATAAAAAATTTACCTTTAATTATATATAAATATATATATTGTAATAGGGTTAAGAATAGGGGTATAAACATTATAAAAGAAAGAGTATAGCGGATGCTTTACTTTAATTTTTTTTATTGCTTTTATATATATAAGATATAGGTTGCTCGGGCGTAAGCTAAACTAATTAAGACTTAATAAACAGATTATAATATACCTTAAAGAATATACATTACTTTACCTTTTACACTTATTAATTAAAGCTTTTTATATATTATTTTATAATTCTTAATAAAAGGGTATAGGTTTATTAATTTATTATTATTACTTATCAGCTATCCCCTTAACTCCCTTTATAATATAAGTTTAATAAATATAATTATTTTATAAAATATAAAGCTTAATTAATAATTTAAAAAGATTAATAACCTTATTTAAATATTAAAAAAATATATACCTTTATATTAATAAAAAGATTATTTAAAACCTTAATAATAATAATAGTTAAATTTAATTTAAAATTAAAGTAATATAATATAATTAATATTTTTATTAATATTAAATTAAATAAAAAAATTTATATAAAAATACCTTTAAAGTATAAAAAAAATAATACTTTTTTATAGCTTTAAAAAGCTTTATATAAATTTAAAAAGTTTTCCCTTTTATAATAAAAAAAGTTAATAATTATACTTTTTTATTTAAAATATATAATAATATTATTTTTATTTATTAAAGTTATAAAAAAGCTTTTATAATAAAATTAATTTAAAAATTTAAAATTAAATATTAATTTATAAATAAAAAAAACTTTTAATAAGTTTTAAAAATTAAAATAATTAAAAATTATTAATAAAAGTTAATTTAACTTTTTTAATTTTTATATATTAAAAAAATTAATAAGTTTAATAATTTAAAAAAAAAAGAAATATTTAATTTTTATAAAGATTTAAAAATTATTCCCTTATTAAAAATTAATTATAATTAATAAAATATATATTTATTAAAAAAAAAGAATTTATTATATATATTATAATAATTATATATTTAAATATTATATTTTTTATATTAAAACTTTTTTAATTTAATTTAAATTTTAATTTAAAATATTATTATAAAGTTAATTAAACTTTAAATTATTACCTTTAAATATAATATTATACCTTTAAATTTAAAAGAAATAATAATTTTTTATTTATTAATAATATTATTAATTATAAAAGTTTATAAACTTATATTATAAAGCTATTTAAAAGAATTATTAATTAAAAGATAAATAAATAAAATATTATAATTATATTAATTATTAAAGTTAAACTTTTAATTTTAATATAAATTAATAAAAAAGTTATATTTATTAATTAATTAATTAAAAAATTTAAAATTACTTTAAATAATTAATAAATTATTCTTTAATATAATAATTAATAAATTATTAAACTTTTAAAAAAAAATATTTATATTAAAAATTAAACTTTAATATATAAATATATATAATTATTAATTATAATAAAAAGTTTAAAAAAAAACTTTAAATATTATTTATATTTTTATTAATAATATAATTATAAATAAATTTATAAAAGTACTTTTAATAATTAAATAAATTAAATTTATAATTTAATTAAAGTTAAAAGATATAAAAATATATATTTTAAAATAAAAGTAAAAAAAGATTATTTAAAAAAACTTTAATAGCTTTAAAAATAAATTATTTAAAGAAAAAATAAAAATTTAAATATTATAAAAATAATTTAAAAAATAAATTTAAAGTAAATTATAAAATAATTAACCTTAAAGGGGTATATTAAAATAAAGGATATATTAATAAATAATATAATATAAGGGGTAAGTTAAAATACCTTTAATTCCGGAAATCTACCTTATAAAATTATTAGTATACGCTTTAGGGGTAGAGCAGAATTTGCTTAATAACAATATATACACTTCTGCACCTGCAATCAACTGGCTCGCCTATTCTGACATATGTCCTCTATTCTAATATGAACCTCCAATCAACTAGCTCGCCTATTCTGACACTCTTCTCCTTGGCTCCTTAGTACTCTACCTAGCACCTTGCTAAGACGCCTTGCCATCTCTGATTTCCTACCTAAAAACCAGAGCGCCTTTATGCAGGTATTGGCCCGAGTCAAGGTCTCCCGGTATTCCTCACTTTCTTGGCCTAGGATATCCCACTCCTGTCTCCGTAGGTTCTCCGCCGCGCTCAGATGATATATAGATGCCTTGGTGAATGCTCTGACAAGCAACACAGTCCAAGGCTCTGTCAATATAGAGCCCTCGCTGACAGCAAAATGGAAACCCGGTAGTTGTTCTGCGGGCATGTTACCGATTTCCCGAGGCGTAGTAACTCTTGCAAGATCAGATAATTCCAGGGCACTTGACTTTTTAATTCTCACTGTCATGTTAATACTGAGACGGTTCAGGCTGTTTTCTTCAATTCCGAGCCCATTTTGATCGACGAACTCAATTAGTTCAGCAAGCATCAGTGCTCCCAAGTGCCAAGGGATATGGATGCATGGGAACCAGCTCTTGATTCGCACTGGAATAGAGTCATAGTTCTTAATCAAAGATCGGAAAAAGGCCCCATGTGATAGGTTCCAGTATTTGTATATCTGCATCGCGGCCATGATTATTTCCTCGATCTCGGAACTTTTTTCTCGCTTCCTTAAGGCTTTCTGGAGATATGAGACATATCTGAAAAGTAACACTTTGACAGCGGCTGATCTGGCAACAGCCTGAATGGCCGAATCATATGGACATGGCCAAATTAGTGTTGAGGGGTTTCTAGTGTTGTCCCCGGCGAACAATTCAAGATCCCAACGATAATTGACTGGTCGATCGACTGTATTAGATGAGCAATACGTAGCTTCATGTTGGCAGTCCTCGTCTGCTACAACAACAGGCCGCTCATTCATTGACGAAGAGACGGTGTCGAACATGACTGCAAGCCAATATAACTGGCCGATTGTAGTTCTTTCTTCGAGAGTAACCTTTGAAACAGCGTGGTTCTGTTGTTGTGAGGGAAACCCATTGTTGTATCTAAGGACTCCTGCTTCATTTGATTCAAAGTGGCATTTCAGGACCTGCATTTTCCGACTTGCTCTCTCTGTGAATACTGGAGGTCCATCTTGGGATATGATTTCCATGATTTGTGGCAACGACAGTTTCATGTCGGTAAAGGTGCTACTCGGGGGTCCTGGAAGGCTGGTTCCAGAGTAGTTGGTGGTTGTCCATGGTCTTTGAATAAGACCGAATATCAATTCAGCATAGACGACCCTGTACGATTCCAGATTCGCGACACCTAGAAGTGCCTGCTTTGCTTGTTCCCAAAGCGAGTGTTGAAGGCTTTCCTCGAATTCATCTGCAGAGTCATCGGGCATGTCTTCGGACTCAGCTGGGTCGATAGGGTTTAGAGAGGCTGAAAATATATCCTCTCTTCGCCGACGGCTCTGGGACCACTGAGTAGCAAATGCCATTATAACTAAATTTAGGGCTTTCGAAGTAGCCTGGTTTTCGGCGTAGGTGAGTTGGATTAATCCTGTCGATTGAGCGATTCGATCAAGGTGTTTAACGCGATGATACTGCGTGCATGATAACTTGTTAGTCAAGATCTCTAGACTTAAATCGAGAGAACTCGCTAGATGATAAGACATCAGGAGACGAATTAATCAGGTATGGAAGACTTATACATACTATTGAATTTAGTCCCATTGCGCCTAGTTCGGGTGTAGTTGACGCATCTCTGCCAGGATTTGGATGCAGTTCAGTCCTTCTCGATTTCATCTTGTACGGACATACATCCTCAGATAGCCAACATTCGAGGTTATTCTCGAGCACGTCATGATATATTTGAAGCAGGTTTTCTGTGATCAAATGGTTGTTACAATTTATCATCACTCTTTGGGTAAGACCATTGGGGGAAGTTGAAGTTGAAAGGTTTTCAGGCTGACTACCGCTGCGTCGACGCGTCCTGTAGTTCTTTCTTAGCATCTCTCTCCTACGATGTGCGGATTGCATCGAATAACCGGAGTTAAGGGGCATTGAGTGTGAGTGAGATATTGCTGAGATGGTTGTGAGATGATCAAAATCTGTGCCTTGTGAATATGAATCCAAGTCCAGATGAGTGGAACTGTAATCTTCGGCTGATTGAGGAAGATTTATGAGCGCAGTTCCACTCCCCAGTGTGAAGTTATCTGCTCCGGTGCGTAAGTCTATTTCTTGACTGGAACCAGCATCAAGATGTGGTGAGATATCTTCTGATACAGCCTCCCCCAATCTAGGAAGGGAGGTGTCCCAGTTTAAGCCCCAATGATTTGGCGAGGGCGTTGGTAGCAAACCCGATGTGCCCCCTGAATTTGTGGATATACAATCGTCTCGGTTATCGATTCTCCCAATTTCGTCTGAGAAGCCACCCATCCCAGATGGGGGGGATCCTTCACCTTGAGATGTCCAATGTAAGTTCAAACTGCATCGCTTCTTTGTCTTAACGCAGTAAGAACATGGGAGAACTTCATCCTGGGGATCTGCGGTCAAGAACAAGGTAACGTTAGCTTCCCAAATTATGAGAGGGAACTCTAGCGACTATTCGCAAGCTGCACCGCCATACCTAGAGAAAATCCCGGCCTTTCTCGATTATTGACCAAGTAGCCGTCGCAGGCTTTCTTGCTTCTCCTGCACTGGTCGCATGAATGGTTTTGACGCCTGGCTCTCATAAAGGACATTGTCTGGCGTACGAGAATATGAGCTCATAGAGAAAAATCTGGCTCCGCAATGAGCTGAGTAGTAGCAAATCTTAGGCTGCTATTCCAGGAGATTAAGGACAAGGAGGTGCGGAAATGGAACATGTATAATGAAGGACCCATTCCATATTACCGCAATGCAGTTCTAGTCTTCCCCGTGCGGGGTTTGATGCCGCTCCCCATGGGGTTGTGACGCCAATGAACTAGTAATCTGCACATCCTACCGTTCTTGTAATAGCCTACCCGCGCTACTCTAGACAGTACTGTCTAGAGATCCTCCACAAAGCGATCTTATTGGGTACGAAGTTAGAACTAGACCCATTGGTTTAGTAAACATTGGTCATGATCAGAGGTGTCAATACCTACCTCATTGGGTCTTAATGCGTTGTCATGCTCCACAAGAGCTTATTACATAAATCTAGCGCCTGCGAATAAGAGGTGTTGCGGAACACAGTAACGGTATATATTTCTACTTCTGTCCGACAAATACACTATGTTAAGAATACAGGAAGAGAATGGGAACAAGCAAGCTAATTATTGCAGTCAACTTTATCAGCCTTGGACTCAACTATCTCCTCCAGTAGTTATCCAAGGCGTGATCAATCAATTCCAAGCCCCAACTATCCTACCTTGCTGGCTTACTCTATCTTTGTAACATTCTTGCGATTGTAATCATCATCACTGTTTTCGACTTTCATCCTTCCGTGGGGGAATGACAGTTGACAGATCGCCAAGAGGTAACATGAACGGGAACTCAACACATGAAAGGATCAATGCCACGAAGATGTACCAACCTAGAAGGGAGACTACAAGCAACAGCCCAGCTCCAACATGCTGTAATTTCTGCGCCTTCATAGGAAGACCCTGTGCCACGGCGAAGAATGAACCCGAGAGACACGCAACTGTTTCAAAATGTTATTCATCTGCGCTTCTGATTCATGTCCAAAAAAAAAAAAAAGGATTCTCTTACACGTTGGGATGAGGAGGAGTAAGAGTACGAAAAGCACAACATTCGTCCGTATGCTTGCAACTGTATATACGGCAGAAAGCAACGTCATAGCCACCAAGAAGAAGGAAAATGTTGCGTAAAACTGCGCCTCATCCAACCCTTGCGCAGCAACCCCAGATGTCGAGTAGAGGGCGTAAGCTCCATATCCAGGTACAATAGTGGCACCGAAGGTAAGCCAGAAGCCTCCGAATGTCAAGAACACAGTAGCTGGAAAGGTATTGCCTCGAAGTAAGCGTCAGCATGATGAAAATAGATATGAATGCGTCAGTGTTGATTTACCCAGAATCCACTCGCCAATTCCTCCAAGAAGGACGAGAAGACCACCAAGGAAAAAGTATGAGCCGCTAAACTACACCTTAGTTATGAAGTTCTATACCCAAGGGCTTATCTTACACATTTGCGCCACCACCGAATCCGCCTGCCCCTTGCCACTCAAGTAAGATCATGGAGAGGGGCGTCGAGCACAGTAGGAACCCACTCAAAGCTTTTAGTGCAGTTAGTTTCTGACTAAACCTGTGATGTGAGGACTTAGTTTGACTGACCTATAGGTGTCGGGTTACCAAAGGTATGACGGAGTTGTCCACTGACGTGGTTTTTAGGCGCCAGGTAGAGTTGCTCAAAAAGCTCGGGGGGCATGGAGATGGCGCCTGTTGTTTTAACACGCTCTAGCATCTCGTCACGATGCTCGCTCTCGATCTTGAAGTCTCGGTCAGACATAGTGTTTCAAGTGGTAATAGGTTAGAAGATCAATAAAATAACAAACGTGACCTGCCAGGAACGAAGTTTAGGATCACAGGCATCTTGAACATATAGTAGAATTCCCCCCCCCTTGTTCGAAGCAGCGGCGGAACCCCGGACAGAACCCCGGACTTCTGACTCCTTAGTGTACTCTGGGGAAATGTAATCTAGATTCTTGCGGGGTATCGAGCTAAACTGACATTGGTTAATTTGAAGAGTTTCAGAAGTAATAGATCTAATAAAGTATTTCAACAGCTCCATTGGCCCGATAGGTTTCGACTGTCTTGAACAGGTGGAGTGATCGGGTCCGACCGCCGATCACACGACAGCGCCATCAAGCGGCTCCGCTCTAACGATCGGGTCCGCGCGCGGCAATAGCCGCGCCTCCGCAGTTTTCAGAGCCTCCATCTAGGGATCGCCCATGAATACTTCCAATATGGAGATAATACGGGATCATCTGGAGGAGAATAGTAAGACACATGAATTGAGAGCAAAGAGCACAATTACTTAACACATTGACATTCCTAAATACAATTCGAACATTTACACATCTAACTGCCAAACATCATTCTCATCATTGTTATCGACATCATGGCCACCGTCCAAGTTGAATCTGTTCAGCCTGTCCCCTCACACATGCGATGTGTGCCGGGGTCCGTCAACATCAAGGTCGCCAAATTCCCTAATCCAACAAAATACATCGAGGATCTCGACCCCTCCAAGATAGCCTCCAATCTGGTGGAAAGCTTCAACAAAGCACTGAACAAGCAAGACTATTCGGCTATATCGAGTCTTTTTGCAGAAGATAGCCATTGGCGTGACCACCTTGCTCTTTCGTGGGCCTTCCGTACTATTCAGACGCCTTCACGTATACTTGAATTTCTGCAGAGTTGTGCAGAAACCAGGGACGGGTTTCGACTAAAATCTTTAGATGTCGACGCCAGCACAGCAGTCAAAAGCCCAAAGATCGTTCCCGTCGATGCAACTGGGAACGTCAGCGGTGTTCAATTCTTCATCAAAACGACCACTGTTCTTGGAGCAGGTGTTGGTCTCATGCGTCTTGTGGAGCAAGGGGGCCAGTGGAAGATATTCACATTATACACCAGACTCAATGAGCTCAGCGGACATGAGGAGGTAACCAATCATCGTCGAGCCAAAGGTGCTGAACACGGCGGCAAACCTGGTAGAAAGAACTGGGCGGAGAAGAGAGCGGCTGAGGCTAATATCGACGCTGGGAACGAGCCGGCCGTCCTAGTGATTGGTATGTTACGCGCACGAGAGAAATTTAGTTCTAATCATCTTCTAATGCTTCGATTTCTAGGTGCTGGTCAAGCTGGATTAACGGCCGCGGCGAGGCTTAAAGCGCTTGATGTAGATACCCTTGTTATAGATCAAAATGAGCGCGTGGGTGACAACTGGCGAAAGCGCTATCACCAACTCGTCCTGCACGATCCAGTCTGGTATGATCATCTACCATATCTCAACTTCCCCGCACAATGGCCCATCTTCACGCCAAAAGACAAACTAGCTCAGTTCTTTGAGTCTTACGCCACTATCCTCGAACTCAATGTGTGGACAAGGACGGAACTTGTTTACACCGAATGGAGCGAGGACAAACAGATCTGGACTGTAGTCGTCAACCGAAAGCGCGAAGACGGCACAAGTGACATCCGGACTTTTCACCCTCGTCACATCATTCAAGCTACTGGACACTCTGGCAAGAAAAATCAGCCGTCCATGAAAGGTGTCGAAAATTTCAAAGGTGATCGCCTGTGTCACTCGTCCGAGTTCCCTGGAGCTACGGAGAACAGCCATGGCAAGAAGGCTATCGTGGTTGGTTCTTGCAACTCGGCCCATGATATTGCGCAGGACTTTTTGGAAAAAGGTTATGATGTCACTATTGTCCAACGATCCAGTACTCATGTTGTGTCATCCAAGGCCATCACGGAGATTGCCCTGAAGGGAATCTATTCAGAGGATGGACCGCCGGTGGACGACGCTGACATATTACTTCATGGCCTACCGACATCCGTCTTAAAGGCTATTCAGATCAAGATTGCGGAACAACAAGCCGAATGCGACAAGGAAGTTCTCGCAGGGTTGGATAGAGCTGGATTCAAGGTAGACCGTGGCCCCGATGGCGCCGGCCTCTTCTTCAAATACTTCCAGCGTGGTGGTGGCTATTATATCGACGTCGGGGCATCTCAGCTCATTGCGGACGGCAAGATCAAAGTCAAGCAAGGGCAAGAAATTGACCAAGTACTTCCACGCGGGCTTCGATTTGAAGATGGCACCGAATTGGAAGCCGATGAGATCGTTTTCGCCACTGGGTATCAGAACATGAGGACTCAGACACGAATAATGTTTGGGGACAAGATTGCGGACCGCGTTGGTGATGTTTGGGGCTTTAATGGTGAAGGGGAAATTAGAACCATCTGGCAACGGAGCGGGCACCCGGGGTTTTGGTTCCATGGTGGAAATTTGGCCATGTGTCGGTACTACTCTAGATTGCTCGCGTTGCAGATAAAGGGGCGTGAGGCAGGGCTGTTTCGAGATGGCGAGGTTTGATGCACCATAGCCAACCTGGTGGAATGCTCTTTCAACTTAGTACGCAATAGACAAGTGCCCCTAGCTACGATGACATCAATAACGGCCTCCAGCCTTACTTATCAACAGCCATTTGACAGTCCCTTGAATGTCATCGCCAAAGAGTTATAGATTCCGCCACAGAGAATACTCTGCAATAGCTGTGATGTCGAACGCAGGTGGGGCTATATAATAACCGTTAGACCGCTTGAACGTCTAACGGCGTCGTTTTTGATGTTCGAGATGTGAACTCATCTTCGAACGGTTCCATCACTTTGTCTGCCAATCCTTTAGTGCGCCATTTGTGGTGAGTCTCAACGCCATAATATACCTTAAAGTGCTCCTAGTACTCAGGATACCATCCCGCTTTCTCCCAGTCTATGATGCTGGCAATGTGATAAGCGCCATGCTTGTCTAACGATATAGGTTAGTGATATTATCTATGGTAAGATCGCCATGTGTAAGATAAATATTCCGAGTGTTAGGAAGCTAGTCCCGATATAGGTCTTCCAGGACTGAGAGGAAGATGTATAGTGAAACTCATAATCATCGCGCGAGATCTTTGGCGGAGAAGACATGGTGGTATTGGAGACTGGGGCATTAGAGGATCGGTGTGCTTTCTCCACCTGATCTTACGTTCTAGATTCTTTCATCAGCTTAGAAGCTGTATGTGATGTCACCTGTCAAGCACTTCATGATGCTCCTAAACGCGGGGTCATTCTATACAATTTAATTGGCGACATTGTGTTTGACAAGTGACAAACGAATAGGTAGCCCATACAGGCCGTGGAGAGTCACGGGGTAATGAAGTGTTGAATGCAAGAAACGGAAGAAAAAAAAGAAAAATGGTTCGTACCGCAAGCTGCCCAGAAGACTGTCTTGTTCTAAAATCGAGCAGTTCTTTATTGGCAGCGTGTCAAGCATCCATTGGTAATGAGACAAGCATATGGCAGCTGTGAGACCAGTGATCTACCTAATGCCGACAAGACAAATCTCACGATCTGCGGCCAGAGCCCTGCTCGTCGATAGTGCGCGGATTATTCTGGATCACGTGACACTCAAAGGTGCGGGTGATGCGTTGACGACTTGGGGCACAACCTACATCACTGATAGCATGTTGACAGGTACCGGGGACACAGTCTTGAGGTAGGCTAGCGTATACTGACTACGTAGTACAATCAAATCACTCGGGCCAGTAATATGGACACGAACAGTTCTAAGAATGCATGGCAATATGCTAAGGTGGTGCTGATCAGTACGAAGGCGGATGGAATTGCTCCCGAGGGTTGGGGCCCTGTATAGGGGCCTCCATTCGATAGTAGTTGCGTGAAATTATTGGAATTCAACACCACGGGCTGACAAGGCCGGTCGGTTGATGCATCTCAAAGACTGAATATTTCCAGGCCACTAACATGGCCAGAGGGCAAGCGTATCATCGCCGGGTACATGAATCCTGCCAATATTCTCGGCGGGTGGCAACCTACGGTATTCAAGGCTTGAGATAAAGAGTGTGTGATGTTAGACACATTAGAAAGAGCCATATTCTAAACAGTGCTATGACTAGCTGACATGCTGCTGTATAAGTCAAGTGAGAATATAGTTTCATTCTTGAGATCTTGATGTGACACTACAATGAATGCTAAAGCATGACATGTGGTTTTGTTCAGTAGAGTTGAAAATATACCCCTGAAGAACACTGATAGAAGAGATACATATATAAACAACTATTAAAATACCTACATCCTTAAAAGGGTAATATCATCTGACTCTTCGAGCTGGACCTTCGTAGCGCGTGCCTGAGCGTTCTGCTCCTGTAAGCTCCTAGCATGCATGAAGTGATTCTTGGCATTCTCGTCAAGGCCGTGGAACAACATTGCCAGCGCGCTACTCTTCCATACTTGAGTGGCCGACTTTCTAGACTGGTAAATCATCGCAAGAAGGAATATGGCAGCGCCAATAACGACGAAGATGGGCACGATAGCGAAGCTCCAGCGCACCTGCACATACGATTCTGTGTACACCGCACGACCAGAAACCGGTGCAGCGCCCGAGAAGCTACGGAAAGCAACTGTCATTGACGTCGCTGTGTCATTAACGAGAAGATCGAGACCATTGGCGTATTCATAGTAATTCCAGTAGAACGCTGTCACAATGTCAGAGTCGAAGAATGTCTCGCCGCTCGATATGCCCACTGTGAGATTTACTACGACGCTGTTGTCCGTGATGGTGCGGTTGTAAGCCGAAGTACTGCGAGAGGCGGACCCGTTAGTGAACAATGTAGAGAACCATCCACGCATGGCCAGCATTGCCTCGATACTAAGCTTGTACTGCGTTCCGTCTTTGCCATCAACATAGACATTATGGTCATAGCCATCGTTCAGATCAGTATTATCGAGGACGGTAGTATTTGTCCGGATATCCACTGTCTTCTCATCCAGAACACCGTTCGAGATCGTAGTCTCAAGTGTTTGTACACATGCCGACAACGTACACTGTCGTGCCCACGGGTTGACCTCACCAGCGCGCCCGTTGTATGCTTCAGTGCCCATGAAAATAAGACGCACGATTGATGAATGTGGCTGGTCGCCTCGTGCACTTGGTATCTGAGACGTCATGCTGAAGACCTCTGTGCTGTCGGCCAGTTCGGCACCCTGAGGTACCTGCCACCCACAATTTCCAGAAGCCCTTCCTGCGGCACAGTATTCTTGGATAAACGGTGTTAGATCGACACATTGAGCACATACGCCGAGTGTGTCATAAGGATCAAAAGTACAATTCCCACTTTGACAATCAAAAGCGAGCGACGCCTCAGGACGACCATTTTCAGCGAAGAGCCCGTTATAGACAGCTGACTTCAGGGGTAAAATGGGCACGAAACCAGCTAGCACGCTAGTCAGCCATGAATGCAATCTCGAGTCCAGGGAACAACTGACTTGAAGAACTTGTTCCAGGTAAAGCGCCGGTATAATTAAGTGCTCGGGAGACACTGGCTCCTTCGAGGCTCTCTGCTTCCCTCGTCTGATACACAACAATTTGTTGAGCAAAGGGGCCCAGTAGCAGGACAATGATAGAGACAAATGCTCCAAACGAGCCAAGCAGGCTAAGTAGCTCAGTGTCATTACCATGTGCTATGATGTCAAACTAGTAATGGGACACTCTTACCTTCCACGATATGTGAACAAGAGCTTCATCGCTCCCCAAATGCCGCGGCTCGCCTCATCGTACACTTCCATGTCAGAGAGTCGCGTTCTCGACTTCTTGAATCGAACCCATTTGAGCTGGCTCATACTATTCTGCAGCGACATGTTCATCGCCGAGGCCGTCACAGCCGCCAATACGGCGATAAGAGCGTTGAGTGTGATATAGTAGGGCCATTCCGGAAGTGCATGTCCGTTGAACTTTGCCAAGACCCCTATCATCGACCCAACAGCTCCAAAGGCAATGACCACAGAGATGATCTCCGGGATCCATGAGCCGCCAGTATTCAAGGTGAAGCTTTTCTTTATAGAGCTTGAACTAGATGGTAAGAAAGGTTTCCCTGAGGAAATATGAGTCGATGTCGTACTTTCGCTCCATCCACGATGATGCGAGGGATAGTTCGGGGAGCTGCTGGGGTACGCATGGTACGACGAAATCTCTTGAAACTCGGATTTCTGTGCGTTCAATTGGCCGCCTTGTGTAGGGGAGATGTATGGATGGTTTGGCGAGATCACCTGTCCCTGATTATTGTATATGAAATACTCTCCATCAACATGAGTGTACGCCATGGTCAACCTGGAGAATGGGCTCTCGCGCTTCACTGAAACGGAAAAAGCTGCAACGGCCACCACCCCGCGAAGCGGAACGGCAAAGAACTGCCTTAAGGCATCCTGATATTATATTTCACAAGACCTTCGATTATCACGCTAACAACATTTCCCAAAGGAAGTCCGACGTGTTGGCAGCAGGCTGTGTACGCCACCCAACCGCATTCGTCCAGTCGCACTTGGCACCAGAAGAGAGTGTGTCACTACTGCATGTCGAATCAACAGCTCTCTCTATCGCTGGCGTCGATGATATATTTAGCGCAGCGTACAGCTTACATCGTACTCTTGAGGTGTGGATTACGATTATGCTGATCACAGCTCGTTGTTGCTGTTGGCTCGCCAGCGTTCTAGATGGGGTCACAATGCGACATTGGACGGCGGACCATGCCGTGATTATAACCCTCCGAGTTGTGTGACCCCTCGACTGTCCAAAGCCTGTTTTCGCTCGGTCGCGCACGAAGATTTCGGCTCAAGTATCTTACGCAGATGAGGCCTACGGCGTTGTTAAGAGGAGCTTGGCAATCCGACCATCTTCTTGGATGTGTACGCTTTCTATTTTGACTGGGTGTAGGTCCGCCCTTATCTATGCTGTAAGGGAATTCGGTATAGGCAGCTGGGTGGTATTAATAGAGCTTAGGAGAGCCCCGTCCTGGAGGCTAATCAGCTGAAGCTGCATATCGTCATCATTCTCAACTCGGATGATAGAAGAAAGTGATCCTGAACGGCCTAGATCATCTAGACGGATAATGGGTGCCTTGTCCGTTCTAGAAGGTGTGACAGGGTCGAATACGCGTGCGCAATAAAGCATGGCATAGTTGGCTCGTCAAGACCTCAATTATCGCCTAGGGGTAAGCGCTAAGACGCCGCATTTTGCTTTCTTTTCTGTGCTGGTCTTACTACCTACGTAGCCCAAACGAGCCACGGGTTGCTTCAGATCGGTGGCGCACCACCTTAGGATTTTCTTGAAACTATGACAGCCCTATGGTTGCGATCATCGTCTCTTGAAAAATGCCGCCAGCACTCTTTGTCGAACGCTGCTGACACTGGCAGCCGGATTGATCTCTGCGCACGCGCCCTATTCGATACAAATTGGTATGGCAGATAGCGACATACCTAGTAGAGCCACTTGCCCCCTCTATATATATCTCTCTCCGTGTGTGTGTGTGTGTGACGCGCGGGCTTATCTTCATAAAAGGAGACTCTCCTCTTGTTCAAATCATCGAGTACGGGTCAGGTCCTCAGCATTGGCTTGTTGAGGGAGGCATTTATGTAGCTAACGATACTTGGCGATGCTTATATCCCATGATTGTCCGGCATTAAAGCCTGGAGTCCGCGGGTTGCGCGCAAAATTAGTGGGCACCCGGCGGCACACGGAGCCCGACTTCTCACATTTCAGATCTTACCCAGGCTCGGACTTAAAGAGCTACGACGGGCCAGAAGTTAGAGGGGATAACGTAGCTCACGAGAGAAGTCGCATACGAATAGATTATTAGCAATGTAGTGTATGAACGTTCGGACAAATGTCGAACCATTTCTCGAAGCATAAAAGGTGACTGATGCGCAATGAACAAGAAGATCAAAATCGCCACTTCATTATATCACCCATCACTCCAAGCCTACACAACAACAACCATCAAACTTCAATCCCATAACTCGTATTATGCGCTATTGTCAAATGTAGCCAACGTCTCGCTTTTGCAGTTGATCATATACGTTCTCTTGAATCCTTAAACTACCTTCGTTACGTCCCATACTACATACCAAGATGTCTTATACGCGTTCCGCCATTGTCACTGGCGGTACTATGAACCTTGGTTATCATGCTGCCATGACCATTGCCCGTCAACATCCGGATTGGCTTGTTGTAGTTTGTTCAAGATCTGATCGAGAACATGCAGCTGAATCAATCAACGAAGCCTTAAAGCAGAGCAATACAGTTTTCATGCCCCTTGACTTGTCAAGTTCGAAGAGCGTTCGCGACTTCGCAAGGAATTGGTCGGCCAAGAATCACCCTCCCGTCCAAGCACTCTGCCTCAATGCTGCTCTGCAGTTTCCGGGCAAGATAGTTTATACACCTGAAGGTCTCGAGGCTACCTTCGCCATCACCCATGTCGGCCACGCTCTCCTGTTCCATCTCATCTGCTCTCATCTTGCACAGAATGCGAGGATAGTAATCACCTCCAGCGGAACCCATGATCCCGCTATCAACAGCGGCTTGCCCGTTGCTATTTACACAACGGGCGAAGAACTAGCTCATCCGCCACCAGCGATTGCAGAAGGGCCGGGCCGCCGACACTACGCTAACGCCAAGCTTGCCAATATCTTGTGGACATACGCTTTGCATAAGCGACTCAGCGAGAAAGTTCCGGATCGCAGTATCACCGTCAACGCTTTCGACCCTGGTCTCATGCCAGGTACGGGGCTTGCGCGTGAAGCCAGTCCATTGATGCGTTGGGCATGGGACAAAGTCATGCCCAAGATCACGCCGGTGCTGAGGGTCACCTTCACTGACAACATCCACAGGCCAGAAGAATCGGGTGCTTCGCTAGCTCGTTTAGCTATCTCGCCTGGGACTGAAGGGATCTCTGGGAAGTACTTTGAGGGTACAAAAGAGATCTGTTCAAGCAAGGATAGTTATGACGAGAAGAAGATTGAGGACTTGTGGCAATGGACCGTCAAGTATTGCGCGCAGGATGAGGCTGAGGCGGCACACTTTGAACAATTGAGGTAATTTTAGTTGCAGTATAAGATCGTAAGAATAGAGATTGCAAAGCAATGAAAATGTCCCAAGCTACACGCTGAGTAGGATAGGTAATAGCTGGATGTAGCCGAGTTCGATCCTTGTTTCAAGGTCGCTGTAATTATTAAGTATAGAATCTAGACTTTTGTATTAATAGGACATATTAATAGGACATAGAGGTACACTCCAGGAATCAGTAGTTTCGTGTGACAAGGACGTAGATCAGGAAATTGAAAAGAGATGTGGTTTCAATGTCGACAGTTACCTGCTATCTACACAGTAAGCATAATATCAGCGAAAGTACTCATGAGATTGCTCTGGTTACTTGCTGTCAGACCACATTACCTCTGCCAAGAAAGGACACTGGCCTTGGCAACGCTCAACGCACTTATTATCATACAAGAGTCAGCCCTTCCAGATCATCTTCATTCTTTGGCCAAAGCTGTCCCCTCATGACACCGTGGACATGAGCAATAGCTACAAATCTGAACTCATTACCTCTGCGTCTTAGCACACATGGCACGTCTAAGCCCGCTAGTAAATAGATATCGTCACCTCTGCAGCTAGTGTTGAACGCGGAGCCGAAATAACCGCTGTCGAGGGTGAAAAAAGCGTAGTTTGCTTTGTAGTTCACATAGCTCTGAACTGTCTGAGTGATTTGAGCATTCTTTAGATCCCCGCCGACGGTAACCCGTCGCTGCGGTTGCAGTTGGTCCTCTGTTGCGTTCTTATCTGTTCCAGACATCGCACCATCATCGAGAAGTGCCTTATACCATAACATTAGATGCTCGCCATCTAACGGTCTCCCATTTAGAAAGTATCCATGATGGTTCGTGATTGCCCGCAATCCAGCTAACACGGGGTCTTCTCCGGTCGGATAACTTCCAGTTGATGCAACCATACGACACCATTCCCTACAAGTGGAGATGAAGTCAAGAAAATGCGAGAGCTCACTCACAGGGTGAGCGCCAACATACGCACCAGCACTTAGCGCTTTGATGCTTCCTATACGCGTTCCCTTGACAGTCAGCTTCCCTGGCGTGTGTGGGATAACGTCTGTAGGAGACGCAAGCGCCCCGCAACAAGACGATATGGCTGAAGGAAATTCGCCCCAACACACAATAGCAGTACCCGTGATATCGCTGCAAGTAAGTTGACCAACTGCCTGTCCAGACAGCCAATCGGGAACCCACGAGGGCAAACCAGTCGATTCACTTGGAGCGATGGTTATGCGCAGGATGTCAAGCTTCTTCTTACATTGCACGTAAGCCCTTGCCGTTTCTTCGAGAACTTCATTAAGAGGCCGATCGTAGTCTGGATATTGCAGATGTAGGCCGCGAGTGGGCAATATCGCGTATAATCCATAAACCTTATCATGGGGGATCGAGCATTGAAGCTTACACATGGCTTTCAGAAGCTGAACATCATGCATGCTTTTGAAATCACGATTCGCAATCCCTTCAGCGGGATATAAGATCTCATCGGTTATTCTACCCCTCAAGTATAGTAGCTGTGCATTCGCATTAGCATGGTGACTGGCACCCGCATCCCTCATTCCAGCAGAGAACGGACTCCATCCCATGGTAGATGTGCCGCACATGACGGTACATCTACCGTACGTGATAGTCTCTTGCATGGTCCAGATTCTTGAAAACCACTCACTACCCAGTGTTTCCATCAATTTTGCAAAAGCAGGTCCTCTTACTCTCGGTTTACCGGGTGCACCGGGTCCATCTGGCCATGCCAGACTGACCACATACGGCTTTATAAGCTTCCCCATCTGACGTATCACACGTGGGCCATCCATGACAGACCAGTACTTGAAGATGCTTAGCACTTTCAGGTATCGAAATACCCGCGGCGTTAACTCATCATTGCCGGGACCTAGCCAGACTATGACACCATGGGCTGAGCGGTAGAGATCGCCCATCATTGCCACTTGCTTGTTACGCTCTGCTGTAGCAACTGCATCGGTGCCCTGGTCGATGCAGATAGCATCAATCCATAATGTACGCTTTCGAAACAACAGGCGCAATTTGGTCAGCGCTGCAACACAATTAGGCGTGACGAATAGGGCCCGACCGTTACAGATGATGGGTTGGGTACCTCGTCGTGCACCCCAGACATAGGAGAGTGCCTCGTAACGAGCTTCTGGGCTGGCCAACTGAACATGCCGAATGTTGCATCGGACTGGAGCTTCTCGGTTCAGCGACGGAAGTAAATCGAGGATGCGGATCGATGAGGCGGTGGCCAGAGGCTCGTGTTGATAGGCATGAGTCATTTTATGCCCGTCATTACAGAACGAGCTTAGTAAGTACCGTTACTGTTATACATAAAATGCCCTTAAGCCATTGACCCAGAGATAGGAACAGGACTAGCTCGTTTAGTACACTGCACAGCTCAAACGTGGTGTTTTGGCCATTTGCTTACGCGCTCTTCGGTGCTGTCCCCAGTCTAGGCTTTGATCCCAATCAGCCTCTCTTCAGACGCATTGCCTCAAAGACCAAATTGGGTATGCTAGCAATCCTGAGTGCAAGTCTCTAACCAGGTATTTGTTGTTGCAAGTTGCGTTTAAGCTGCTGAATCGAGAGACATGGCCAGGCTGGCAACTGAGGAAATGAGGGGCCAAAACGGAATAGATTCCGCTCACGCAACAAGGACTGGGCGATCACCTCAACCACCTTCCACACTGGACATAAGGGAGAGAGCTTCAATCTATTAGTGCAACCCTGCAGCGTCTATTTAGGACAGGAAGTGCATGACCTTCCGTAGTAGACAGCTCGAGTGAAGTTATGCCATCCATTGGACAATCCGCACATCATTTGGGACATGGAATGAGCGATAAGATGCGGCTCTCTCCGAAGTTCGTCTACCTGACCTACCTAGAGACCCGATGCTTCGGACTCCTGGGCTCATAAATTATGTCTTGCCGAACACTGCTTTGGCTGTGCGTTCTCGAACGATATCCCTCAGTCTAACATTGCCACTCAAGATACAATGGCTCCCTTCAGCTTGTTTCTCACAATAGCGAACCTGCTCGGCTCAACACTAGCCATCACGGCTGCCGATGCCGCATCACACGTTATCTTCTCATACCCAGGGACTGCGCACCCAGCAAGGTTGACAACTCTCGCAAAGAAATGCCAAATAGGCGGCGTCATAATCTTCAGAGATAACGTCGACAGCAAGCTTCCCGCATATCTCGCCGGCCTACAAAGTGCATACGCATCAGGCGGGTGCACAGTGAAAGGCCCACTCCTGATCCTCACTGACCAAGAGGGCGGGCAAGTCAAGCGACTCCCTGGCGGCCCCACGCTGTCGGAGAAGATGATCGGGCAGCAATCGAATCTCGCGGCGGCGGGCAATACCGCAGGCGTCCAAGCCGCGAACGCGCTCAAGGCGTACAATAACAACGGGAACCTCGCGCCCGTGCTCGACGTGTATCACGCCGAAGGCGATTTCGAGGACCAATTCGAGCGCTCGTACAGCAACGACCCTGCCGTCGTAGCCGCGTGCGCGTCGGCGTTTATCAAAGCGCAGCAAGGCCTCGGTATCGCCGCCACGGCGAAGCACTTCCCTGGTCTGGGCGCGGCGTCGGCCTCGGAGAACACAGATGCGCGCCCCGTGACGATCACGCGCAGTTTGGCGGATCTGCGGTCCATCGATGAGGCGCCATATGCCGCTGCTATTCAAGCGGGCGTCAAGATGATCATGCCGTCGTGGGCGCTGTACCCTGCGCTAGACTCCGAGTATCCCAGCGGTATCAGCAGCAAGTGGCTCCAGGGCGAGCTGCGCGGACGTCTAGGGTTTGAAGGTGTTATCATTACCGACGCGATTGAAGCGGGTGGATTGAGCGGGTTTGGGACAGACTCTCAGCGCAGCGTTCTGGCGCTCAGAGCCGGGGTGGATATCATTCTGGCTGCGGCAAGGGATGTCAGCCAGGGAGAGGGCATTGTTAGCGCGCTGGTGAATGCTGTGAATTCAGGGTCTTTGAGCAGCTCTGCCTTCTCGGCTTCGACGGCGCGGATTTCTGCCTTGAGGAATGCATTGTGAGTTGCCACGTTGGTGCTCTGCGCGAGAATGGCGGATCGGTCGCACTGCTAGAAAGCTCTCTGACACAAACAATCTTGAATCACTGTGATTCGCTGACTTAGGTCTTAGCTGAGGTGAGGGATGAAATACGGTGTTGCAAGACGTTAGCTAGCCTAGTCGTGTGGACGGGTATTCAATATGAGTCTCAGTATCGGTCCCAGTCAAATGGACAGCCCAAACAGCCGGACTTCGTGATCCCTTGCATCTTTCCAGGTATAACGACATACTCAGGATTGTTGTCCTCTCTGAAACTCCCGTCCATTCCACCAGTGTGTACTGTGGAGCCAACAATTCGATGGCGAACCATGTTATAGGTTGCCGTGCTACAAGATATTGCCGCTGCTCGAGAGTCGAGGACGAACTATTTATTTTTAGTTTTTAATTGCGTCTCTCGTTTGGCGCCATTTGATCAAACATGTGCAAACGGGCTCTGCACTTCATTCAATATGAGTGCGGTGGTAAGGCTTTCTATATACAAGAGTATATAATCAGGTGCTCTTTAGCTTTCGATCCCTTAATTCATACAGTATATGAAGTAATTTTTTTGATCATACACACTTTCGGTGCGTATAGTGTATTACGTATATGCTTCAGAGACACGACCTTGGTATCAGAAGGACAACAAGGAATAACCATCATGCGATATCGCAGCATCACCACCGCCGTCGTCGGAGCGGCAGGTTTGGCTGGGGCAGCAGTGCGATTACCCTGGAATTTCTAATAAAAACATTAGCTGACTGCTGCTGAAGGCCTCCGGTGATTTTGCCAAAGTGGGTTCCGGTCCTCCCAATGGATATACAGTCGAGTCCATGATCTGGAAGGGCGCCATAGAGAAGGGCGGCCCCGAGCTGTCATTTAACGGCACGATCGAGGTAAGCTAGTTTCACCACAAGCCCGGCACACGACTCGCCTCCAACTACATGGGCTCGCAAATAGCTCACGGTTGACAACGCACAGGAAGTAACGCAGCGTATCCGAGCCGTCAAGAAAGACTTCACATGGGGTCCCCTCGCTGACTCTGGCCACACCATCGAAGAACGTGACACCAAGGTATTTTCTCCTTCTCATCCTCACAGCACACATCTCGCTAACCGCGACTCCCAGACCGGAATAATCTGCGGCGTAGGCGGCGAAGACGTGTCACCGCACGGTCCATTAACAGCGAATGCTGAAGAGGCAGGCGACAACCTCGGCAAGATTACGGGAACCTGCGGCGTACCCGCTGGACCGAAAACTTGCTCTGTGCTCACGTGTACGAGGAATGCCGCGGTATGGCTGTGCAACGACAACGACGGTCCCATTGCGCCACCATGTAGCTCTCTCGCCTCGTACGTGGCGGACATCACTGGGAAGTGCGGCCAGGATTATTACCATGGAGTAAGGTATTGTAAGGGCCAGGAGTTCAGTTCGGACAATTACAATGTTGTAGTTGGTTGGAAAAGTCAGTGCTGAGTTCTTGTGATATGGTCGATGCAGGCGAGAAGTGTGAATATCGCATTGGCAACAGAGTGAAACATGACTTTCACGTTGGGGATAGGTTCAAAATCTTGAGTCTATTTAGCATAGAAACTATCTACTGCTAAATGTGAGTCGCCTTCATTCGGAAGGGCACTCTCAAACTCGGTAATAAGACGGTATGGGTATCATGTCGACTATCAACAATTGAGGCTGTTCTCGCTTCTCCTATAACAGCACCATTTCCACATGGCGTCGCCACATGTGCGCCTACGCAGAAGTTTCTTTGCGGCACAGCACCTCCCGATTCCGAGCTGTCATCGGCATATGTAAACAACCTACCCCCTCCCAGCGGCGCGTAGCGATATATGCCTGTCTGTGAAGCCGGAATACTCGAATCTTAATCAGTGCCAGGATCGCTTGCTCATAGCCTTCGGTTCAATTCCAGTGGGAGGTTTTGACTCAGGAAATGAGACTCATGGCCTCAGCGATTTGGCTGTCCAGTAAGACCAGAATAAGGAGGTTATCATCATTATTTCACCGGTGCCTTAGTCTTCTTTTCTTTTTTGCTTCTATTTCTCTTGTCCTTTTTACTCATCTTCTCTTTCCGCCCAGACTTGTCTTTCTTTTCTTTCTTTGACTTTTTACGTTTCGGCAGTGACTCAACTTCAGGCTCGGATTCCTCCTCGGATTCCTCTTCCGAATCAGTCTCTTTGCTAGGTTTCTCATCCGGCGTTGTCTCGGCTATTTTTCGTTTCTCTCCAAGCCGAGATGTCTTTAACGACGCCATTGCACGTTCCTTTGCAATCATCTCGGAAAGTTTGGTGTTGATTTCCTTGTTATCCGCAAGATCCGATCGTATGCTACTACATATTAGTGACAGTGTATTGGGGCCGCATTCGAGCAAGTAACGGGGATACAAAGAAGTGTCGTGGTTATGGCAACGCGTGGGTATAATCAAAACTGACACCAACAACGCAAGCGTGTAGCGGGGGGACATGAAGGGGGACAAGGAATGGTGAGACGGACAATCGGATGGCGGCCTCCTTGTTGAGACTCTGTTCGGGCTTCTGCGGGGGAAACTCGATGGTTTTTATCTTGTCAAAATACTGGCGCACTCTGGCTAGCTCTTTGAACACGGGGTGTTCCTTTGCATCCACTCCATTTAGACGAAGGGCAGCTGCAGACATCATGTTAGCGCGAGATACGGCCGAGCCCATGTTCGGGAAATATGGCTCACAGAATAACATGGACTCTATGGAATACGTCATGAGAACATAGAACTTCGCCTTGTCGAGGAGAGGAAGCTTAGAAGCTACATCGGTCACGTTGTTGATTAGCGGTTGCAGTGCGTCTTCGAGCAGGTCAACAGCATCGTCGAGACGTTCCAGTGCCGGTAAGATGTCGGCGGGGTCCATGATGAAGCGGTGTATTTAGTATATGGATATAGACGTCGTCGTCACGATGAATACTTGGCTGGGAATGGCGCTGTTGGTTGGGAATTGGAATGGCGATACTATCGGACTTGGGTCTGAATAGGCACTTTACCTAGGTACTTGCTTAGAGGTAGCTGTTGGGACGAGGGCAGCGACTCTCGCGAGAATTATGGCGGTGATCAGTGGCAGAAACGTTATCTCGGGACAATGGCTACAGGGGCATGTTCACAGGCATGTTACAGGCATACAGCGAGACAGGGTCACCAAAGATAGCGTGGTTTAGCGGGGGAGCAGCCTGGGAGCAGGGGAGCCAGCAGATCTGTCTCCACCACACTTGCCAATTGCCGGGCGTTGATTGGGCACCTGCGCTAAGAGTATAATCCTGGCCGCCGACTACACTCGCCATGGCAAAAAATTGATTGAGCTAAAGCGCCTAGTCGCCGTCATGGACATCGCGCAGAATAACCATCGCTTCACTCACTCACTCACTTCCCTTCGCCCTCTTCTTGCACAGAGAGGAAAGAGAGAGAGAGAGAGAGAGATCAACCTTCTCCGCTCTCTTTTCCTTCTATCACTCATGTATTTTTGGTCTTGATGACTTTGTTTCCGCCTTAGAACGACTTAGTTTCTGCTCTAGATTCACCTACAATTTTGAGTCTCTTTCTGCGAGCCTACCCGCCCATGATATTCGACTAGACGTCCCTCTGAGACCCTGACATTCTCTGCAAAGCCTGTCGTCCTGAGCAGGACCCGGCTCCCGATATTGAGATGATACCAACTTAATTATTGCGACCAAGTTTCCATCCTGTATTCCCACATCGTCCGCCGGCCGCTTTCGCGGGCGCTACCGCGAATACCTCATAGATCCTCCACATGGCTATGCGATAACCCTGATGTGGGCCGGGGGGCCAACAAAGCACTGTGCTTCTTCATCTCGACTGCTGCTGCTGCGGCTACGGGATCTGTATCATCATCATATGGGGGGCCCTACCTGTCCCCTCAGGTTCATCGCCCTACAACACCACCATTCCAGATTCCCTCCACCCCGAAAACCGGGCCAGGCAATTCAGAGTCCTTTATACCGCCAGCAGCGGAGCCGGCCTCACTCGAAACAGCCGAAACAGATGCAATCGAATTCAAAGAAGTGGGATCAAAGACAACCGTGACTGAGGCAGACAATATTGAGAGTAAAGTGGACGTCAACAGGGATAGCGAAAGTGTCCAGGAAGACCACCCGAGTACCACCATCGAAACAACTCAGTCTCTTGCAATAGAGGGTCAAGAAAGACTAGGACAGAGTCTTGAAAACCCCGATGTTGAAGCCGAGGATGTAAATGTTTCGCTATCCAACCGAATCCATATCGTAGGCTTCAATACACATGCCAAGTTTCTCGCCCATGCATTGGCATCTACACGCGAGGTACCCGTCCAGATATTCTCCCGCAATCGCAGGAATTTGAGCCAATGGGGTGCAGAAAACCGAGCCCTGAATCTATACGATCTCCGCGGGCGTTGGATTTCTTCCACCAAAATTCCATGTCCACAGCCGATAATCGACCCCCGGCGTCGATATCCCGATGGTGCGAAGAAGCCTGGGTTTTTGGATAACATTATCATCGATGCTGCACCGGGGGCGGTCTTCCCCTCTATTGAACTGCTGCGTCCTCGTATTGATCGCCTCACTACTATATGCTTACTACACCCTGGACTCGGTTTAATTGAAGACATTATTGACGCATTTTTCCCTGATCCTTTGGACCAACCAACATTTATCCTCGGCCATAGTACGCATAACGTGGGCAGGTACTCCGATACTCTCTATTCTCTGAAGCAGAATAAACCGGGCACTCTTTATCTGTACAACGTCCCGAAATTCCGAGACTCGACACTTGCCAGTTCACACATAGCCCGTGAGGGACTGCAGTTGTCTCACCATATGATAAAGCTATTGTCCTTAACCCAGACTCTGAATGTCGTAGGACTGCCTGAGACCAGGTTTCTATTCCAGAAACTCCCCTCGGTGATTTTCCACTCGGTAGCTGATTCGATATGTGTGATTCTCGGCTGTAAATACAACCAGATACGACCGAACCGTGATGCCATGGTCATGTGGAAAGATCTTCTCAATGAAACGCTCTACATCGTCTCCCAGCTTCCCGAGCTACATGTGATACCACACAGTGTTGAGCGTCTTACATCGCTTACCTTCCGACGGAAGTTGGAAGCGTCTCTTTTCGCGCAGCACGCGAATGCGAGTCCGTGGGTGAAGCAGGTGCGCATCGGCGCCGAGGTGCCCGTTGACTATTTCAACGGGTACTTTGTTCGACGAGCCAAGGAGCTCGGGTTGAATCACAAGCACAACGCCATGGCCTTGGCCCTGGTGAAGGCGCGCTTAAGCGCCAGACGGTTGGAACTCGCCAAAGACTTGCTGGGCACGTTCCAGTACATGGGAGACACGGATACCATTGGGGGCGCAGAGTTCAGCCCTAACGACATCGCAGAGGAGCTCGGCTTTGACTAGATCACTACTTTATCATCGGCTTGGGGGGCCGGGGCTTGGCCAACTTATAGAGGCCTTGTACATGCATACATACATCCATCCATACACTGTATATTTGTTATATTGTATATGTACGAAACGCAATAGAAATACATCTCGCTTTTGCCGCGGCAAACAATGTTTTCTTCGGCCGTTGACCCCCAAATAGCGGCCAACAAGGTATAGTTGAATGTCACAGTGAGCATCTGGGATTATTTGTGAAGAAACCAATATCATTGTCTTTTTTTTTTTTTTTTTTTTTGCTCCATGGAGAGTGCTGTATTTATACAAAGGCGCGATGTCCGACATCATCTACATCAGGTTATCGAGACCAGCTAAATGACTTGAGCATCAAAGCCGCCAACGCTTGATCTCCGCTATTTAAAAGATAGCCGAGGTGATATAGGCTGTTATGGCATTTGGCATGATATATACATCAAGGGGGGGAGATCGTCGTAAAGCAAAGCAAAGCAAAGCAAAGCAACGTAACAATGTCTTAGCTCAGTCTAAAAGAGGATCTAAAAGAGTAGAATGTTCTCGTGTCTTCGTTATGGACTAAATCTCGCATCTGACAGAGAAGAGTGGCGAGTACGTGGGTGGTCGTTCCCATCTCCCCCTCCTGAATAGTCCAGTTTTTTCCCCTGCTCTCCTCTTCTCAGCAGACAACAGCCAAAACACACGACACAGGCTCCTTGGTTATGTTGTTAAGTTTAGTACTGCTTAGCAGCAGCCTGGCAGGCCTTGAGCTGCTCGAGGTACCAGTTGCAGATCTGCATGTTTCCGTTGTTGTCGTCCATGCACTTGGTGAAGCTCTCGGCGGCACCGGCGCAGTTGTTGGAGTACTGCTCGTTGTGGTTCTGCGTGTTCGTCTGCTGGGGGGCGGCTTCGGCCGGGGCGCTGGAGCCGCCGCTGAAGAGACCGCCGATGGCGTGGCCGATGGATGAGCCGACTGCTACACCGCTGGGAGGAAGTTAGTCTTGAATTGCGGACTGCCGGGGAAAGGAACGCACGCTGCGGTGCTGGCCATCTGGCCAAAGAGACCCGGGCCCTGAGATGCGGTGGGCGCGGGCGCGGGCGCGGGCGCGGGCGCAGGAGGAGCCTGGGCTGGGGCATATGTTGTGGCAGGACGAGTCTGCTGCTGCGTGGGCGCGGGAGCAGCGCGAGCGGGAAGGGAGGGACGGGCGGGAGCAGCAGCAGGGCGGCCGGCGGAGCGTTGACGAGGCATTTTGAATCAGTGTTTTCCGGGTCTGGTAGTGGACAGTAGAAGGTAGAAACAGATGTAGGGTTGTAAGGTTGAAAAAAGACGGGGGATTGAATCGATTTCTTGGTCCGTTCGGGAAAATAGGAAGAGCAAGCAAAAGTTGCAGGGTATCTCGGCTTTAAGAGGGGAGAGAAGAAACGGACAAATGAGAGAGCTCAGGCTAGAAGCTGCTAGATCTACGCCTCAGCTCAGTGGTCAGTGTCAGTCACGGAGCTAGTATACATTGGGACTAGTGCATATAATGGCGAGCGGTACGTACCCTTCACCTCGCCCAGACTCGGCTCCAGCATCTGAATGCCTCGACGCATGGGAATTAATGACTAGTTCGACAGCAGCCATTTCTCGCTTGTCCGGTCCCTTGTAAACGGACCGATCGGCTCCTATTGACAAGACAATCACCTTATCAATGCTGTGTGCAGCCCTACCCTATCCCTCTTATAAAGCAGTCCAGAAATTCTTTATGGCTATGGTTAACTTCATGCCTGAGTTAAGGAAGTTAAACTACGGTAGGGTCTAGCTAGAGAATACGCCTACGCCAATGTTTACCCCAAGCCCTTCACAGGGGTAGAGTGGTCGGGGACCCTGATCTGGCCGTCAGCAACGACAGAGGACAGAGGCGAGAGCGTCGCCGTCAAGTTTCCACCGCTCGTGGATCTTGACATCAAACTCAATAGCGGCCATGGCATGAAATTTCGCGCGGCCGTCAGCTATGACACCGGCATAAAACTCAGCCGCCTAGTCCCGTCCCAGTCGCCCAAGGTGCCGTAGTCGGCCTCGCCAGTTGCGCTCGACGCGCACCTTCAGATTCACGGCTGGCCGATCCGATCTCAGTGATGCCAATATATGAGATGCACATGTGGACGCAACCAACTGCAGCGACTTTTACTGGCTGTCATGTCGTAGGTCCAGGCAAGCAGAGAGGCGGAAGTTGACTATGGTGGCGCCCTTGTTGCTATAGGTAAGGTGAGAATAGCCCAAGTCGAACCTCTAAGCAGCTTACCTCTCAGCAATACTAGATAATCACTTGTAATAAATTTATCAGATACAACGTGCCTATCTTAAAAAGCTGTGCGGGCGTCAGATATTGTAGGACCAAGATCCTTCACGGAACGAAGTCTCTTCGGTACACTGAGAAGAGAAATGAAAACCCGTAACCCTGGGAGGCCCAGAGTGTCCCCTGAATCCGTGGCAACACAGATTTAATGCCTAGATAGCCCAGCGTGAATTGAAGACTTTATAAAGTTCTTTCGCTCTATATTCACTACTTTGGGACAGTATTCTATTTACAATAATCCCATTAATCTCCAACTTAAGCCTGATTGCCTCAAAGGCGGTGCCTCCGTTTTATCTTCTCAACATATTCTTCCGCTCCTTGAGGATTTAGTCCAAAAGCGAGCCGTGCCATCTCATACATCAAATTAGTATCCGCTGTGAGAATGCGACCTAAATTTGTGAAGCAAGCATATATCCGCGATGCAGGACTATCCAGGGTGGCGGCGAACGATCCTCCAAGCGGCCGACCGCTCGTCTTCAGCTCCCCCTCTACATCTCGGAACTTTTCCTTGTAGATTTCTCGAGCGGCATGCTGGCGAAACACGTTCTTGTAAGCTATGTGACTAGGGTCATATAGGATGTCTTCGACCGGCCCTAGTAGTGGAAATGGCATGGGGTAGTGGATGACCTGCCACGGTGCGGTCTGGGCAAATTCCCAGTCTATGATAGCAATGAAGTTGAATTCCTTGTCCACTAGGATGTTCTGTGTGCCGAGATCCATGTGGTTGAGAGGAAACGATCCATCTGTGCAAGTACTGCCGAATAGATCGGTGGTCTTCACGATGTCGAGAAAGACAAAGGCCCCTAGTCGAGTTGCTGGGTCATTGGCAGCAGCATTCCCGAGAGCAGTGAAATAGTCGACCTCCCTAGAAAACGGACCTAGATCCCTGAGTCCGCCGGCGGAAGCCGTAGCCAGTTTTCCAATGATAGGCTCCTTGGATTCGGAAATAGATGAGATAGAACCAATCTGAGGGTAAGCCAAAGTCGCCAGCTCAGCCTGTACCCTGGTCCACTGGGCAATTATACGTTCTTGGATTTTAGTCTGATTCTAGTTAGACACCACGGCTTAACATCCATGACGAGAAGCGCCACTCACGTCTAAATTGCAAATGTCGAACTCGACATCTTGCAACGCATTTCCGTAGAAACCCTCTAGCAACATGTATGGGGCCCCAACATGAGTAGCCAGCTGCGATCCTACGCCTTCGTATGCATACACACATGGAAGAGAAACCGCACTGAGTCTCTGCCTAACAAACTGCATCGTAGCAACCTCACATGAAATGGCATAGGCCTCATCCTCTTCAATCACTGTCATGGGAGTGTTAGGATGACGGGGCAAACGAACTCTGGCAATGACGAGGCTTCTGTCTGCAGCAATCATCTCGAAGCAAATCCAGTATTGGCCAGCCGAGAACGGCTGGCTCATGGTGAGCTTCTGGCCAGTGATGCGCTCAGCATGGCGGACGAGCGCGCCCTTGTCGATTTGCCTTAATGCTGTCTGCAACCGTTCCTTCATACCGTTGTAATCCCAGCCAACAAATGAACTCCATCGCTTGCTGGGTAGTCTTTCGGAGGCTTCGAGCGCTGCCATTATTATGATGTTAAAATCTTAAATCTTTAACAAGCATCACAGATCTTTCATTCAGCTGGCCGCCTAAGAAGGGGAGATGTGATAGTCGTTGGATCACCTAGAAAATCAACCAGGTCATGGCTACTCAACACGCTCATAGTTTTTATCCTACTTCTTCCTCGGCGAAGGCAACTCGAAGATAATAACTTGGCGTCTATTGGCCTGAGTAGAATTGCCTATAGCCGGGCATCATCTGTCTTGCACATCTTTAACCACGTACCTACCATCAATGAGAAAACGTCGGATAGGTACCTACGGTACTCGCCTAGGTAGGTTTATAGGTGAGCGGTCAGAGCTCGTAGTGCCAATCCCCACTAGGTATACGACCCACTGTAAGGATCCCGGGAGATCATCAAGCGCGGAGCCGTGGTGTGGGGAATGCCATCGGCCTAACCTTCTGGTCATTCGATGTTCGTACCACGATCCCTTCACCAAAAATTTGAGATTGAATAGAAAGATTTGATATTTGGTCTGATAATCACAAGTCTGGCCAGTCTCGAAGCGCATCAACTGGGCAATACCGGCCCTCGCAAAAGGGAGCATTGGCCCCTCTCGACCAGATGGCCAAGATGAAAGCTCTCCAACCTGGTCTCCGATCTGTGCGCCACAGTCGCAACGTCACGAGCATCATCCCACCTCGCTGCTCTTCACCAGCCCTTCTCCTCCCCATAACATCATCCTCGACCTCTCCCTGTCCCCAGCCAACTACATCCCGCAGCTGCTCGCCTTCACAAACTCGTCCATTCTCCGTCCTCAACCGCCCGCCACCGAATTACCCCGGCCATGTCCCTCTAACAGGCATCGAGCGAGCCGCTCTAGCCATCGGCTCAGGCGTGCTCTCCTTCCTGGACCCGCGCAGAGGCGATCTCATCGCCGCCCTCGGCGAAGCCACCGCAACACCCTACTTCGCGAACCGTCTCCGCCGCGCAATGCTAGCATCCCCAACAGGCCGCCGAATTCTCCGCGACCGGCCCCGCATCACATCGACCTGCCTCGACCTGCCTCGTCTCCGCGCATTGCCGCCGTCCACGGTCGGCGCGACATACGTAGCATGGTTAGACCGCGAGGGCGTGACGCCCGACACGCGCGCCGGCGTGCGCTACGTCGACGACGAGGAGTGCGCCTACGTAATACAGCGATACCGGGAATCTCACGACTTCTACCACGCCTTGACAGGGTTACCCGTGGTGCGCGAGGGCGAGGTCGCGCTCAAGGCCTTCGAGTTCGCGAATACGTTGCTGCCCATGACAGGCTTATCCGTGCTTGCCGTAGCGACGCTGAAACCTGCCGAAAGGAGGCGTTTCTGGGGGATCTACGGGCCCTGGGCAGTGCGGAACGGGCTGCGGAGCGAAGAGGTGATCAATGTGTATTGGGAAGAGGAGCTTGAGACAGACGTGAGGGATCTCCGCGCGAGACTGAATATCGAGGCCCCGCCTGATTTACGAGATATACGGAAGCGGGAACGGGCTGAGAAGAAGGCGGCCAAGGAAGCTGCTTTAGCCGCCGCTTCTGCGGCCGGGACACCACCTGCTGCTGCGGAGAAGATCTGATCGAAGGTGAAGAAAAGTGAAGGGAAGGTGAGAAATTGAGTAATTGTATAATCAACATGTACTATACTGTACTGTCCTGCCTTGTAATGATAAAATCAGATAGATAGACTTGGAGATAATACCCCCCTGACCGAAAAGTCCCTCCATCCCCAAAGAAACGCCATGCCATGCAATCTTGTTCATCGCGAAGCGAAGCTGCCAACCAAATATGTCTTGTTTCCGATCGAGGTCATCCTTGCTATGCGCTCTCTCTCCTTGGTTCTTTCACGTATTCAGTGCCCCAAGCCTCTCTCCCTTGCTACCAGTGTTGCTTCCCCCCACTTCACAAATCCAACAAGTCATCATCCTCATCATCCCATCCCTTCCTTCGATTCACCACAATCTTCTCCTCCTCTTTATTCTCCGCCACGGCCGCCAGGAGTTCCTTGAGCTGCGCCTCGGTGACCTTCTGCCGCAGCTGGCCTGTCCGCGCGAGCGTGATCAGTCTGTTCTCGATGTCGGCGGCGCGCGACTCCTTGACCAGTCGGATGCGGCCCAGTCGGTCCGCGGCCTCGGGATGCAGGATCTGGTTCAGGATCGATTGGCGGGCTTCGGCTATTTGCGGGCGAGCGTTAGTTAGGCAAGTAAATAAGTAGGTGTCCAGGGAGAATGGAAAGGACTGGGGAGCGCAGGTGGAAGCAAGCCCTGTCGTTGTAGAATTATCTCGAGAAGATTAGCATCGTACCTTCTTGCCTAAATTGCGAGAAGGGTCTGTTAGCATGATTGTAACACGGGGGTTTACACGATGCCGCGCTAAAGCATGCCAGCTGATCGTCATGACCATGGGAGTTAGAAGAACCTACTGTCTCTGTGCTTCAGCTTCGTTGTGTCCGCCTGATGCTCCTCCCTGTGATCCACCTCCTTGCTGTGCTTTGAGCTGCTCGAGGCGAGCTTTGCGGATCTGGGGTGGGTGGGTGGTTAGTTTGGTCTGGAACTCGCTTGGTGGGCTGTACCAAGAGGGGAGGAGGGGTCGCGATGCGATGCGCGTAGTTACCTGTTCCAAATCGGCGTCGGCCATGATCTCTCAGCTCGTGAAGTTGATTTGCCCTAAAATCGAAGTTCAGGCGTCGTAGACGTGCAGGATGCGATCGTAATGTGATGGTATGATCATGTATGGTGATGTGAACGGTAGGTTTGTTGGTTGGGTTGTGGCAGCTTGGGAATTTGTGGTGGGGTAAATTTGCGATTATCCCACACAGGTTGGCTGTATCTCTCAAGATGGCCAGCCGGCTTTCCAACACCACAGCATTCCACGAATACAAGAGCAAGGCTTCGACATGGAATTGATCATTCCTAGTTATATACATCTAGTCCTAATTGAAAAATGTGCATGACTAGGCTGGCCCCTCAGCTTTTCTAGCTCGCCCAGCTCGTCGAGCTCGTTGTTCTCGTTGTTTTTCAAGACGAAGAGCGCCTCGATCCAGAAGTCTCCATCCAACTGCCTCGCAATTTTAGATTGCTGTCGAAGTATACACTGGAAGGGGACTGAGTTACAATTTCGGTTATTGCGTCAGATTCAGATAGGTACTGTACTTAGTAGTCCCGATATCACAGCGCAGTGTTTGCGAAGCTTGGAAACAGGCAGTACGCAAATGGCACATTTAGAAACAATTATCCCAAATGCTCATATCTAGGTCTAATGAAGATTGGGGCATATTACTCAGGCATGTCTGATCTTGATCAACCATACCCCCAGGTTACCTGCGCCCGCGTGAAGCTTCAAAAGTCAAGACCGTATGTCGTCAAGCCTCGTAACAGCAGATGATAGGGGTATATCCCCTAAACAGCAACGTCAAACTTTCTACCAACAAAACGAGCGGTTCAGATACGACGAACATACCCGCCGAGGCTGTGAAGTCAGCAAACATTACCATTGTGCTGAATTCTTCTATGGCACGTGGTTAATACCATTAGATGTTAGGCGGTATATCTTCATCGAGCACGTCCAACATAGCATAATTACGTACCCACCAAGGCTGCAACGCTCAATAGGTACCGCCACTGCGTGAATTTCTTTTTCAATAGTACGTGGTTAATATCAGCGTATGTAACGCGGTGTATCTCATCGACTGTACTACCATAGCCTTCCCGTCGCTTGCCAAATGCCTGCACCCATGCTTCAGCTCGGGGCTGTGTTCGATGAATGATGAACGTGACCGGTATAGCATTCCTCCAAGTACACCGCTCTGTCAGCATGATAACGAAATCTTGGCCATGGTGAGTGTTTTTATATCACACTCGACTACGACGCAATGCCTACCAGTATCTTCCTCTTTACTTCCACGACCTCCGTGCCTAAGACAAGTCTCTCCTTGTTCAGTGACTTTGTCTCCCGTATCTCGCATCTCGTATTAGTATACTATCAATTGCAACGACGACCATCGCAATGGATGGATCAGGCGAAGCCGAGGTTCGGCAGCGTGTGCCTACATACTCGGGGATCATAACGGGAGACATCCATGGAGGCCTACATTCAGTGAACACCGGCGTCTTCAACTATAGTTCTTTCTCATATGGCGAAACCCCCTTCGAGAGGACCAACCTCTTCAAGTCTCATTCAATGACAGATGCCCAAAAGGTGACCTTTCTAAACACAGTATGGCCAAACTCACTTGGTAACAGGACAGCTGCACGTAGCTTTGGCGACTTGGATTTTTATTTCGACTATGTGAGCCAACAATGCAGCTCTGCAAAGGCAGAGGCTCACGCCATCAAAACATTCCTCGATCTTTTCGTCATAATTCGCATTCTGCAGAGTCAACCCTTGTTGAACTTCGAAAGGATAGTTGCCCAGATCATCAAAGAGCGACCACGTCTAGCAAAACAACTACCAGAAAAGATTTACCATTCCATTGAGTTCGCACTAAGACTCTGCCTGCTTCTGAACATTCAGATTGGGAACTCGTCGGCTATTTTTCAACTACCAAGGCCCATCCAATGGCCCGAGGAGATGGATTTTTCGTCAGCCCTGGCCACGTTTGTTACCACTCACCAGTGCGATATAGATGCAGAATTCTCGGGATTCTTTAACTTCTACGACATGGAGAGAATTGGCGGAATTACAGTGGAATGGACTCTCGATCTCACTTCACACCTATCCATGAAAGGTTCTGTAATCTACGTTTTCCACGGAGTGAGCATCTTGAAGAGAATGCATGAGTCAGCGGAAACTTCGTAAGCATTGCTCCCCGCCTCCACCCCGTTCCCCCATGATAAAGCTATTGCGGCACGCCATGCGATCCTATCGCTAACATTCAGTAGCGGTGCTTTGCTCAACCAGAGATTCATCGAGGAGACACTCGCCACCATTAACCTTCTCATTCCCAATAACAACGCAAGCTGTAACGACTGGCTTAATAATGAGATCAAGCGTTCAAAACTTGATAAAGACATCATCAACCGGGATACGCCTACAATGGGAAAGGGCCGATACCCCTATTGGCAAGACAGACTTGTGGTTATCGAAAAGTTCTTTGATAGCACGAAACCTAGGAACCTACTGCAATGGTGGCGTGATACCCGTGATATGCAGCGGTGGTGGGCATTCTGGATTCCTCTCACGGGCTTCATCATGGCTCTGCTGTTTGGGTTGTTCCAGGGTACAATAGCACTTATGCAATTTCTCAAACCAAAAAGCCGATCAGGCTGACGAGACTCCGCTGGATCGCACAGACACCACGCAAGGTCATCACAAGCTGAAGGACACCAAGTTTCCTTTCGTGGTACTATAGTTGCTGTGCAGACTCAATGGGGTTTAGGCGGGTAATGAGTTCTATCTATGTAGGCTGATAGGAGGGGCGGAGGGGTAAGGGCTGTGCTGTGTAGGCAGGCAATAGGTAGCAGCTGCAGATGGCTCACAACGAAGACCAACCTCAGGGTTCGAGGTAGTATTAGGCGTCCTAGAGCTAAACTAGAGGGGAAGGCAGTTCAGTGTCAATAGACGGCGTATGAGTAATTTCTTGAGCATCCAAACCAGAAATAACTTCATCTACACCGAATGGAGTAATTGATTTCCTGGTCCCATCCCTGTTGTGTAGGGGCTATGCTAAGATGAGGCTGCTACCAAGGTTGTGGCCTCTATTGCCTCAGCTCCGACCTAATTAATATTCTCGAAGTTTCCAACGCACAGTTGGTGGAACTTAGACGACCCGGTAGAATATAAGAGCTACATGAACCTGCTGTATAAAAGAAATCAATAATCATGAACATATTTCTCGCGACTATATTGGGACGCCAGTCTCTTCATGCTTTACAAAGGATAACAAAAACATGGTGCTTCCTCATGCCTCCTATGATTATCTTTACTTGACAGAAAGTTCAAAGGGGGAAAGGGAAAAGCCTCTAACCCCCGTTTGTCTAATCAGCCATTGACAAATTGCATCTCCTCTTGTCTTGCATTATAAGAGATATACCACACTTTATGCCTTTGCCTACCTTTAAGATTCGAACTATATGCCGATTTCCACTCGCTCTCTAGCGATAGCGGTAAACTCCAACTCTGATCTGGATCCCTCAGATACATCATTAGGGGGTGCCGCTGCGTGTTACCATTCTCAAGTCCTTCGTGAGCATGAAACATCACTATATTGCTCACATAAATCATATCTCCCTCGACGGCAGGCAATTTACTACCATTTTCCCCCATAGCTGTGAGCTGTACCGTGTGCAGTGCTTCAATTTGTGCTCGCGTCGGCACAGACATCCCTGCTCTACGCTTGCGCTGCCATCCGGTGATCGGGTAGCGAGAAAAACTGACCGAAACAGGAGGCTGTCAGAAGTAGTATCCTCGGAGTGAATGTGGGTCACAAGTAGGTAGCAGATAGGTCGAGTATAGTGGTATGGATTCAATGGTGTTGATTCCTGGCTATCCTAAGCACTCGGGGCCTTCGCCCCTTTATATATATAATTCCTAAGCTGTATCCGTTCCCTCGGGGTAACTGCTACCCTAATACTACTGTACATTATCCCATGACACAGGCTTCCCCCTGTCTAACATCTGAAGAAGACACAGTTGGCTTGGTGTCATTACCCATGGGGTTTGCACCTAGGAAGGAGATCCTTATCAACCGAACGCTTCTCATACGCCATCTAAGATTATCGAGTCATATAGATGATATGCAGAACTGATGTTCGCTTACGTGTCAACGACACAGGGCTCACTCATTATATGCAAAATATCTAGTCGATTAGCTACCAGCTCCTTAGAAGGTTACCGTAAACTGCTCAAGTTAGTTTGGCCACCTTAGGAAGCAGCCTCCTAGTACTGGAAAGAATCATTGCGCAATTGTCCGTATGGAAGGGCTGAATGAACGTTCTAGCTTTAGTGATGCAACTCTGAGTGCACTGGAAATATCCTAACGACAAGTGAAAGTGGTATCGAAACCTGAAGGCGCCGCTGACTGGATAGGCGTTACCTATAATATATACAATTGGTATATGAACCGTCTACATCTCTAAAGCAGTCCTCAAGTAGTCAAACCTATCTTTCCCGACGTTGCTGCCTCCGATCCTAATGAATTGAATAGAGACAAAGTTTCCTAACACTCTCAGGCCTTTAAGCTCAGATACCAGCCTCTTCATGACTTTATCTACCTCATACGGGCAATTTCCAAAAATCTCTCGAACAGATGACTCCCAAATGCCGCTTGTAAGGATGTAGATAGTGATCGGCTGTCCTGACCAGGTGGCCGAGGGGTCTACTGTGCTCATGGTTTTTGTCGTTATTCGGTCTACAAATATCTCAAGGCTCTCGTTTATCGATGAGGTACCATCAGCGATGTGTGCCCTGATGATATCATCCAGCCTTAAATTCACATTTCTGTGATGTCCAATGATAGGTTCCGATGTGAAGTAAAGCTCTACGGGTATCCCAATAACTTCCAGGAAATCGGTCTCCAGAATTTCAGCAAAAAGGGCTATATCTTTCCATTTTCTTTTCATCGCGGGGGTTTCGTCAACGAGGAATACGTGACGCCGTTGACGTAGGGCATCCAATCTACCTTCCAAAAGAGGTCTGGGAAGTCTGGGGACGCTGCGCAGAATAGGTTCCTTCTGCGCACCGCGAATCCAATTTTTGATATCTATCACCGTCACCTGAGGACCAGTTTTAGGAGAAAGGCCGCGTCGACTGATGATTTCAACAGGTCTTTTTCCGAGATTATCCAGTAAGTGATTATCGAGTAAGGACGTGATATTAGAGTTTTCTGTATCAGCCTCAGAGGGGATCTCATCTAAGATGATAGGTGAGAAATCATCGGCAAGTATTGCATTTCCCGAACCAGCTGAAGAGGCTTTTCCTGAGATGTTAGGTGAGGAAGCGTGCCTGAAGCGCTCAGAGTCTGCTTGAATTAACAATGGCTGTAAGCGGTCTTCCGTAAGCAAAGCTCGTAGCCTTATATCTTCTTGCTTTAGGCCGTCAATAGCTTGCGCGAATACGCTCGGTAACTCCATCATATTTTCTATACTTTCCGAGCTTCCAAACCTATTCTTATCCCAGTTCCATGGAATTTCCGCACGAAACTCACTAAGTAACTGCCTCGCGCTCTCGGAATTTCCCCGCAGTATATGGTGGAGGATAAAGCGAGCCACGAATCCAGTGGTTGTGTTAGAACGCAGGTATGCCCGCCATTCTTGATATATCGCATCTAATTGGGCGTTGTCTGCCTCTTCACGGCCTACCAAAGCACCGACCAGTCCCCTGTTAAGCCCGGTAATGGATCGACCGTCCACGTTAGAGAGCATCCAAACCGCACACTGAGAAACAGCGCTTCCAAATGCCCACATATCAACATGGTTTAGAGATGGATACCTCAACTTTTCCTCAATTATACGCATGGGCGATGATTTCCAGGGGAGAGGAGGCCGAGACTTATGGCATTCACAGGCCTCGAGAATTGGGGCAAACTCCAGCAACTTGAACATGGGCTGCTTTCTTACACCTTCAATAACAGGGCACACCATTATTTTTAGAGCGGACGATCGCGTACAGGGTTCGTCATTGCGCATTAGGTTGCAAATTCGGTTTGCGGCCCTTTCGCGTAGGTCGTGAGCCCTTGGCAAGTTCTGGATTGCCTCAAGCCCTATCAGTGATTTAAATAAGCTGACCCAGAACTGTGCCATGTTAAAAGCATCCTCAGGTGGCTCATTTTGTTGTAGAAATTCCTCTAAGGAGGTACCCGTGTCTTCCAAGATAATTGTGGCTTTGTTATGCTGAACGAACGATCCGTAATAGTTGATTACATATTCAGTCCCGGCGCATATTTGTAGAGCTTCAAATGCCAGGGTCTCTTCTTCCCAATCACGATAGGTGCTTGTGTCTCGAAAGTCTCCTGGTCTGTTGAGCCCACCGCAGTCTACTTCTGTGGGTTGAGTGTAATATGTTTTGAAAAGGAAGTGTTCCTGAAGAAAAAAAAGAGAGTTAATCATGATATTAGTATTACAGATTCCAATGGAAATTCCACTCACAGTAGGCATCACTAAGTTGCATTCCCTATCGATAAGTACTCTCGCAAAAGTTCTCCCATTCCCACTCAAGTGTAGCACTATCTCCCTTACAATTGGAAGTATAGTTTTAGGATGCACAAACTTTTGCTTGAAAAGTGACTCATCAAAGTCCTGAGGACAGAATAGCCACTGGTTCTCTTCAAAGCTATCCAAGAATGCGTCATTATAGGTACAGAGCATCTTCATGTCTGTGCAGGGGAGGAAAGTATCGTCGACCTTGTTTTCGAAGAGCCAAAGAAACGCGTCAGGTTGTTGGATAAACGATAGGATAGAGAATAGACGTATGTACTTCTCAGAGAAGTATTCATAGGATAAGCAGCTCCATTGATCAAAGTAAGTAATGAGTTCCCAGACGCGCTCCTGTGACCAATATTGTTTTAGCGTCGACGTAGTAATATAGTAGGTTTCGTTGCCATCTCCATCAACACCACGACGTTTCATGCGGTTCACGAAGTCCGAAAATTTTTGTTGCTCTACTACATCGAGGGCTCCAATCGGTGCATGTTTGACAGGAAGTTTGATTTGTGCTTTGATATCAGACATGATGTGTTCCATGCTGAGAAAATAGCATTGGTTCAAAGTATCGCAGTTACCGATGAGCATACCCACCGGCTGATGATCACTAACCCCAAAGACCCAAGATCCTGAATCACCTGGAATCGATGACCCATCATTGGCAACGAGGACGGGCTGAGCGAAAGTGTCTGATGATAGACCAAAAACAGCATTTGAAACTGTCTCAGCAGTTATGATCGCTGATGCAGTGAAAATTTGGATCTGGTTCTCCGCCAATAAACATTCGCGCCCCACGTTCCAATAATGAGATCTATTTCTCATGATAATATCGGGATGTGTGATGGCAAGTAGAGCCCAGTCCAGTCCACCATGAGTCTGACTTTGAGCATCGTAAATGCTAGAAATGTATTCCAAGCGACCGACGGTGATTCGGCTTTCAGACAATTTCGCCATAACCCCTCCCGTCCTGACATGACGCATAGTGCGATGTGCCGTTTCACGGGGAGGTGGGCTCGGGTTGCGGATTGTATCGGCGAAGTCACTAATACCATCCCCATATTCTGAAACTTCTGACGTCAAAAATTCGAATTCGGATTCATCAATATCAAATGATTCGATCGGCAAGGCTGGCTTGCTAGGATAGAAAACATGTGCGACGGTCAAAGCAAGTGTTCGATTTCCGACGACGATGAGGCCACCCACAGTGGCAGCACTGAGACAGGAACCACCCTTCCATATCTCCACAAACGTTCCATCTAGATAGGTTGGAATTTTACGGCCACAGATGCGGACTTCATAATCATGGCAACGAAAATCACTGCCAGGTGAGAAGTTCATGCCCCTGGTGGTGTAGCATGTAGGTTTTATATGATGTGGAAGCTTGATGCAACCCCAGCGGGCAAAATTTTTCAGAATGTTGCTATCTATGATAGCTCTGCGGAGTTCTGTGGCCACCCATTTTTGCGCCGAGTGTATGGTTACATGGGGTGAGGCATGGGATTGGTTAGGGCCGATGAGAAAGCATTCGATAGCATAGCCAGTATCACAAAAAAGGGTTGATTGGGTTTTGGGACGACAAGTTATCCAATGCGATCGTTTTTCGTTAAGCAGGCGACAAACAGTATCCTGGAGGAGCAATGAGGTCGCGCGAAGGTCGCCGGTAATTCTCCAGCCAACTATATCCTTTGTAAAGGTAGAACAGGTGAGGCGAAAACTTTCGTCCCCGAAACAGTTCTCATGGGCCGGGTCCGTTTTCTTAGCCCGATGCTGTTCAAATTCAAGTTTCGCGCTTTGCAAAAATGATACTGCTGCCTGATGAGAAGCAGGGGCAGGCGTAGTCATTGTCATCGCCGTCATTGCAATGTCCAGAGTACAAGTACAAGGTGCGATCTTGTACCCGCAGAGCAAGGTCATAAGAAGGATGATAACTGCCTCCCCCTCACACGCCGTGGTAGCTCTACTTATAATAGGTTCGTTGGGGGTAGGTAGAACAGCAGACATAATCGGTGGTGGTGGCGGCGGTGTTCATGATGATGGCTATTGGGTGAGATCCCATGGGGGCGCAGCAAGCTGAAGCATGCATACCAAGTACCTACGTATAATCATGGAATCGAACGGTGCATAAAAGTGCAACTATGCAGGCTCTGGTGGGAGCCTTGTCCTAACTTGCTGGAGAAAAAGATCTCACGGAATAGAGTGGGAATATAGTCGGAAACCGTTACGCTATCCACGCAAAAGATAGAAACGACTTTATTAGGTCGAGACCCTGCGCGCCTACCCCCAACTATATTGATATTGTGACAAATACAGCTGTCGTTTGAACTCTCCGAGAAAGCCCGAAAGGAGGACGAAACCTGAGACCAAAATGTCGAATCCTCCCCCTCAGGCACGTTTCTCTCACTCCCAGTTCTTTTCTCTTGACCCCATATCGCAAGTCGAGAAGGAGATCTTTCTAGATAAAGTATGGCCAATTCTATCTAGTCAGCAGGGATCCATGAACAAAGTTGACGATTTTGATTTCTATTTTAAATGTATCAGCCAAGAGCGCAAACCTGCGGCTGCTAAGGACCACGCCATCACTACATTCGATGATCTGTTCTTTATTATTGGCATAGTCCAAAGTCACGGGTCGTCAGTATTTGGACAACTAATCACCAAGATCCAAAACAGCAGACCCAATTTAGCAACAGTACCATCGAGGCTTTCGAACTCAATTGAGCTGGCAGTACGCGTTTGGTTGATGATGAATATCCGGAACCGGGTGCCGCCTGATCTTTACCAGCATCAGACTTCTATCCCATGGCATGATAATTACGTTCTTCCATGGGTACTAGCGCAGAATTTTAAACGCCATCAATGCGATCAACATTCGAAATTCTCCGAATACTTCAACGCCCAAGATATGAAGAGGATTGGCGGGATCAAAGTGGAATGGACCAATAACCTCGCCTTGCATTTAACTATAAAGGACTCACTAGTTTATATCTTTCATGGGGTGTCCATTCTAAAGAGGATGCAAGAATCTGCTTCAACGTCGTAAAGCCTCCTTCCATCTTGATATCGTCGTTCTTATTTAGCGATCCCAAACTGACCTTTCTTCCCAGCCCATTCCTCGAACGGGAATTCTTCGAGGAGACACTTGCCACTATCGATCTTCTTATCCCCTTCACCAAGGCCAGTTGTGATGGCTGGCTTGCCGATGAGATCAAGCTCTTAGGGCTCGACAAGAACATCCGGTATCGGGATGCTCCTGTTATGGAGAAATCCCGATACCCATACTGGCAAAAGAAGCTTCTCGCAGTTGAAGATGCCTTCGAGAAGTCGAAACCAAGGACCTTCCTGCAGTGGTGGCATGATACCCGTGACATGCAACAGTGGTGGGGTTTCTGGCTTGTTGTTACGGGCATTTTCTTGACAGTTCTATTCGGATTGATCCAATCCGTGACAGGAATCATACAAGTATCTAGGCCGAATCGGTCATCCAGCTGATGAGATAGGACTCGATCACACACGCCAGGGGGGTTTATCACCAGACATATAGCAGCAGCATCAAAGAGCAACAAGTCGGGATGTCAGATGGGTATGTCCCAGAGTGAGTAGAAGACTAGTTGCACTCCAGTACGTCAAGCATAGTCCTCAATATAGTAGTCAATTGATCCTTGGCCTTCCAGCTTCAAGGGGGCAATTCTCGTATATATAGACTTAATTGAAGACAGTCACCCCTAAAGTAGGTTGTGACTCTAGCCCCTGAAATAAGATCTTCCTCCATCGCCATCATCACAACGCCACTAAAGTGAAACCTCATCTCCATTACTACCTACCTCCTTTAGTCACATCAAGGCGAACTCCATAACTCAAACACCTTCACACCAAACCGCGCCACCATAACACTATTACATAACTCGGTATATCCGCAACCAGAATCAGCCTAGTATTTGATACCAGGATTTCCATCTTAAGCAATGTTCCAGATGCGTAATAAGACAGGCCGCACGGAAGCCAGCCAGCCATCCATGCACAGCATATATCTAAGTAGGTATATATGAGACACACATACAAGACATACATACACTAAAGATGTATATATATGTACGTATGTTCTTACCTATCCCATACCATCACATCATAGCCTACCATATAGTTCCTATCAACCATTCGTCCTCCACCTTCATTCACATTCGGGTCCCATCATCCATACTCACACAAAGACACATCTCGAAAACACACATACAAAAAACAAGCACCAACGAAACAAACGATTTAGCAATTAATATCCGATCAGATAAATAGGCTATCAGTTCAAGTCTGATTGATTCTCATTTCATACCCCATAAGCAAGCAAGATAGCCAGTTTATATCGACATATAGTCCAACATGGTGATGTATTCCCGCCTAGGCAGTTCAGGTAGGTATCCCATCCCTTCTCTTTCTCTTCCTCCTCTTCATTTCTCCTTCGCCCTTCTTTCATTCGCTCTCGCTCTCGTGTACGCGAAATATAGTGCTTGTTGCTCCATTCGACTCGCCTCAACTCAGCTCGACTCGACTCGACTCGACTCATGCAAACCCACTTGCTAAATCTTCAACGATATTTGGCTGCTGTCGCCAGCCGAATCCGGCGAAGAAAGGAGAAAGGTGCTGTACGTCCCATTTACATCTCCGTAGATAGAAATTGGGAACCATACACGCAAGTAGAAGCGCTTCTAGCAAAATCCAAAGTTTGCTTTCATGTTCGTAATTCACATACATAGGAGATACTAAGCGTACCGCCCAAATCTGGCTTCAAATGATAAAACAAGTAAATTTAGGGGTAGAAAAGAGGGAAAAAGAAAAGCGGCGGAAAAGGCGAGCAAGAGATTGGCGAATGCAGTAAAAAGTCAATGATGAGCGAGCTTACAGGGAAAAAATAAAAATAAAGTAAGCTTGGGGTATCTCTTTTGTTTCCTTTCAACCAACTTTCAGAACGGAACCGTCCTAACAGATAGAGGATCGCCATATTACGGGAGATTATAACAGCTCGCCGGCTGGGTATTAGAGCGGCAGAAATTCCATCAGGCCGAGGAGGGACTTTTTTCCCCAGCCAAATGATGATTGGAAGATTTGAGGGGTATCAACAAAACCAGAGAGATATCTTCATTCATCAGAGATCCCGTCCAATACCTTTGAAGAGATCGTCGCCTAAATTTGTGTCAACCTTGGTTTCCAAGGCGCTCAATTCGGGAATCATGGGCGGCGGAGGACCAAGAGGCTTTTTGTTGAGGCTTTCAAATTGCGGTTGTGAATGAGTTGACTTGTCGTCACCCGTACTGTCGTGAGACCGTAACCTTCTAAACCAGCCGCTGCTACGCTTCGCCTTCTTCTCTTCGGCCAGCACACTGGCGGTACGGCTCGGAGGCCTAGACATGTTCTGCTGTCCCGTAGTGGTGGACCCTTGTTCATCGTAAGCATGATTCAAAAACGTTTTGCTAATGAGGCGGCGGAGGCTGCCTCGACTCGATAGGGCCGGCGATAGGGGGACGTCGTCTGCCGAGCGTTTGACGCCGACTTTAGTTGTGACAATGACATCAGGTTTGCGGGGGGAAGTACCGTTGGTAGTCCCATTTGCCTCAGCCTTGGGCTGCTGACTTTCCACTTCCCGTCCCTCTTTCGTAGCTACCTTGGGTGGCGGGGGCAATTCTTCGTCCTTGGGAGACGGTAGGGGCGGCGGGATATCGGTTCCATCGGTCAGTGAGCCGAACTTCAAGTCTAGAGCGGGTAGCTCGAAGCGGTGCGGAGTGGCGGTAGATTGCGTAGAAGCTACGCCGTTGGTAGCTTTCTTCGCGGGCATGATTTAAATCCGGAGACGAGAGAGGCGATAAGACAAGGTAAGACAAGACAAGTCGAGACAAGACAGTGTGCGGTACGGTCTGGATCGCGGTGGGCGTTTTAGATGGGGATTGGAGTAGTTGTTTCAAAGATGCAGAAGCTGGGTAGTTCGATACGAGTCAGTCGATATTCAAATGAACTCAATTGAAGGTGGCTGATTGATGTAGGCAGAGAGGCGAGAAGGACAATACAGCTTTCAGAACGTGGTAGTGGACAAGACGCAGTTACACTACGGGCGGGATCGCATGAACAATGTACGTACTGTCGGGGACGGAGTGGTCGAATCTCGTCTCTCCCTTCTTCTCCTTCTCCTCCTTCTCCAACTAGCTAGGTAGTCTGGAGGTAGGTAGCTGGACCCTTGAACGGCAGCTCTCGGATGTGGGACTGTCAAGCTGACCCGGTGAACGGGATGCAGGTCACTTTTTGGGCAGGGCGGGATGGGGTCGTTTGCCGGAGGAGAGGAGGGGGAGAGCAGAACAAACGTCGACGAAGGAAGGGAATGTTTTGTATGGAAGCGATGCAAACAAGAAACAAGATCGTGGACCTGACTGTCGTCTACGCGTAGTCTACCTTACTTCGTACTATGTAAAAGGTGCTATTCTGAATACCTACCAGGTACTAATGATGGCAGGTTGTAGGTGGCGTCTTGTGTACCTGGTAGGTACCTGGGCTGGGGCTTTGGGGGGATTCAGGCGGCGACCGAAAGGACCTACCGGTACCTAGGTACTGTCAGGGGCATGTCGAAACGGGTGGCTGGATCTGGGCTGGTACAGAACACTACCCTGTACACTAAAGTGCCTAGCGTAGCGGTACCTCTGGGATACCTATATTATGCTATATCCACTGTAGTTCATCAACTTCCAGTACACAGCAGCAGTGTACAGCACCGTACAGTGGTGTACCTCATCGCCGCCTCATCTACCGGTACAGTAGGGGTCTAGTCTCTACCTTACCTAGCGCTGCTTTAAGCCAGCTGCATGTAGTATGGTGCCACCTGTTGTTTGCAGCCCGTGCAACACCTACTAAACCCTTCCCAGTAGCACTGAGCACGAAGTTTAGCGAGTTTGTGCTCTGTAGACCGGGGCATCCAGTGATGGAATCAATCAATCAATCAATCAGTCAATCGATCAATCCCCAGAGAAAGGAACTCAAATGCCATGTCTAGAGCAATAGAACAATGCATACCTCGGGCAATGTGACTATCGCCAAAAGAATCCCCGACCAGTCTGACTGCAGAGACGAGAGAGAAAGGGGGGAGGGGGAGGGATGGTGAGATGTCGCCTTGAATGACGGATAGGATCAGTACAAGCCACCAGCCTTAGCTACAGCCTACCCGAGACCCCAAACCCGGACAAGAGATGTGCAAGTATTGCTTAATCAAGTTAAGCTCCATGCTGAGCGCGAAGCTCCCTGGTGTTCAGGTTCATATACATAGGTTCAGGTTCAGATACATACACCAGGATCATCGTGGCTAGGATTCGTCACCTCACGATACATGATACATACAGTATAATCCACCCCGGCCTAGGTATATCAAGACATCAAAAAGGTAAATAAACATGAACATTCAGCATGAGCCCATTAAGATAACTGCCCATATAGAGGTCTTTGAGCACGGTCGCCAAAATATATATCTACCTAATATTGCGTACTGTAGTGCGGGTAGGTATTCCACCTCCTAATACGAACAGTGCACGGCTACCTACCTACTCTAGCATGTTATACCCCAAATAATTTAACCCGCTCCTCAAAAAGAACGCCGTCCAAATGCCTTAACATCTCATCATCATCAATTCAATACTTGTAGCTAAGTACATAACCGACATCCTATAATCGCCAAAGGTAGGGAAAAAAGAATCCCCATTACCTGAACGCCTGGACAAAGTCATGAAGTCGATCAATCACGACGGGCATGATACCATTCAGGGAATCTTCCATGATACGATCGAGATGCCTGATGGCATCTTCCTCGTTGAGTTCCAAGTGGAACCGTTCTTTAACCTTGAACACGGCCTTGTCCGGCTCGGCCTTGATGTCCGGGATGTTGGCGTGCACCATCAGGCTAAACAGGTTTAGGATCAGGTTGGAAGACTTGCGGAGCGCCGCAAAGGCAAGGAAGCAGTACTGCTTGAACTGCAGGTAGACCTCGCTGGGCGGGTTGGCCCCGCCCATGGCATCCGCCATCTCTTTGCTGAGCTTGAGCGCCGGCGCGAACGGCTTGGGGTCGCGGCCGAGGATAAACCCAAAGTCCGCATGGAAGAAATGCCCATCCGGCGCCAAAAGAAGGTTTTCGAGATGCCGGTCACCCACTCCGAGGATATACGTGATGACACAGTAACCCGCGCAGGACTTGGTGAACGTCTCCAACGTCTCCTTGCGCACTCCCAGATATGCTCGGTCATCTGGGTTGTGTTGGCGGAGGTAGGCCAGGACGGGGTTATTATGGAACTTGGACGAGATGGCCGAGAACGTCTGTGACGGCACAAACTGCGAAGCACCAGCCGACGTGCTCGTAGCCAGAATTTTGTATGGCGAAAGTTTGAGGTCCAGGTTCTCCTTCTGCAGGAGTTGGTCCATGAGTGTGATAATTTGGATAACCAATTGATCCTGTCGCAGATCGTCGCCAGTCTTGAAGATAATCGGATATTTGCTGCCCGAGATAGCCTTGAAAGTCACCATGATGGGTGACAAGGAAGATTTGAAAACCCGCGTCTCTTCTGGAACCACACCGACTACCATGACTGAAGGGTCTAGTGGCATAGGTATAGGTGGATCAATCGTCAAAAGCTCGTTCTTCGAGTCAGCCAAGAAAGCCTTGGTTTTCTCCAGTTTCCGTGGGTACGAGTCGCGAGACGCTTGAATGTCTGCCGAGATCTTGGATATCACAGCAATAAGCTCGGCTTGTCGCCTGATTGTGAGCCTTGTCTCTTTGCCCCCGGGGCGGCTTTCCAGCTCTTTCATAAAGTCATATTGGACTTTTGCGTACATGGTGCGTACTTCTTCGCCTTGATCATTGCTCTTGTCGTCGTACTCAACCCCTAGGTACCAATAAAAGTAGTTTCCCAAGGTAAAGTTCTCGACAGCTCGGGAAATGAGGAAGTCGGCTAGTGATGATGCTCGCATGGTAGCCTGGTTTGAGTCTGTTGAGATGTGTTCAAACTTGAGAGCTTGGACAAGCTGTAAGAGATAAAGAAGGAGCTCATTATCGTCAGATTTCCTCAACCTATCCACGGCATACCCTCTTACAACACGATTATCAAAGGTTGGGCCTAGCAATTCGAGAGCGTCATCTACGTCGATGTCTGTCCATTTCCCTAGGACTTGAACGGCTTGTCTGGATTCGCTCTGGTCTTGCCAATTCACAGATTTGACGAATTTTGTGAGAGCACGCTTATCCTTCGTAAGGTGGTAACGAAACTTCCACACAAGATCCTTCTCTTCGGGAGATAGTACGTGAGTCGGAGAATATGACATTATCGTGTTCAGCTCATCGCGCACTTTCGCATTCGGCTTCAAGTCCTTGTCTAGAATTCCATGGCGGTGTTGACTTCTCACAAGGCGTCTATGTTTACTTTCAGCCGGGTTGTCTTTCGCTCCGACCTCGGGGTCGTAGATCCGGATTATGCGATCTCGGTCTTCTGGTCCATTTATCCCAGGACCATATGATACCTCTGGAGGTGGTTTGATTAAGATATTTGATTGTGAAGCAGAAAGATGCTGAAAAGACGAAATCGGCGGAGGTGGGTACTCATGGTCTGCAAAGACCACGGGGAAATCAAAGCGAGGCAACTCTATGTTGAGAGCAAACTTCGATGGGCCAGGTCTAGGCGGCAATCCATTCTCTACTTCAGCTCCCCCATCCTGCCCTACTTTGATTTCTGCGTCTTTAGACGTATCCGATTGTCGTTGGATTGATTTGATCGAGTTCCTAGCAGCTTTCAATCGGCGTCTCTCAGTCCCACGAAATACCAGCTGATCAAGCCATTCAACACGCGGGATTTCGTTCATCTCATGTTTCTTGAATAGTCTCTCCATACGCTCCAGCTCTTCTTCCTCTTTATCGATTACGGCGGGTGCGTTTCTACTCTTTGTTGGGCCCTCCCTCGACTTTGTGGTGACTGCTGGAGTTGATGTGTTCTCATTACCATCGGCTTGTTTGTGACGATGAACAGCACACTTCTGCCTCCCCTTCTGTAGTTGGTTGTCCTTGTCGAATAGCGGCAAGGTGGTGCCGCCAAAAGGAATCGCATGACCTTGCGCCTGCGGTCCGCCGGTGGGCGACAGGTCCCATATCGTTATCGCGAGGTAGGAATTTAAGGGGAGAGATTTGTAAGGTATTGGTATTGTGAGCCATTCATTCCATCTGTCCGTGGTCAGTACATGCGCCTCGGTCGGTACGCAGCATACACTTTCGAGTAGTTACCTTCTCTCGTTCCGAAACGCCTTGTAGGATGTCTGAATCGGCACAGTCAGAGGCTTTGACCCTGCCCATACTTGGACTGTGACGTAGAGGTCAGAGTAGGAACTAATTACACCCGGCGTTAGGACCACTAAAAAAAAGAAGGGGGTATACACAGCGTAAAAGGATGTACCTCGTGTTTGACCCAATATGTCGCAACTCTGGTCTTTCAATGAGGGTTGAGAACAGATATGGAGCTTCGTCGCCTTCCAGGTTGATTCTGGAGTCGCATAACAGTCAGTGCTCGGAGGTGAAGGGAGTGTCGCAGGCGGAGAGGCAAAAACCTACATACGAACGCTGACGGGATAATCGAGCGAATCCGAAGTGCCGAAAGAAAAGGGCTCCATCATCGGCTTATGAAGCCGTATTATTTGCGATGTTTGACATTCAGGACATGTTACATATGACGATGAAAGACCCGAGTCAAGAGAATGACCCAAAGGCACCAGGAAGGCCATGATGACCTGAAAGAGCTAGAGTGGGGGCCAGTGGGGGCCACTGAGGTCACATCCATCCACCCATCTCGTCTGATCTGATGATCTTATCTTATCATGCAGCTGCCCACTTCCGGTGATTACCTAAGGTCAGTACCTATTAGGTACGGTACCTACCTAACCGTCGCTGCTCAGCCACGAAAGGCACAAGCCGCCTTATTCATCCGCAAGCCACACTGGCGGGGAGAATGGTTAATTGATCCCAATCAAGCTCTGGGTGGGTGCGTCGCGTGTGCACAAAGACGCGATCACTACTAAGTAGGTATCGTCAAGATCAAGCAATCTCATATATAACACTCACGGCGCAGGCGGAATTCCACTCTACACTGCATCTCCAAACTCCCGAGAATCCTCCTATTGCTATTCCACCTTCTTTCTGTATGAGTCAAGTATATCATACCCAGTTCCTCCCCGACTGATAAAGTCCGCTATGCCGTCGCGGGCTTCGTCACATGATCAGGAGAGCCCCATCTCTTCACCTACAACAGCTTCTCAACACAATAACTTGGCCATGCGCGATAGAAGCGAAGCCCCTGATGGTGCATCTAAGAGAAAGAGGGCTTTAACGAATGGGGCTGGTCCATCGACTTCACGCCGTCGCACACAGGAACCCGAGGTCGTCTCAGACGACGACGACGACGATGATGATGATGATGATGATGACGAATCAGACCAATACGACCCTGACCAGCCATTGGAAGAGAGGCGAAAGGTACAGCGAGGGTATCGAGATCTCCTTCGTGGTCTGCACGAGAACACAGACGAGCTCTCCAATCCAAGATCCTTGTTTCTTCATGAGACCGTAGCTCGAGCGAATCAGCTGTCACACCATGTCAAGCAGACTGGCGAGGCCATCATCGATTCAAAGTTGCTTGTCGCCGCTGCCGATGCCTCGTATAGGAGAGCCGCACGCTTGGCCAATGGAAACGTTGCTCAAGGCATCGACGTGGATGAGTTTGTCTCCAAGTGCATAACGTATATGAGACTGGGCGCAGGGATCACGGAAGACGACGCGCCCGAGCTCACATCGACTCAGCAACAACGGAGGCGGCCCTCGGGAAGAAATGCCGATGACTCTGATGAAGATGAGATTGGGGACGAGGGCGACATGATGAATTGGGAGCATTTAGGGCGATTCGCGTGCGTCCCAAACATTCGACGACCAGCCGTGCCTGGTTTTCTTCTCGGGCCACTTTCAGTCGAAAAGAAGGTCCGAAAAGTAGTGAAGCGTAGCGCGCCTTTCAGAGCTGATAACCTCCGAGAGACAAGGCCGGAGATTTTGAATGCCGAGGATGTTCAGCGAGCCGAAAAGAACGATTTGACAGCCATTTGCGCCAAAATACTTCGACGCCTACAAGAGGTTCAAGAGAGCGCGCAGACAGAAGTCGAGGCCGCCTTTGAGCATCATGGTGATGAACAAGCCCAAAGGTTGATGAATAAGTATGGTCTAAGGGACACAGGGGGCATCGACTTGTTAAAATTCGTTGTTAACCCGAAATCATTCGGCCAGACAGTGGAAAATATGTTTTATGTTAGTTTTCTGATACGAGATGGAGCTGTTCAAATCGAGTTTGATGGAAGCGGACTTCCATCACTACGTAAGTTCCAATCCCTAAACCCCCAAGATAACCAAGCACCACCCCTTCTAACAATAACTAGAACCTACGGCTGGCCAAGATCCCAACGCCACAAAACGTGATGCGCAAAGACATCAAGCCGTATTATCAATTGATATGCAGATGTGGCGAGACATTATTGACGCCTTTGACATCACCGAACCCATAATCGAACACCGGAAAGAACAGAGCACTCAGGGTCCCGGGGCACGGAGTTGGTATAGCTGATGTCGTTTCTTTTCGAGCCGCGATTCGGTTCGCGCTATCCGAACCTACCCAACTTTTTACGTTGTTCATGAATATACCTTTCATTCAACAGTACCAAAAAGGGTGATTTGAGAGAGCAAATTCTGTACAATATGCCAGAGCATACTACAGGAGTACGCGGGAGCGCAGAGCAATGTCATACTAGAGGCATGAACCTGATGACTAATGATAGGCTACGAGAATTATAATCAATCATTCTACTGTACGTATTTCACATGGCGCCAGTTTAGATGGTATCACATCCCTTAGATCATCGATCAGATTGTCAAGTTTTGCGCATTAATGGCTCACTGGTAGAACCTAGGGCGACAGTGTCGGGGTTGAGAATGACTGAATTGTTCAACTGCGAATTATTCTATCTAGCTGGGAGATTCACAGGTCCTTATATATCTACAGTAACACCTAAAACCCCTTCCTATACCCTGAAGAGATCTCAAAATAAAATAAGAATTCATTCTGCTCTCTGTACACTCGAGATAAATGCATGAGAAGAGAAAGGATAGAGTAAAAGCCATTTTGACGACCATGTGAAATAACTAGTCAGTGCTCTTTCCGGATGAACAACATTCAACAAGTTTGCCCGGTAAAAGTCGCGGAGAAACTTATGAAGATAATTGCTCCAAAAATCGAAGGATCCCCAAATCGCCCATTGACTGAGTCGTAGATGAAGCGCCCCGATCAGCATAGTCATTAGCAGCCCAAGAAGCCCAATAGCGAAAGTATGCACTTATTCTGTAACATCTCGGTGAGGAGCTGTAGATGGCCTTAGTTACAACTTGGCCTCACCTCACCGTATCTCTTTCGATTTTCGAGATCCAGAAGACTAAGCGTACGACTTTTCGCGTGTATTTGATTGATTTGATCAGATTGGTATTTCTACGAAAAGCAGAAGTGGAATTTCACTCCTCTAGACTATATTTACAATTTTATCGTCGACTAGCAAAGCAGATATTTTCAGCGCGCTTTACGCCAACATAGACATTGCTAAGTGCGCCAGAATTTACGCCTACCAATTTTAACTGGTTCAAATCTATGGATAATATCAAGGTTATGTATTTAATGTGAAAATGACTACTTGCCCTGCTGTTACCATATCGCAGGCCCGACCGTATGTGCTTTACATACTGAAATAAAAATACTGGCTTCTACCAATCAACTCCCCGCGTCCCCGAGTCCTCCTATACATTCAATGAATTAACATTTTATACCATATTTTCAGAACATGCTGTTCCCGAAACCTGTTAAGTAGGGTTGTGAGCACCATGTTGGTGCACGACATAGCTATTAATTAGTACCTAAAAACATACAGTCTTTCCAATGCAGCGGTTGCAAACAGTCAGATTCGCATTCGGAGTAGCACAATCGTATGAAAGAAACAACGGACAAGTTTGAATTTCTGCTTTAACCCATAGCGTTGAGCACGTCGGGTTGGGAATGAACAAAGGAATTTCAAAACAACCCTCCGGACGCAGTAAGCTCACAGGAACCCTTTGTATAACTCAATCATCAAAGTTTTTTTTCTCTCTACAACAAAGTGCCTGGGTGATGGGGAGTGCTCCTGCCCTTTACACACTCGACTTATGCCAATCCTTCAGCTAGTGTTTACTTCTGTGACAGCTTGACCAAAGATGGCGACGCAAGGCGGCTCTATCGATAGGGATGGGATTGCTAATACTGTACTGGACGCCCTAGAGAAGCATTTTGGGCAACCCATGCCTGAGTTTGTGCGGAATGCAACTAAAACAACACTCGAGGCTGAATTCTCACAATATAACAAAGCTCACTCAGACCTACTCAGATTATACGACAGAAACGTAAATGAATATGACAAATTAAAATCGTCCACGGACACGGAAATCAAAAGACTTGATGAGAAGTTGAAGGCACAGGACGCGGAGCTTGAAAGTCGGATCCAAAATGCTACCATAGGCCTAAAAAAACAAATGAATGAAATCTCAAATCAAGGCGACGCAGCGTGGGAAGAGATAGAAAAGGAAAAGACCAAGCTGGAAGAGAAGAAAGTTAAATGGAAAGCGGAGATAGAGAGGTACAAAAAACAGGTTCGAGATGCGCAGGATGATGCGGAAGGTGCCGCTAATGTTATGAGGGAAGCGCAAGAGGAAAGGGGAAAACTCCAGGAAAGATTCAACTCCCTAGAGAAACAAAACAGCGAGAATCTGGTAGAAATCAAGAATTGGAAAGGGGAGACCGATAAAGTAACCGATCTGAAGGAAGCCTTCCAAGAGGAATTGCAGCAGTGCCGAGCACAGTTGAATCCAGTCAAAGAAAGGAACCGAGAGCTTGAAAAGGAGGTAGATCAGCTTAAATTAAAACTCAATATCACAGTTCAGGCTTTGGAGACGACCAAAAACGATTATGCACAATGCAAAATTGAGCTTGCAGACAGTCATGAGGAACTCAGCAAATGGAGACCTAGCACGCCTTTTGGTTCAGGTTCACCCGTTAAAGGCAGCTCACTTAGAGACCAGATTGGAGACGGAAACCAATCAACGCCATCTCCAGTTCCATCGGCTAAATCTCCGGTTTCCACGAAATCCTCCCCCGTAAAAACCATGGAGCTCAACAGAGAAAGGGAAAAATACAGACAACTCGAGGCGAAAATTGAAGCTGACTACGTACTGCTCGCTGTCCACGAGAAGGCTCTTTCTGACAAGACTAAAGAGCTGGATGCTGCCAAATCAGAGAGGGATAATGTGCAGCAAGCCGAGGAGAACTGCCAGTCGTCCCTGAAGAAGCTTAAAGATGAACTGGCCAAGAAGGAGAAGGACGGAAAGAAGGACGAGGCTACTATCAAAGAATTAAGGGCCAAAATCAAGGAGCTGGAGAATAAAGTTGTACGACTCGAAGTGGATTCTAATGGCGTCAAGCGGGAAATTGTGAAGAATAAACAACGCATCCAGGAGCAAGAGAAGCAGCTCAACCTAGACAAGAATAAGATAGTAAAGCTAGAGCAACGCGAGTTACAACAGCAAACCATGATCAAGACGGAGAAGGAGAAGACGGAGAGGAAGGAAAAGGAGGTCAAGAGACTATCTGATGAGCTCGAGCGAACACAGACAAACCTGGCCGCAGCACGGAAAGACGCCGATGAAACGGATACGGAGCTCCAAAAGACGAGAGGAGACTTGGAGAAGTGCAAAGAGGAATCCAAATCACTGCAGAAAGAGATTTTGGAGGCAGAGACAGAGCGAGACAACTTCGAGAGGGACAATGAGGAGTTGAAAGCTCACATCAACGAATATGAACTTGCCGCGGAGAAGAGGAATGAAGGTCTTAACGAGGTGATTCAAAAGCAGAAGAGCTCACTCCAGGAAAGCGGTGACCAGTTCGCGGTGGTCCAGCGAGAGAACAAGAAGCACAGGGATGAGATCAAGCGACTGAAGAAGGAGCTTAACAAGGCCACACTAGAGTCTAATAACCACGAAAGGGGTGAGACCGAGGCACAGCGACTCGTCATGAATCTCGAGAAGAAACTCAGGCAGCTGGAGAAGGAAGCCAAGAAATACACAGATGAGATCAGCCAACTGACAAGCCAGAGCGGGGGTCTCAGAGAGGCACGCGATAAGCTCCAGGGCGATGTTTCCCGTCTCACGGCAGAGGTCAACCGTGTCAACAAGGAGATCGCCCGACTCGAGGAGGAAAAGGCCGTCAGCGCTGATGCCAAAAGCAAGCGTGTTGCCGATCTTCAGCAAGAGCGTGACAGACTAAAGGCGGAGAGCAGTCGTGCTGCAACCGAGCAGGCGCGTCTTGAGGGCGAGATCAAGACACATCGCGAGGAACGCTCGAAACTACAAGACAAGATCCAGAGCCTCGAAGCCGCATCCGCCGCAGTACCAGCCTCAACCGTAGCCGCAAGAAATAGCCCTGGCGGCGATGACCCGCGCCTGATGGACTGCGAGCGCGAGCGCGAAAAGCTGCGGGCGGAGAACAGGGCTCTGGCGCTGAAGATCGCCGGTCTCGAGGATGACATTAGGACCATCAATGCGGAGCGCGCCGCGCTCCGGGACGAGCTCGCGAAGCAGGACACGGTGATCAGCAGCAACGGGCAGCAGGCGGCGCAGACGCAGAGTATGCTAGACGAACAGATCGCGGTCCTCACGGCTTCGCAGCGGGATCTGAATGCCAGTATCGAGAGGATGGGGCAACATACCGTATCGCAGGGCCTCAGCGCCGCCGACACGAGCCGCGCACTACGGACCTCGCGCGGCGAGGTCGAGGCATTGCAGAACAAGATACAGGCGCTAACCGTCGAGCGCGATCTACTGCAAGATGAGGTGCATCTCTACGTCGAGGCGCAGACGCAATATAGACAGCCTGCGCGCGAGAACACCGGAGCACCGCCACCTAGCCCCCGAGGAGATGGTCCGGGCGGCAGCGGCAGCGAAGGAAGCACTGGAGTTGGAAGCCAGCCCCACGGATCGCACTCCTCGAGCTGCATAACATCGGTTGTCCGCAATGCAGTATTGCATACCGTGGTCTGGTCCACCCTGGTGGCCATATTCTCTATGATGATTGCCGTCATCATCGCCGAGGGTAGACTCTACGCCGAGTGGAAGGCTGCCAACGCAAACACACGGGCACTATACATGTCGATGTCCGACCGGCCGACTTGGTGTATCGGCACGCCGATGTTTGATTATTTCTGGCATACCGTTATGACAGTGTTGACAGGTAGATGGGAATTTGGCTATTGGTAGATGGATTAATGAATCGGTACTTAACCTGAGTACATGTAGGTAGGTGTAGTGTAGATGGTGCACGACGTCTTGATGTCCGCGTGGTTGGGTGAGAAACTGGTTCAAGTAAGGAGGCAGGTAGTTGATACAGCGAGGAAGGTGAAGTAAGGAATCGGAAGGAAACTACGGGATGGAGACCCGGATCGGACCGGCGATCTCGGCTTATGCACGGCATCGGCATCTCCATGTGTACGCGTTGCACTGATCATCGTGGCCTCCTTTACTGTGTTAAGTCTATAGCATACAATAGAATGAAGGTAACATCTATACCCAGTATGCAATAACTAGTAACCGGGCGCACAACTCGAATGGTAGATGCAACATGATGAAATGCTCGGCATCTGACTTGAAAACTACAGGAAATTAGGGGTCAGTAATATGCGCTTGCGAGGGAGTGTCGGTCACAGTAACTTGGGGGCCATCGATGGCTGCTGTCTGTCACGTACACTACCAGGCCACATGAGCGAATACAGAGGCTGTGTAAGTAGTATTATTTGAATTTCATGTTACCTACAAAGGAAAATATCTGTCATCCGAAATTGGTAATCTGCCAGAATTACCAACAATTTCAGCTGTTAGGTTTCAGAGTCAGATGGCTTTATCAATACTGATGCTGTCTTCATCTCCCATTCTCCGCTGAGGCCAACGCCCAAATGCCGTTATTTGATATATATAGATCGCAAATTGATACCGCGATAGCAGTAGTGAATGGTGTAGGTAGCCTGCACTGCGCCGGCATAAAGAGCCTGAAACTGAAATCGCCGCCCACATTCCAAATACCGTTCCCGTGTATATGCCCTTAGTCTGCCCTTAGCATCGCGTGGTCGGTTGCATTGGCCAACCGTTAGGGCGGCAGTGAAGCCCTGCTTGATCTGAGGCGCTGGTGGGGACAGTTTGCCACTATGCCTTACTTAGCAGTATAGATAACTCACTCATATGCAGTTCTTAGTATACAGCTCGTGATGATTTACAATAAGCACATGGAACAGCTATCTGGTGTACGTGGCTTTACTACTGCCTTGATGCAGGCAGTGTAAGTAAGCCAGCCATGCACGCCCCTTATTAACAGTGCACTAGCCTTGGCAACTTGCTTCCTCTGCTCTTAACAGCGTGTTAAATTGCAAGACATATATCACTAATCAACCGTGCTTTTCATCTAGTAATACCGGTAGTGTGCCAGCGACTGCCGTGAGGTTTTATGCCTCGGTATGCTACCCTTCCTACAGTATGACAACAGGACTACACTAGTGTACCATCTTTGAACCAGCAAATGTACAGTACTTTGTGTATGCAGGCTTGGCAAACCGTTACCATTGTTATTTTTGGTGTTACTCCGTTCCTCCGTGCTGCAGGACTCTACTAAATCGCGAACTAGTACAGCATACACATGGCTAGTGAAGTTGGCATCATGCACTACTGTAGGTACACGATATGTGATACGTCAAGACACGTGTTGTGTAGTGTAGGTATACTGATGCCAGGAGAATTGAATTCCAGAGAGAAGCAATGAGCGGAGGCAATGCGTGTGAATAGCAAGTAGATAGGCGATAGAGCGTATCTCAAGTCACAAAAGGCTCAAGCTTGAGATGAGATCGGCCTGAATCCTTCAACCCTACAATTACAGACGAATCGGGCTCTTTAGCGTAACTATGTTTGTAGTGTACACTGTAATACCTTACTTACTATGAGGCGGGCATTCTACTATATAAGTATAGTATCTCTCTACCCAAGTTATTATTACCACGGCACGGACCCCAGCTGATCCCAGCTGACTCGAGCTCGTCATGTTCTAGCATTATCGCATGATGTCATGAAACTGCCTTACATTACACCCTTGATTTCATTATACCCTTCGCTAGTGCTGAGCCTGGCATTTGCATTATCATTAAACTCGACTCGTCACACACTCCAACAGAGCTCACTGTACCGAAACATATAGGTATTACAATCGGAGCTTAGTAATAGCGTTCTCAGGACAGGAACCCCTACACACAACGGTTCACAGCGCGGCATGGCGACAGCGCCCCGAGACTGTTACCATGTAATTAGCAGCCCTGTACAGCCCTGACGAGACATTCCAAATTTTGACAAATTTCATTTCGCGTCACAAGTTATCGTCAGCAACCCGCTTACCTCCCGCCCACTTTGGAGAACCCTCCCTAAAACGGAAGCCCGTTGGAACGAAAGAGAAACAAAGGAAGGACAATATGTCCCCTGTATTCAGGGGTGGCGCTTTTACACACACCGTCATCGACGCTAGATTGGCCATGCCGAAAGACATCTCATTGGCGCCAAGACAATTGACTGTCACCAAGAAAACATTCTTAAGCTCCCCCTGTGCCCTCTCCCCTCCCCTCCATCATTCATCACGAAGAATAACAGCTCGGTATCTCTCCGTCCCTGCGACCAAGGCACCACGAGTAAACACCTTACATCCTCCCATCCGCAGTATCCCGCAACTTCATCGACGTAACGCCACCATGTCTGAGAAGCTCATTCCGAAAGAGCCTTCCAAGGTTCAGGTAATCCGTAACGTCACACCCAACGTTGTTACCGTCTCTGTGCCTTTCTTGAGATTCGAGAAGATCCCCATCGGTGGCCGTGCTACTATCAGTATGTGGCCCCTACTCGTCTACCACGTTGCTAGTTCACACAGTTAGCTAACCAGACATCAAACAGTCAAGCTGACTTCGGGCGCTCTCGCCGTCTTCTCTCCCGTCGCTCTTACTGATGAGGTGAAGGCTAAGATCACCGAGCTCGGCGGCAACGTCGGCTACCTCATTGCCGGTGATCTCGAGCACCACATCTTCTTGACGCAATGGAAGACCGAGTATCCCGCCGCCAAGCTGATCGGTCCCAAGGGTCTTCCTGAGAGACGTAAGGCCATTACCAACGATCCTATGATTGGCAAGGAGGAGTTCGACTTCTTGTACGATGAGAAGAACGCCCACTCGGCCGCCATCAGCGACGAGTTCGCTGCTGACTTCGAGGTCGAGTTCGTGACCGCGCACAAGAACCAGGAACTCGTGCTTTTCTACAAGCCCGACAAGGTCTTGATCGAGGCTGATCTGATGTTCAACCTACCCCCCACTGAGCAGTACTCCAAGGTGCCTGAGCAGAAAAACACCGGCGGCTTGCTCAAGAAGATCTTCTACAGCCTCAACTCGACAGCCGGCCCAGCCAAGGGTCACAAGCGGCTGATATGGTTCGCCATCAGCAACAGCAACAAGGACCGCCCTGGCTTCAACGACAGCATCAAGCGCATTCACGGCTGGGACTTCAACACGCTGATCCCGTGCCACGGCGACACCATTGAGGGCACCGGAAAGGAGACCTTTGCCAAGATCTTTGACTGGCATATCAACGGCAAGAAATAATTGATTTCTGCCGCGGCCTGTTTCAAAGTAAACAACACAATACCCCAAGCCAAAGCGTCGTTCATTGAAATTTACCGAGGAAAAGGCTTTCTCTTTAACTCTTTTCTTAAAAGCAAAATTCTCTCGATACCCCTCTATGATACCATTGGATATAATAAGAAATTTAGGTGAAAAAAGGGATGGAACAGGAAAGGAAGGAAAGGATGAGATGAGAAGGGAGCAAGGCTGGAAGCTGCTGCATGAGTGGAACTCGAACACATAGTAGTATGATACCAAATGCATAGACCTTTCTTCTTGTTGTCGCATATATCTGATCTTCTATCTCGCACGATGACTCGTTGGTACTCGCTTGCCATAGCTGACATGACGTGCAGATAGGTCCATCTGCCGGGAAGCTGTAGCATATGGTAATGGTGTCGTCAGATTCGTATTAACGAATCGCATTGCCACCTAGCTTGCGAGGAATGAGAAGCCTGCAAAGCATCGTATATATGCAGTGTACCTACAGTGGTAGGCAAAGTGGGCCTGTTGTCTGATATGTAGGTCTACTATGTATGTCGAAGGATTTTATACCTTACACATTGACATGCGGGTTTACTAAGCTATTCTATACTCCCTAATTGTAGATGGGCAAATTCTAATTAACAATCACGTCGGGTTACACCGCTGGCACTGCTTCACCGGGCTACTGCTTCTTACTAAGTACAAACGAAACAGTGTTTGACCTTCAGGAAAACTAGTGCAAATGAGCCATCGTCTTCGATATTCATTGTGTTCATTGTTATCGTATTCATTTCTGTCTAAACCCTTTCTCGCTAATTTGTATTGAACTCATGAAGCCCTTATTCTTCCCTTTGAGAATATTATACACACCCTCAATCATTGACCCCTTTTCTAACCCTCTCATAACAACCTGAAAGCATATAGTGAAAATATTATTGTCCTGAATAATCTGACCGATGATGGGAATGATAGGAAGATTCCGCGCCACTAGCGTAGCTACTCTCCACCGCACAACTACTATCGCTGGTACTCATTCGACATGCGCGGTGCCTCTGATAACCGATCTCACTGATCAGGCGGCATTTCGGGGGTTGATGGAAGTGCACCTCATCTGCTGCGGATGAACCTTCGTTCATACACTTTGTGCCCCCGTTAGTTAGCTTGATCCTGACGCAGTGTTGTATACTGAGATGCGATTGCTCTAGAAGCTTCGCTTGGGCCGTTCAGAGAGTTCAGAGACATGAGTGTGATGAGTGTGAGTGTGTATGAAAGCACTTCTCACGAGACATTCTGGAAACAGACGAGATAAGAAGGGAATGAGGAGAAGCCCGAAGAAAATTACAATGAATGAACGTACTGTGCATAATTCACACCTGTCTCCGAACCTTGACACTTTATTCTGGCAGTTGACGGCACCCTAAAAAGTGTTAGCTCTATTCAAGGTCTCTATCGAATCCGGGATAGGCTGGGGCTGTCATAGATCACAAGAAAGCCCAGAAGGCAGTCTCTTTCCATATGACGGGCCCCCCATAACCTCTTATAATCTTCAAAGCAAACTGGGAAGAGGACTCTACTCACGTAGAAATTGGCACAATAGCAATCCATTTCGTCGGGAATAAGCAGAGAGTATACTCGAAAGGTCTCCTCATGTAATTCCAAAGACTTTCCAAATCGCTGCTCGCTTCTGAAGCACGAAAATTTCGTAGAAAATGCGGTAAGAGCAGAATTGGCGGTCCTTTAATTCAAAGAAATCGAATACGTTCAAGAGAAGGTAGGATCTACATACGCTGTTGAAGAGAATTGACGCCCTTGAAGTATGGTCAAGAAAAGAAATACCAGATATTTAAAATGAGAGCAGAAACTAGAGAAGGAGCAAGTATTCTAAAGCATAGTCATCGACCCAGATATGATCCATCAGGGTAGTCAAAGAAAAATATTACACTAGCTACATAAATCTAGGTATACGCACGGCTTCACATAGAAATAGACTTTACTGACGCAGTAGACATATGGGTACGAAGATTTACGGAGATCCATCTACTGAACTACCATAGATATCAGACACTACTGACGATCGAATGGAAATCGAGACAGATTAGGACTGTATCTACCGAAGATTGCAAGGAAAAGCGGGTAGAAAAAAAGTTTATCGAGCCAAGATCGAACTCTTCTTCTGTCATTTTCCATCCTATCATCTATTCTTGTCATCATAATCAGCTGTTGTATATCGCAATGGCCTGATTCGCTCATCTTCCCTATCTACCGCGATCCCCTCCCGACATACAAAATATCCAGTGGATGGCAAGTTAACTCTACTAACCACTCATGCCATCCCGAGTTCTCCCCGATTACACCACAGATGAAGACGCTACGACGACGTTAGCGCAACTCTAAAGAGTGAGGGAAGTTTCTCCCTGGCCTTCTGTAGGCTTAGCAAGTAATGCAATCAGAGGCAATTTTCTCATAACTACAGAGCAAAATCATCCTCCCAGCTTGACTGTAGCAGTAGATAACACAAACCAAGTGACAGACATCATATCGACGCAAGTCCCCGTGACTACATCTATGATCACAACACCCAACCCACAATAAAGAGTTTCCCAGTGTAGAGTTAAACTGATCTCCCGGGTCAGGTCAGGACAAGCCTTCCGATCATCTCCCGCTGAACTCGTCGTCGAAAAGAGGCCGAGAAACGTAGCTACCGAATGTAATCAGTCCCAAGCGCATCCACCACGCCCTGGAGCAACAATCGCCACAAGCTACGATAAAACCTCAAAACGCTACAAACATTCCATACGTCACATGTGCATATACATATGCATACCACAATAGACAAAATCCTAGCCTAACCTTACACAGATAAAACTAAACTCTAACTCTAGTCTCCAGCTCGGCAGCGCCCGCACGTTCCGCAGCCGACCGACCGACCAAACGTCCGCCACTCACACCACCTTAGGCAGGCAGGCAGAGTTAGGGTGCCATGACCATTCATTGTAGGGATGCAGTGGGTTAGACAGTTTCGATTCCTTTCAGCGCTATCACATATAGTCGTTTGCTTTTTGGCTTATCTGGTAGGTATACCAGAGAAATCAGAGATAGATGGATAGATAGACGACTTTAAGCCGACCAAGAATTGAAGAAGAAAAAGGGGTTAATGGCTAAAATTTTATAGCATCAACACCCTTGTTCCCCTCCTCCTTTACCTTTTCCTCCACGCTAGCTTCTCTTTCACGTATTTCTCCAGCAATTTTATAATGTTTTTTTTTTCTAAAAAAAAAAAAAAAAAAAAAGAGAACATGAGGAATAGAGATGTCACAGCACATAGACATCATGGATATATAAATGATACGAAGGTAGGCAGGCAGTCAATCACCTATTAATTAAATAGCTGTTTACAAAACGCTCTTCTCGGGGATCTCGATTATGATAGCAAGCAGTTCATACAAAGTTGTCTAGAACAAACACAAATCCTTCTCCCGCCTTGGCTGCTTGGCTGTTTGCTCCCTTCCCTTCCGTTTCCATCCCTTATATCTTCCTACTTGCCGTGTTTGTGTTGTGTATATGTGTTCTTCCGCATCCCAGCTGCGGGATCGACAGCAGCCTAAGCGACCCCTTCTCTCACAGTCACCATCAGAATGGTGGTGTACCTCAAGAATCTGGCTGAGGGAAGTAATTGATCCGTCCGAGTCAAAGAATATCGATACTTTCAAAACGCCAGATTATCTGTCGCTAATTAAAAGACGATGATATTCTTTGCAGAGAAGACGATTAGTTGTACTGGGAAAAGGTGACTGTCGGAATAACAAGTCTATGCTCAGCAAGATCAAGAACCAAGAAATTGCGCTCGCCATGCTGTTGAGATGATTATCCAGTATTCCTGGTCCTACAAGATGATAATTCCGAGCTGATGGCTTCGGACGTATGGCCTATGTGGGCGTAGATATAGATACTAGCTCGAAGAACGACTAGCCTGCAATCGAACCAGTGATGAAGTCGATTCGATCACTGTAGATTTGGTATCTCGGATTTTCGGTTGCTCTTCCAGAAATCGATGGCAGCAACCACATCGTGGCCAGCTTCATCTTCATATGCAAATAATATCTAAGCGAAGTTAGTATCGCAGAACATGTTGTGTGTAGATAATGGTCTTACCTCGTGTGTGCTGCTATGCAGCATCCTGATGTTCTTGTGAGGAACGATATGTATAGCCCCGTTCTCAATATTCCTTAACTCGATGAAATTGGGCTCAAAGGCTAAGATCCAGGGGTAGGACAGAGCAAAAGCCTGTGGCGTTCCTTCCCAATCAATTCGCCATTCCGGTCTTGCTCTCCAACCGTTTCGATTAACGAAAAAGGAGAAGTCGGTGTAGTTGAGCAAGAACTCGCCATTCAGACGTTCAATGTGAATTGGCTTGGTACCTTCTTTCCTTGCGACAAAATCTAGCGACGTATCGGCCTGGTCGAGGAGTGACTGTGTTTCTAGCGTTTCGAGCGAGACGACCTCGAAACCTCTTGCGCAGGCTACACAAAGCTTGCTCTTGAGGAAATGGACGGATGAAGCTTCGGTGGGAATGTAGAACTCTTTGAACGCCTTCAGTTCATCTTGGCCGGCATTGAACATTTTACCGAATCCCTTTTGTTTCTTGCCCTTGCTCATCTGGTCGTTGGGTTCGTACACTTTAATTGTCGTCGAGAGTGCGCTTGGTTTCGCGCAGCACACTAGATGTCGACCAAGACAGATGCCTGTCCTGAAGAAGTTGCAGTTGCTTTGAATTTTCTTCGGACGTTTGGCTAGTGTTGGTTCATTTGGATCTAATGCCGCAAGCGGGTAAGACAGAAGTGACTTGTTAGATAAGACCAGCAAAAGACCATATTCTTCCAAGACGTCTACTTGGGTAACATGCTGTGTCTCAATAACACGTCTGGGTTGACTGTCCTTGGCTTTGCGATCGGAGACATAAAGACCATGATCAGTTGCGTAGATCAGTTTGCGGCCACCATCTAACATTATTAGCCTAAGGCAATTGAACCAAATTCATAATGCTGCTTACCATATGGAGTGACAGAGTTTACAAGATTACCAACTTGGAAGAAGTTTTGAGACAGTATGTTGACATTGAAGAAATCAGCTCGCGCTCGAAGCCGTTGTTGAGCTGCATCAATGAACTCAAGCCACTTCTGCCGCGCGGATTGATTCGATGCATACAAGACTTGTTCGTAGTAATTCCTACCAAGATGACGGAAGGTGATGGGCCAGCCTTCTGCTGTCTTCTTATCCGTGCTACCTCCTCGGAATGGCAGGTTTGACGATGCTCGTTTGACACCGGACTGAGGTATAACCTCATCCATTTCTTTAATCGACAGTAATTCCAAGGGTATCGGCTGAAGGAAGTAAGAGTTAGTCACAATGAAAGAGGGGGGGGGCAGAAAAGGAAAAAAAAGGATCATCGTGCCAACCTACCCTTCGATAAGTCTTCACTTCTTCCGTCTTGCCTTGTTGTTTGATCCTCACTAACAAAACGGCATGGTCGAATAGGAAAGCTGTTATATCGGTAGGATCTGTCGGACCTTTCTTGAATTGCGTCTTGAAGACCAATTCACGCCCATCTTCCGTTAGTTTCAAGTCGACTTTATCGGCAGGACGGAATTTGAGTTGCTCGTGGAGACGACGTAGGTTGAATCGGTTCTCGGCTTTACCAGACTCGGCATTGACTCGGCTAAGAAGATCTCTGATCATTGTCAAGACCTTAGGAATATCTTCCTTGTCTGGATTCCCATCCTCGGTATATTTCAAAACGTTTTCCAGTAGCAGAGGGTAACGAGCTAATCTAGTCGTGGGCTTTGTAAGATAACCATTGAGTTCTAGTTTTCTGGATTCTTTCCTCCTCTCAATTTCATCAACGAATTTTGAGAAGTATGGATTGTTGGATCGTTCATTTTCAAACTCAAACTTGGCTTCCAACTGCTTAGAACCATACAAGATGAACGGCTCAAATTGAGGTACGATTTCGAGGAATATGTCACCCAAGTTTTTCACAATAGGATGTCTTTGTTGTCGTTCTGTCAATGCCCTAGCAAATCGGGAGCTGACCGAGTGGATGCTTGGGTGATCAATAATGTTGCTGAAGATGTGCTGAACGACAATCTCTCTCTTTTGCGCAGGTATGGGTGATCCCTTAGATCGCAAGGGTAGAATCCAGAAGTCTCGTAGGTATTCCAAATCCTTGACGAAATCCCTTTCCGTGTAACATATTTCGGAGATGACTTCTTGCCGTTTCTTCTCCCTGTCGCTGACACTTTCAGCAATCTCCTTAGGAACAGTATTAATCCAGAGCTTCTGCTCATCCGTCTGGTCAGCGTCGTCATTAAGGACAGCGTCTTGATCCTTCCTCAAGCCCACTTGTGGCTTGAGGTTGAGACGAGAGACCTGTTCCAACCTTCTTGGGCAAGCGATAGAGTAGCATAGTTGGTCCCTTGTGCAGGTGGGCGAGTAACATTCAGAGAGCAAGACGAACACACCGTTTACAGGCGGTTTGTCTTCTGGCTCATCCATGAGGCTTTCCCTAAACTGGTACATCTCGGATGCCGAGTCTCGTAACCTATGTTCGTATGTCACATCGTGGAAAAACTTTTGTGCATCAAGCGCTCGACCTAGCAACAACGCCAAATTCCTATCTGTGGTCCTAATAATGTATGAGAGGACATCGACGGCTTCTGAGCCACTAAAGGCATTCTTGTATGTAAGCTCGTTCTTCGTTCGCTCACCAACTATTATCTTCTGCCGAAAACATTCGGCGACTCGAGACAGCAAGGCGGGATATACGATGGGAGATCGAATCTTTGCAGTTGGCGGCCGTTCCCCGTCAAGTGATTTGGCATTCGAGGGCCGGTGAACGAGTTGTTGGTGAACAAGTTGCTGCCGGGCCTGTTCTGATGTTTCGGGTACTATTGTACTAGCCATAGACATAGTGCGGCTGTGGTCATTGGCGGTGGTAGATGAGGCCATGCTCATCGTCCTTGTCGCGGATCCCGGAGGATGGCCATAGCCGTTATATCCGTTTAGATTGGGACTCGAATTCAAAGGTGGCATCTCATTCGATGGAGCCCTCATTCGGTTTGGAATGACGCGACCACTCATGGTTTGATGTGAATCACGCTCTGGAGGATATCCAGTCATGGTCATGGACCTTTCGTCATGACGTTCGGGTACGACTCGACCTTGAGCGGTAGTCCGAGACATAGGATTAGGAATCTGGTTGGAAGGATGTCGAAATTGTTGAGGGGTCTGATATGAATTCGGTGGCGGTTGATACATCGGCTGGCGTGGGGTGGTTGCGAGGGACTGCGAACGATACGGGTCGTCTCGAAGAGCAGGCCCCGGCGGAGGACCACCCTGATAATACCTGGGCGCAGGGTTTCGTGGAGGGTAGTGTTGTTGCGGAGGCGGCCCTCTAGGATCGTATCTACCCGAGTTCTGAGGCGGCGGGCCAGGATAGGGTCGCTGATTTGGGCCCTGTGGTTGTCGCGCATACGGATCTCCTCGCATAGGTGGAGGAGGATAACCCCCTGATGGATTCCTCTGACGCTGGTAGTATCCATTGGCCATACTTGCATCCATGGTTCGAGTTCGATGGGACACTACTTCCTCATAGCCACCGGCACGCTGGGGTCGTGGAGGCGCCCGGTGATGCAGATCTGGTGGAGGCCCATTGGACATGGAAGACATTGTCTGTGTTCTTTCGCCCTGCATTGTATTGTTGGGGAGAGGAGCGGAGGCAGTTCCCGTGCGACCAGGAGGGGGCTGAGCCCCGAATATGTTGGAAAAAGCAGCATCTCGTTGGTTGCCAGAGGACGGACCGTATCGACGTTGATCGTACTGGTAATCGGCCATGTTGCTGTCCTATAGGATGACATAGAAGTTAGGGAGAGGCTAGTCTCGGCATGGACGCAACGGGGAGCTACAGATGATGTATAAGGCTGACAGAATAGCGTGACGTTGCACAGCACGAACAAGACATACGCCACTCATGGCGCAGGTTCGAATCCGGATTGGACCGGCCAGATAATAGCAGCATTACCACCGAGACGGGCTGGCTAGCTAGGTGGGAAAGGGGGGATAAAATTGAACTCGACTCACCCGTTGTATGGCTAGGCGGCCGCAAGCCTAGAGAGAGGCTGGCGGCTCTCTTCTTTCGGGAAAGGAGACTGGGTATAAGAAGGCGAGAAGTAGGCGTACGTTCAAAGGGAGATGTAGGCGCTGGATGGTTGTGTCGTCTTCGTCGTCGTCGAAGCGCAGGGTCTGGGATATGTTGGTTGGTTGGTTGGCTGGCTGGCGGGCGTGGGTAATGGTCGTCGTCAAAAAGCACAAAAGCACAAATCCACAACAGGGAGACCAATTCGGGCTCTGGGGTATTAATGCGTAGACGGAGAGAAGGCGAGGAACAGCTTCTCCCCTCCCGGATTAGCCGACGGAACCAGCGGTTGCTAACGGGATCGCGTGCTCAAGTCAAATCAACTGCTGTGTCGACGGCGTTGCACATATAAGGAGACAGAGATACAGATAGATGGTGGTGGTGGAGATGGGGGTTTTGGTTGGCGTATCTGAGCAGGCAAGTTAGGTAAGTAAAGGCAGGGTACTATTAGGGTACTATTAGAGTACTATGTAGGTACCTACTTAGGCAGGCTACAGGTAGGCTACAGGTAGGCTACAGGTAGGCTACAGGTAGGCTACAGGCAGTCTAGGCAGGCTAGGCCAGTTGGGATGGTAGGTAGGTAGCGGCACAGTTGAACAGATAACGCGATAGGCCTCTAATAGGTCTGATACAGGATGTAGCGCAGGTAATCGGCCAAGACGGGACTAGGGTTGCTATGTCGATTTAAAGGCACGGTCCGAGGAGCATTATTTACCAGCGTCGGGTCTGGTCGTGGCTCATTGAGTAGATGTACTTCTACTTCCCAATCTCTGTCAGAAAGGGCTGGGATGCGAAGAGATTGATTGCAGTGCATGTACATCAGGAGGCAGCCGAGGCAGCCAATGTCGTAGTTGCTAGCGATCGCATTTAGCGGCTTCTAGTGCCTGGACTGTCAGTTTTAGCCTACCTACGTACCATTACGTATGCCTTCGCCCTCCCTACCCGTTTAGGTATCTCTTGCCCAGTGACCTGCAGAAAAGGAACATACCCAAACCATGTTCATACGCCTGATCTTAAACCAACAAGACAACCTCGATTTCTTTCGAGTTTTATCCTATTCCAGATACTCGACAGAGAATAACTATCTCACACTACACCGTAGACAGAGGCAGCCTCTAGGGAATCTTCTGCCTATTCGAGAAAATGTGTTGATATATTCTGCTTCCGCCGTTCGTGGATACAAGGTATAGCTACACCGACTAGCCAGTAGACAGTGGCTCTTCAAACGACAACAATGTTATTGTTTCATGAACTGCAGCTCAGAGTGCTTTCAGCGCACGACATTCGGTATTGCCGGCCATCACGTGTCCCGGCCCGATTCCGTACGTAGGAATCTCTGGGATCAGGTATCAAGTAGTATTCATGATCCTACGGTCTACGGTACTCCTACCGACCGTCTCATAGCCCTCCATCAACGATACATAACCATCAGACTCACCGAAGCTACTCCCTACTTCTCATGTGTATATACGCGTATCAGTAGGCGTTCTCTTGTCGTTCTCTTGTCGTAACTCTCTACCTACCTACGGCATTCCATACTTGGTCTCACAGCCATGAAGCGAAGTGGAGCTCTGCATAGGTTTAAGGGGCAACGCTGCGTCTCTGCAACAATCTGCAATCTGCAATCTGCGAATGAACGGCTTCGCAAAGTACACCTAGGTAGAGGAACCCGTTCCGTGAAAGACAACATAACATAAAGTCCAAGCTCAAGGCCTTATTGGGTCGTTTGTTCTAGGCTACAGTATTCTATCAGATTGAACCTCGGATGTTTGTTAAAAAATGAAGAGAAAGAAACCTATGAAACTAGCTGTCATCGAATACCAAACAATTCCATCTTGGATATTCATGCCTTACGTAGAGTCACTCTTATACCTTAGGGAGACTACATATGTAGACATATCGAAACGGCTTATGTAACGACAAGACCACGTCACGTGAAACCGCAACCCAAAGTGACGGCTAGCTCCCCATAACCCCTGCAAGGCAGTCAACTAAGCTTCAAACCTCCCCCAATCCAATCCATCATCAACCTCGCCAGGTCGACGAGAGAGATTCAACCAAAGCCCACGTACCTACCCGTCATCGACGACATCCAAAACAATTCCATTCGATCCAATCCTATCAACACCGCAGCCACCTCACATACACGCATCGAAATGGAGTCGGAGCTAGCGCCCAAGTTCGCGCCTTTCATAGGCATGGTAATACTTCCTCGTCATTCGCGTAGAACAAAACAAGCTGCGTCCATCTCGGTCCAAGTCCTAACTAACACGGTTGTCCGTAGGGCGGCATCGCATCCGCTATGATATTCGGCAGTATGAATGTCCCTCTCGTTCCCTACTCCCGTTGCATCATTCCAACTCCGCCCCTTACACACGCAACGGTATTCGCAAACGGACATGCATACTAAGTTTCATCCGCTAGGTATCGGCGCCGCATACGGAACCGCGAAGTCAGGAATCGGTATCGCAGGTGTGGGAACGTTCCGACCGGATCTGATCATGAAGGTTCGTCGGCCTTGAATCTTAAAGTCGATCATGGGAGGCGGTTTCAATAGCTTTTCGAGTACTAATGATGTTGGTGGGGAGATATAGTGTCTGATCCCCGTTGTCATGTCCGGTATCATCGCTGTCTATTCGCTCGTCATCGCCGTCTTGATCGCTGAAGACATGCGACCTCCGACCCAAAGCGAAGGAGCCTCATACAGTTTATTCAAGTATGTTCCGCTATCCATCTCCTCGAAGGCCATTTTGTCGACATATTCGATTTTGTCTTGATCTGTCTAATCACGAATTTGGAAAGAATGGTACGGGACTAACAAGCGTGATAATAATAATAGTGGTTTCATGCATCTGGGCTGCGGTCTCGCGGTCGGTATGACTGGTCTTGCCGCTGGATACTGCATCGGTGTCGTAGGCGACAAGGGTGTGCGAGCGTACATGGAACAGTCAAGGGTATTCGTCGGCATGGTGCTGATTCTCATTTTCGGCGAAGTTCTGGGTCTCTATGGGTATGTTACCAACAACACAATACACTCCTTTTCGCCCGTTAGTCATGCTAACCACTAGTCCTAGTCTCATCGTCGCGCTTATTCTGAACACCAAGAGCAGAGGTTGAGTAGACTTCTATTTATCATCTAACATACGCAATAACGTCACATCCGACCTTCACATTGCTATATCCAAAAAGGGACGGAAGCAGGCTTGTAAACGACCATGAAACCAAGATCCTGAGAACAGCGGGGATAAAAAGAAGTGTAATCAATAGCTACTCCTGCATTTTCGAAGGCGTTACATGGTATACTGTAGAAATTCAGGGCTGACCAAGAGGTTGCTGATGACTTCCTAGGTACCTACCTACCTACAAGTCAAATCCCCAGCTCGTCTTGTCACATAAGCCTAGTGTTATAATACAATCTATTCAACATTGGCCGTCTCCCCCAAAATTAATTAGAACAAGCACACCCTTTTATAAAAACTTGAAAGTAAATTTTGTCAATTTTTTTTGTAGAACTCACTCATTATCGGTAAGTAGCGTAGTCATGTACATCGATTTCCATATCATAACCCCCAGATCAAACCTCCCACCTCTCACCACCATCCCTACCCCTATTCCAATCCTCGAAGTGCAGAAAAGAAACACTACACATCTCATCTCCCATAAAGCGTTACTCATGAAATAATAACTTCAATCCGAAAAAAAAAAGGTAAAAAAAAGAAAAAGGGAAAAAAGAAGAAAGGAAGAAGCCTTCCATATGCCCATTCTATATGAATTCGCCGCAACGATGTGAAGTAAAGCGCAGATGTGCAATGTGCAATGCATAAGTGCCCAAGCAAAGAGAAGTAAGCAGAGAGGACCCAAAACCCCGAGGCAAACCCAATGCTTACGAGGACATGAATAGAAAGGAATGAAACGGAAAGAAAAATGAATAATGGGTAGGGTAATATGCAAATGCAATGTCGACTTTTCCATATCTTGATCGGTTGTTTTGTTTGGTTTGCTTAATCAAGACCAAAATCGTAGCCGATATCTGATAGTCACGATGACAATGATGCTCGTGATATCCATAAACAAGTAGATGGGTATCTACGTAAGCAGCCCGAACCTCCTCGTGAATCTCCGCCGGGTCGTCGGACGGGCATTATTAACGCGGAAGCCGTTCCAGTTCGGCTCGCGCAGTTCGGTATTCCGCATCTGAGCTGTTGATTCCGAAAGAAGTGGGATAAAATTAGCGGTTGGTTTTTTCCACTGATCAATTTGATTGTAAAAAGTAAAGGGGGGTTAGAGAGATGTTGGGCTGGAGATGTTTTAAGTTCGAGCATGAGCAAAGAAAGAAAAGGGGGCGGGGAGAGTTCATTAGTCCGGAACCTTATCTACGTTTGACGTCCACAAGGACCATTGGGAATGACCAATGATCAGTGTAATACGTGATTCCCTACAGTCCAAAAAAAAAAAAAAAAAAAAAAAAGCAAGATGTTTAGTTAACGGAAAATGGAAAATAGATAATGGAGAAATCGTCATGCATACCTAACCACAAATCCCAATGCCTATCCTCATGAATCAGTATATCCTCGCCATGTTTCCTCGCCAGCCGTTCGCTCCGAGCTCTCGCGGCCGCCTCCTCGCCGACGAGGTACGGATCCTCGAGAGGTCGAACGAGACTGTCGTCCTCCTCGCTGCTAATCATATTCGTTGCATCGTTAGCGGCCTGGATGCGGGTCATAGCTGCGCGCAACGCACCCTCAACAGACGAAGAAGGACCACTAGCAGAAGAAGAGGCGGCCGCTGCTACACGTCGGCTCGCCACGCTCTGGTAGTGCCTTGCCTGGGGATTCCCGCTGCCGATGGAGGACCAAGGCGCGATGTGAAATTGGGATAAGGTAGGCGTGGAAGAATTCTCTGCGCGGCGTGGGATAGGAGGTAGACCGGCGCCTGGCGTGAAGTTCCCCATCCGGGGAGGGAGCATGGAGGTGTACTGTCTTGCTGTGGCGCTAGATGGTCGCGAGGCCTGTGATGATGATGTTGCGGCTGCTGAAGAAGTGTAGGCCGGCAGCACTTCGTTGGGTGGGAGGGTATGGTATGATGGGGCCTCGGAGACTTTAATTATGGCATGGTTAGTTTTATCTACCATCTGAAAACTATGGCTGAGATTTAGTAGGTGGGAGACAAAGATCTCACCGTAAGAAGGAGCAGCGGAGCGGATAGAGGCCGTCTCAAAGTCCTCGGCACTCAGTCGAGGAGGGCTAATGCCGTGGAAGACAGCTGTGTCGGCGGCCATGACGACAGATCAACCAGTGATGTTCGAGAGAGAAAGAGTCCGGTATTTCGAGTACGGGTAAAGCGCAATCCCCTCTGCCCTCCCAAGGGAAATGGGGGTATTTTTGTACGAGAACGGGGTTTGTTTTGTTCTACCAAAGCCACTCCAATATGTAAAAACGAGCGTAGCGTGTCCTCAGCCAGTCAGACTATAAAGCACGCGGTGAATCACACTAGATAGAACAGTGACGAAGGTGTAACGAATGTGTTCCAGCCGCAGTGGGCTATTTGTAAATAGTGGATGATGCAAGTATGGCTTCAAATTCAAACCAAAGGGCCGTTCATATGGGCGAGTTGAACTATCCAGGTATCGTCCACGGAGTAGCCTGGAGCTTAAATGGCTCTAGATAGCTTAACAGAAAGATAAGCTTCACGATACAGCAGCGTATTGAAGCTGGAGGGAGGTTGACAGTTGGCCACGTGAGTACAGGCCGAGAGGCACAGTAGGGAAACGGACAACGAACGGGGTACTAAGACGAATGGAGGGTGTGATTTGTCCCTCGGTGTAATGTTGTATGTGGTGTGAGGTGTGAGGTGGTAGGCAGGTGGTAGGTAGGTGGTGGTGGTGGTGGTGTGAGTGGGGGAGGCGGGAGCGAAGACAGGATGGGATAGGAAGAAATACCTAGGTAAGACACCACGGAACAGGCACAGGCACGGGCACGGGCACAGGCACAGCAGACGACGGCGACGACGACAACAGGGAAGATACATATAAAGCCCGCATTGGTTGGAGGGCGGGAATGGCTTTTATTATCAACGAACAATGTGTTAGTGTGTGTGGCTGTCAGCTAAGTACTTCGTAGGTCGGCCAGGTTGGCCAGATGTAGGCATGGGGGAGGCTTGCTTGGAGAAGAGAAGATCCGAGAGATGGAGAACAACACATTAGCAAGCCAGGGTAGACCAGGGGTATGTACATTCTGTACATAAGTACCTAGGTATGTAAGTGACGATACCGACAATGTATGTAGGTATGTGGGCTCGCAGAACTACCTATCTTCTCGCCCCCCCCGCCTTGGCGCATTCGCATGCAGACCAGTTACGTGTGGGAGGGAGGGTGAAGGCCCGGCTCGGCTGACAGCAAACACCGGAAGTAGATACTATATGGCCAAGTACGTGTAGAGGCTTGGGCAAACGACTTGGCTTTGAGATGTTACTTGGCCTGCATGAAGTGAAGTCACTTGTTCAATGTAGACAGCCTCGCGTGATCAGAAAGATGGTGGCATACTAGCGGGATAAAAGATAAGAAAGAAGCAAGGAAATGAAGATGAGCAAATGAGCAGTAAAATTAAAGCAATCACCGGCTAATCGATACCGGTTTCAGGAAGACAGAACAAACAAACACAGACACAGGTCTCGTCTCGTGCCTCGGACAGTACTGCTCGGAGCTCGAGGGAGAGACCGACGTCCAGTGTTTCTCACAATGTGGAGATGGAGAGCTTCGGAGTTTATACTGGCGTTGTACTTACTGTGTAGGTAGCGCTCAAAGCGGGGTTCTAGATTCAATTAGCGCATCGATGATGGCGGGGTGATGCCTGGTGCTAAGGCCGCTGACCGCCGACACGGGACGCTAAGTTACTCAAGTAAGTTATAGCGAGTAGGTACCCTTTCAGCTACCTAGGTACACACTTAGGTATATTCCCTCACCACTATACCAAAAATACATATACCACACACCAGTAAGTGACAGACGAAGGAATGGTAGAAGGGAATCAGGATAACCAAATCAAAGAAATGCATTCTTGACTCGACATTTGGCTCCTTTGATCCATCTTCATCTTAAGCTTAAATGACCGAGTTTCGTCATCTTGACCTAGCATAAGGCTTGATTGCCTTGGATGACGTAACCCAACCACAGATCAGCAACACTTGTGGAGGTACCTGCATTTCTGGTCTTGATCTAAAGCAGCAAGAGATGCATCAATGAGACGGTTAGATGCCCGATAGAAAGAAAGAAAGGAAGAAAAAAAGGGAAGGAAAGAAAGAAAGACTAGATAACTAATTCCCCATAAGTCCCGGGCTGACCAACGGCATCGTGAACTCACAGACCCTCATCCCATCCACATGGGTACATTTAAAACGCTCACGATATCTTTCAACATCTGCCACCAAGTTCGCAACACTTATAGAATTGATAGAAAGATGGATCAAGGTTGACTTTTCCAAAGCGCTGAGTCATATAAATCAACGAAAGGCAACCCGACAGAAAGTACCGGTAGAGCCTGAATACCATCAGATATCAATGAGGCCTTACATGCCGTAGTAATCCTCAGCCCCCTTCTCACACGTGCTGCCGACTATCCGGCTCATCGCGCCATCACAAAAACTTGGCAAATCGTGAGAATATTTCCGTACCGGTGGGACCGAAGAAACCCCCCACAGCCTCAACCTCAATCAGATTAGAGGCATTTCTAGGCATGAAACAACGGCCCAAACGGCCGGATCGTAACGGCTACCTACTCCGTCCCAAACAATACATACGTAATATATGCAGCGGCCAAATCAAAGTAGAAAAGAAATAAAACGCTATGCGATAAAACTAAGGTTATCAAATTATCCACGATATACTAAGAGCACTAGGTGCATTGATCGCTGGAACGAAGTTGATGTAGATGTGCCGATGCTGTGATGTGCTATGCATAATCGGCTCACGGCACCGTTTCAAAGGCTTTAGTGCACAAAATGTCTCTCACGAGCATCGAGATGCCTCAACCTGACTATAGCCGACTTGCAACTGCCATCACACCGACCAAAAGGGGATGTGAGTGTTTTCAAGATGGAATATATACAAAATTGTCAACCCATATATACATATTCATATAATCCTCATAACCCAAAAAAGCATCAAAACGATTCGTGTACGCGTGAGTCGAGCTACCCATCGTCATGTTACTCAGGGGTATTATATACCGTGACACCGTCCGTTCCCCAACCGTGAATCCAGTATAGCCAAACATGATGATCAGAAAATCAGTTGCCCCGTCTCAATGCCTTTTAAAAACCGCCCCGAAGAGACAATGAATGCATCAGGGCTTCCTCGAGCATTGCACATCGTCGCCGGCACAGCCAGCTAGTAAACAACACCCAGACGCCTCACCACAGTCGTCGTTGGTAATACACAGGCGTATCGCCCCGCGAGAGGCGCTGGATCTCAGCCTTTATGCGCCGCCGTCTCTCAGCCCTCGTAAGCGGTTCCCCGCCCTCTTGGACGCCGTCCCACGCGGGCTTGACATCCAACGGGAAATCATCATCACCTGAACCGTATTCACCATTCTCCCCGTCATCTCGCTTCTGCCCCGGCTCAACGGTTTCGGGCTCTGTCGGTCGCACCTCAATAACTTCCGGCACATCTCCCACTACCTCCGGCTCAGGCCTGCTCTGTATCTCCACGAGGGTGCCATCCTCAAGACGAATCGTCGTCTTCGTCCGTGTCAGCGCGTCAATGTCCCAGGTCTTCGGCTTCGGACGCGTGACGACAGCTGGTTTTATCGCATATCGCAGGTCGCGTAACGTCCGCTGCTGTATGAGGCATCCGCTGATAAATAAGGCAGATGTGCAAAGTAAGACTACAAGAGGTATTCATTAGAACTTAGTACTAGGTACACATAATTTGAGGGGGGGGGGGGGTTCCGCACCCATGCCACAAGTAAGCAGCACAGATACCTGGGACGAAGTCAAGAGCATCTTGTGCGGAAGTGCCTTGCGGCTCTTATTTCGGCGGGGTGGAAAGCGACCATGTGAAAATTGACGAAAGCTACTCTTCTAGACTAGATTAAGAAGATGACAGCGGCGAGATTCAAACTTGGATATGATCGCTAGAAAGCCTAAGTATAGTATATATATACGATAGCGAGCGGAATTGAGTAGGAAATGAAGAACAAGGTGATCAGATCACGCTCTTTAGGCGTGGAGAGGATGAGACACTTAAGTCTCAGGTAATCTAGACTCGACTACCGGTAGTCTTTGCATTGCATGACGATATCGAAATCACATGTCCCCATTTCTTGATTCCGATTTCCTGTTTTCGCGTTGGGTGTTGTTGGCATGGCAACGTCGTGTCCAGGTCTTGGCATCGGGCGTTGTGGCAGTGCAGGACCAGCCACATCTCTCTTCTCCGACTCAGTGGAGGTTGTACGCGTAAATTGGCGGGTTTTGTATAATAAAGCAAAGAAAGGGCCAAAGGGCAAAAAAAAATTGAATAAAAATGTTATAGTTGAGACGGTAATTCTAAAACCCGTGCCGGGTGTTCCACTTCCTCTAGCAACATTTGTAAACGCTGTCCCCAGTGAGGATATCTTTCGCCGAGCTCATGGTTGTTCGCTGGGGCTTCCGGCACAAGCATAGAGGATAGGTGGGGGTCCAACTTCTTCGTCGCCTACTTAAGGCTGAGTTGCCCTGTAGTACAGTCGCTGGATTAGAAAACGAGGTTAGGCTAGGCGTGTTAAGTCAAGACATGGGGGTCGAAGTCTGCCTATTTGATACGATTTATATGACTCTGAATTTTGTGACGGGCATTCAACAGTCAATATTCCCACGAAGCAAGTACATCTAATGAAATATGACTGAACGCTCGCTCAGAGCAATTTCAACATAATATTCGCCTAGCTAGGACAAGAGGTGTTTGGGATATAGAGCCAAGGGCGAGTCGTTGCAGATTGAGTGGCTCTATTGTTTCCCTAAAATCTGTGATATATACCACAAAGATCAGGATGCCCCCCCCAAAAAACTCGGGATTTAACACCAATAAATGAGTCTAGTCATTGAAGCCTTTGCTAACACCCGAGACGATTAGAGGTGTGGTAACATGGTTCAACATGGTTCACCATGCTATAAGCCTTTTGACTAAGGAAATTGTTGAGAACCAGAAGAGGTATATATAGCCAGAAAGAAAGCCTACATGTCCTCGTGTGCTTGGGGCCTCTTCTCAGATAACTGCATGATAATGAAAGTCTTGCCATACACCCATGGACCGGCTCCTAACAATGCCACAATGCATTGGTGGACTTGACGCGCTCGCAGAACAGCAGAAAAAAAGCCGGGGCCACTTTAAGCTAATTATATAGGTAGCTCATTAAATGGGGAGCTCGCTATAAGACCTATGTGCTCCAGGAAATGCAGACTCATGAGCTCGTGGTTGTGATTGATGAGGGTCGTGTGTGTGATCCATTGCTGGTACCCTAGCAACGGGTGATGGGAAAGCCTTCGCGGCGTTGTATGTGGAATCAAGCGGCTCCATGGGTCGCGTACTATCCCTCGTTACCATAGCCTTATCTTGCTTTTTCTTTGCACGCCTTCGATATAAGAACCAACCTAAAAGAAACAGGAAGATAACCCCCAAAGCTGTACCAATACCGATGCCAACCGTTGCGCCGGTGGATAGGCCCGAAGTTCCCGCCGAAGTTCCCGGTGAGGAGGTCGGACTACTGGTCATGGATGTGTCGAGGGTCATTGGGGTTGTCTACTTTCTTCAAGGTTAGTGCCGCAGAGGGGCCGATTGAGGTATGAAACATACCGATATTATTGTAATGCCAAATGCACGAAGTATTATTCCACCTTGTTGGGAAAGGGTTGCCTCTTGCTGTGTGCCTATCGTACTATCCGTGAAGGTGGCGATGAAAGTCTGGTTTTGATATATTGATGTGCATCCTTCAGTTCCGCCCAGCGTAAACCTAGATTCAGAACTTTCATAAAATTAGAAAGAAACCCTGTGTTATAAGGAGGCGATTACCTACCCAGGGCAGCAGACAGTCACTGACGCGTGTTGGCTATAGAGTGTTGTCCTGAAAGCACCTGCATTTCTGTACCCTGGCGGGCAAGTGTGCCCAAAGTAAGGGGCAGACGTCCCATATGACGGCGGTAAGCAATCTCCTGTGGGAGTGGTCGCTGGCACACCATAATAATATTCCCAATAAGAAGTGTCTCTGTCTATAATGTCATGAGAAACTATCACGGCGTAGACATCTGTTGGGTCAAAACACGTTGTTGGGGCACTCCATGAATCTGGAAATGTAGGAAATGCCATAGTGGGTCAGTGATTCTGGAATGATAGAGTCAGAGAGTTAACTTTATATATCTTGATGTTGAAAGCATTGAATTGTGAGCTTTTTAGATATATGTGAAGAAGCTACGAGGCAATCTTAAGAGAGAATTGAAGAAATATTTAAGTGGCAAGGTAGGAAAATGAACTGGTAGGTGGAAGCTTCCAAGACGTTATTGGTGTTATCTGTGTAGTAGACCTAGCGGCTAGAGTTTTATTCTCTAACCGTTGAGGTAGCCTCTCGCATGGCTATTTAAAGATATTAACAATTTGAATAATGATCGTATCCAATCATAAAAGCATTCTGATTCCGCTGCAACCTTTTAATCAGTACTAAATATAGGTAAACAATACTGCACTTTTATGCAGGTCTAGTGACACGGCGCCATCGAATTAAGTAACTGAAGGATTGCACTTCTTATATGTAGTATACAGCCTTGTTTGTTGAGCTTACATAGGTGCCAGCGCGGATAGGCGAAGGCGGTAGGTAGTTTACGTGTAATTTACCATTCCTAACTTTTAGATCATTAATAATGTGATTTAAAATGACTGTTGATGAGAACTGCCTAAATTCATTTCGCTTAACTTGAGGTAGAGATCTCTTGTTGTGCTTTCAATTATGAACATCAACCAGGCTGAGGAAGTTAAATAATCATTTCGTGGGTTACTCTGCAGTTACCCACCCCTCACGGTTTCAATTTATATGAAGGACATGGCTTTCTAGACCTCGGATTAAGTCCTATATTTGGTCTCTAATATCCATTGCCGCGTATTTCACTCCAAGTTGCATTGACTATCACGGATGAGAGTAAGCCCCGTCTCTCCGTCAGTCGGCAATCGTCTGAGGCTCTCCAATTATATTCTAAGGCTGCGTCAGCCAAGAATCTTTTACGACACTACCCACCCAGCAGGCTTAGACCCCAATTCTCCATGAGGTGTGCTAATTTGGGGATATTTTTAGACCACTCATTCTGTCTCTCCCCGCAAAGGCGTATCTCGACCCTGACAAACCAATTCCATCCTGAATTCAGTCCTATTGTTCCTTCCTGTTCAAAACTAACTTCACCCTCCCCTTTACTGCTTAATCGTTGCCGGACTGTCTATTTATATCGAAAACACCCTTGTTTTCTTACTTCTTCATCTGTTTCTTAGCAGTCTATTAGACTTATCTGATCCCTTTAAAAGATATCAAGCAGTTCAGAATCAGTCTAACCGAGGAAGGAAGAAGGATGGACCTTGTGACTTTTATATTATAATTATAAAAGGACGAGGTGGTCAGAGCGGTCGCTTAGAAGTATGGCATTCCGCGAGCTAAGTGGCGCTCTTCTTCCTCTTTCTAGCTGCTATGAGCATCTGCTAAGCTTCGTAAGTATTGACGGTGAAGGTATTTTCTCTCGGAACTTAGGTATCCCTCAAGATGAGTCTCGTTACGGATGAAACTATTGGGGTAGGATTAATTTAGGACGAGGTTGGATCTGCAGTATACAGGTGGTAGCAGTCCGACTTCAGCTGGCTGCAACATTTGCATACACCAAAATCAGGGGTTATAAAGTGTAAGGTTATTATAGGTTATTGACCAGTGCCTTTTTTCAACTATATATTTTAAAAGTAAGTGATACAAGTAATGAAAAGCTTATAATAGTTATTAAAAAGGTACGCGGGGGGCGTTAAAAGTGATAAAAGGTTATAGAAGTAATGGAAGTGAGGAGTAGTTAACGAAAGGGGTGCTAATGGCGCGTCACAGGCTGTTGCAGCTGTACTCACAGATCCACTGTAGGACCTACTGCACATCCAACCTCATCCTTAATTTAGCGGATACTCTTCTTATCCCCTTTCATGTTCCTGTAGGATTTGGCTCAACCTTTTGCAAACTCTTTAAATCAAGTTGAGAGAACAACGAGGAGGAGATCAGATCCCATTCAACTTTACTACTAGCTTCCTTTAAGCGAACAAACCCTAAACTTTTTAACCGAGTTCAGGAGACGGGAGTTTCTCGGCACCTAAGCATAACGCAACATCCCTTTGCAGAAATATATATATATATAATTTTCGAGCTTGAGTTTACCTGCTCCTTAATTTTACCTACGTCTGATAAAATACAATTTAATATTAGTTGTCAGATATACAGAGAGTAACCGCACTGTACAGCGCGCCTTGTAATACGGGGCGCATTGACCAACAGCATTTATACTGGCTCACCCTCAGGTACGCTGATTGTCATCAGAGTCTAATCCGTATTCTGTGTCCAACGTAGCACGTAGATCTACATGCTGCTCGCCAAAAACAAGGAGAAACCCGGCAATTGAAATTGCAAAGCCAACAAACCAAACAATACGTAAAGAGCTTGTATACACGTGAAGCGTTTGTTGCAAAGTCTGTCCGGTGAGATCCCTAACTTTGACGGCAAACTCATATGCTCCTCCATGAGCGAGAGCATTTCTGACAGTCAAATCATCGACCATGCCTAGACTGGTATCAACACGGCTGTTGAACACAACTGCTGGAATAGTGGCCCCCCACACAAAACCGAAGGATCTGATAAATGAGTATGTACTGGTAGACACAGCGGCGTCCGATTCAGGGAGAACCGCCTGTATAGCTGGCAATTGTGTCGTGAGCGGAAGGCCAATGCCAATGCCAGCGAGGATCTCAAACCATGCCCATGTAACTGTGGTCGTGGATTCGGAAAGTGTGGAGAGAAGGGCAAAGGAGACCGACAAGACAATGAAGCCTGCCCAGTGAAGTGGCTTATAATGACCAAATCGTGTCAAGAGAGCTCCAGCCACTGCACCCGTGGGAATCATGAAAGCATTGATCGGCAGAATGTTAATGCCGGCGTCTAGGGCGGAAGTACCTTGTACCGATTGAAAATAGAGCGGCAACACATAGACGCACCATTGAAGGTTGACGGATATAATGAAATCTTGCAGATAGACTGTTACTGAGGTGCGGTGGGTGAACAGGTGCAATGGCATGATGGGCTTATCACAGTAGGCTTGCTGCATAAAAAACGTGCCCAATCCGAGAAATCCAAGAACAAGAGGCAGGATGGTTCTCCAGGAACCCCAGGGGGACAGCGTGCCGCCTGAAACCAATCCGATGAGGACTGAAGTAATAGAAGCAATGAAAAGAAAATTACCGACGAAGTCAAGACGAGCTAATGAATTCCACCAGCTGACGGGCTTCCCTACCTTAACACGGAAGAAGGGGATCACAACAGCCAAGGTTATTCCACAAACCGGAAGATTGAGCCAAAATGCCCACCTCCAAGTTGAATGAGTGACAATAGCGCCCCCTATCACTGGTCCAATGACACTTCCTATGGCGCAAGCACCGAGGACGACGCCAAGGTAAGTGCTGCGATCCCGAAGGGGCAGCAGATCACAGACAATCAAGTCAATCAACATGATCATACCACCACCACCGAGTCCCTGCACTATGCGACCTGCAATGAACATTGCCGTAGTTCGGGAGCCGCCGGCGACACCACTACCCAAAGCGAAAATGACGATAGAGGCAATGAATGGGTAACGTCGCCCGAAGATGTCAGCAAGCTGGCCGTACAGGGGCTGAATTGACGTCACGGCCAAAACATAGGAGTTGCCAAGCCAGGTGTAGTCGCCTGCACTGCCAAGCTCGTCAGAAATAGTTGGTAATGCTGTGAAGATGATGTTGATGTCGATGGCGCTGATAAAGCCTGCAAGACATAGGCCTAAGAAGATGAGCCAGAAATGCATGCCTTTGCGGACTCCAGGGTCTTCTGAAGGCGGAACGGCCTCTAGATGGACTTGGTGTACAAGATCAGACTCCTTCGAGCTAGAGATCCCCGAACCGTAGCCTTTATGTGGCGACTCCATTTTCGCTATGATATATATGCAAAACAATGACCGGACTCTTCCAATCTAGAGGCTGTGAAGAGCTGAAAGAGTGTCAAGTAATCAATCGCAGTGTGAGCTATTGAAATGAGACGAGTGAAGATTGGAGTCGACACACCATAAGAGGAATGCTGTGTTGGAGGTTAAAGGCAACACTTATTGTATTCCGTCTCGTATTCTCCACGAAATGAGAGCTCAGAAGGCTCTGCCTATACATAGATGTGCAGTGAGAGAGTGTTAGGGAAGCCAAAGTCGGCGGAAGTGGGCAAGCGTCCCAACCCAACGACAGAATCATCATGGGCGGCCAGCGGGCTATCCTGTCTGTTCCAAACAGGACACAGACCAAAAGTCCGATTTATTCTTGTGAGCCAAGCAAATTTGCATGTTGTTTCAATTGCATGCATGCATGCATGTAATCTCCCAACAGCCCGACATAGTCCTATGTACCAAGCCGTACTCGAGGATGTAGAGTACTAGTGGTGATGCCACGCAGAAATTGTTGGTAAGACGACCGTGGAAGCTGCAGCTGGAGCATATATGGATGGGTGCGCGTTGCCATAGCATAGAAACACTAGAAATAGAGCCAACAATCACAACCTAGTCCAAGGGTCAGAATGGGTACTGCATTGTCGCTTGATTCCGACAACTCTGTTTTGGCCCATGAGTATCGTAAATTATTCATCCGTTTCTCAAACCAGTAGTACCCGACAATCGCCATGCTAGCAGCCTTTGGAATCACCGAGCTTCTTGTTTGGGGAACTTCGAACCCAACGGCATTTTGTTCCGCCATCTTCTTGATTTGGTATCTAGGATGGCGGCTATGGAGGTTCACTATTATCCCCAGGATTTGGAGAAATGAGCCACTCCTGCTCCCCTATTGGTTGCCTTTTATAGGTGAGATTATCAACAGCTACTGCTCACCTTTGCCGTGGTTATTTAACATGCAACCGCTGCAAGGTCATACCTACGCGTTTGTGCGAAATCCAGAAGTTTTGATCAATAACGGCTAGTAAGATATCCCATCAACTGTATGTTGTCTACATGACTAATGGCATCGGGGAAGCAACCATTTTGGGACCAGCAAGCCATTTGCATTGACTGTCTCTGGCCGAAGAACCATTGTGCTGAGGGACATTCAAGATGTAGCCGTTGTGTGGCGAAATACACAGGCGCTGTCTTTCGACCCCTTTGTTAAAGCCGTTCTAGGAGCTTTTGGTATCAGCAAGAATTCTCTTTTCAGGATATTTGCCGACCCAAGAGATCTGATCGATGAGTCTGTATACGAATCATCGCTGCTCATCAAGAAAAACCCCCAGAACAAAGGCTACATGAACCTAGAGCGCGACTGGTTTAAAGAACAATTATTAGCTCCCGACGCTCTGCAGAGAATCGAGAGCAAATACTGTCGCTATCTTTCTGAGTCTCTAGAGTGGGATAAACTTTCTCCTACATATATCTTCCCGTCTGACTCTTCCTCTATGAACTGCAAAGCTATCTCACTCAAATTCTTCTGTAGGTATACTATTTCATCATGTAGCACCAAAACCTTCTTCGGGACTCAATTGGAAGAAACGGCCCCTTCTTTTCTGAAAGATTATCAAGAGTTCGAAGAAGAGAGTTGGAAGATCTTTTATCGATTTCCAGCATGGCTAGCTAGTCGATCGCACGATGCCAAAAACAAGGCGATGAGTCAACTGGCTGAGTTTCTCTCTGCGCCAGAGGAAAAGCACGCCGATCTTGAGTGGCTCTTCAAAACTATGACTAGAGAGTTACAATACCTTCAAGTACCGCACCGTGATATCGCAGGTATTGTCATGATAATCATATGGGCGTAAGACTCTCTACTCTCTCCCCATCCTACATCACCGTGCTTCAGCGTGACTGACGAGAGGAACTTGTAGGATCAACAACAACGCGCACAAAATCGCCTTTTGGATAATCGCACATTTATTGCACAGTCCAGAGTACTTAGCTACGGTACGCCACGAGACTGATGCAGCTTTTTCCTCCACAAAAGGGAAACCTGACATGAAGGTACTACTAAATGACTGTCCCCATCTTGACGCTATCTGGTATGAAGTTCTCAGGGTTTACAACGCTTCATCCGCTATTCGTGAAGCCGTAGCGCCTTGTGAAGTCGCAGGACAGAGTGTAAGAGTTGGAGATCAACTGGTGGCACCTTTCCGGCAGTACCATATGAATCAGTCTATTTTCGGCGAGGAAGTATCAACATTCCGACCCCAGCGATTTTTGGACAATAAGTCACTACCGCGAACGAAAGGTTATGCGCCCTTCGGCGGAGGCCATACATACTGCCCTGGTAGACTGTTTGCTCAACGGGAGATCTACTTGGTCGTGGCTGTGGTTTTGCGAAGGTTCACACTGGCGCTAGCTCCTCGCAAAGGTGGCCCAAGAATGCCAGAGGTAGACTTCAACACGCCGTCTGCCGCAGCCATGGGTCCAGATGAAGACGTCGTAGTGCTGGTCCAGGTGCGTAAAGAGTAGCCTATGCACCTATCTGTATTGGGGTGGATGAGATACAATGTGATGGCTTGTTAAATATCCCTATATTTAGAGACATTTAGATGATATTCAGAGCCTTACATTATGTATTACGTCTGGAAGCACCTTATGATGTGATTATTATTGAGTCAAACGCACTATGCATATAGTGAAACAAAATACACTATTGCACACTTCTAGTCGCAGCTAATACCATCTTCCCATTACCATTCATAGAAAAGTCGGCTTACCTTAGCCCTAAACAGCTTTGAGCTACATTTGTATCGATGCTAGCTAAACAAGTTGATTGAGAGAGGTGAACATCGGCCTGGTCTGAATAATTCTTAGTACTCACATCATATTAACCACTGGGAAGAGGGCCGGACCTTGCGTATTCTGGTATGATATCAGACTCTCTAATTAGCCCAAGCAACTGATTTCCAAACATATATAAATTTCAACTGAGACCATACAAGAGAATACTACACTTAGAATACAGTATCAGGTTCGCTACCTGTGGCGCCAAGCCGACTAGGTAGCCATAGGGTGGCTGGTAGACCCCCTTTTCTCAATCTCAACCAGTTGAGAATCCACGCTTCACCATTACTTTTGCATCAGGTGACTACTCAGTGAATTCTCCCTTTTCAACTTACAAGCCATCGTCGAAGCTAATACTCAGGGTATGGACCAGCTTCCAGCCACTAGTGTAGGCTCAGAGGCAAGTCTGGGTGGGCTATTATTCTAAACAACAACCACGTCAACCATTCTGGTGATACTGTTGCTGGTTTGATCGGATGTCACACTTGATTCGAAATCAAAATGGTATGGCATAGGCCTTGATGTGAAGGGGCTCGCATCTTGTAAATGGATATAATTGTGTGTTGTTGATGTGTTGTGGTGTGTGGCGGAATGGCCACCTCTGTACACGGACTTGGGTGTTTTTTGTGTACCACTGCTTGATGATTTGAGGACATATTGATCCAGGAATATACGTATTGGGGTGAAAAGAATCGAATTTTCCCGTTCGTGTCTGTATAGATTTGCACACGCGGGCATACAACTGCATATGATGGCTATATTGATTTCTACAATACTAAACATGTGCCAGTTGTCAGTCGATGGATCTTTTGTTGCAGGCGGAATGAGATTAGGCTTACGCTGCGCATATATAAGCTCCCTCGTTCCAGTTGATATCAGGGGTGAATGTCAGTTTATAACGGAAGTAAAATCCTATTCCACTAGCAATGACGGCGCTAGAATCTTGATTAGCCGAAGGTATGAGCTGGGTGTTTGAAGCACTAGGGTTACTAACAAGAAGCCGGTAAGGAAGACTATTAGAACACCGATCTTCTTGCGCTTTGGCATTTGCAAACGGAGAACCGGTGGCAGAGGGAGGATAAAAATGTACAAATCTAGAGCAATGTCTAAACTGCCTTGGATAACTGCCCAGTTAAGCAGGGTTTTGCACTTGTCAAAGACATCCAACGAATTCCAGTCTTCACCAATACGTGGTGCACAGAAGTAAGAGAGTAAAGGAATTGCTGTAAGATATACAGCGAAATTGGCGAACAGTGCGAAGTAGCAGGCGAACCTGAAACCAGCTTGTCTGCCGAACAGACGAATATAAAGTACTAAAATCGGCAAACGAGAGGTGAAATAAGCAAAAGCCTGAATCGTATTTCCGGCATATCGAATCTATAGTCACAGAATGTCAAAGACCGGAAAACATATTTCATTGAAAGCTTGATTGGGAGCAAACCTTCCAGTAGTCTTCAGTAAACCAGATCAACGGAACATCCCAGAGGTGGCGTGACTTGTGACTTACTAGCAAACGAGACGCGAAGCTTTGGTTAGCTTGGTTGTCCATCGAAATCTTGACACCGAGATTCACTACTAAATACAGATAATTGACTTACGAGACAAAACAATCCCAACATAGGCAATTGAAAATATGGTGGCCACTAGAGTGAGAACTGAAAGGCTTGTGAGTTACCGTAAATATGGCAAACTCTTAGCAATGACTACACTACCTTCTTCAGTACCAAGTCTATGAAGAATGCGGACGCCTGTATAAATTCTTATCGTCACGAACACGATTGTGAGTGCCAGCACCACAGTACTAACAACAATCATGGGTACTTGCTGCGATGGCGGGTTCGTGAAGTTTGGGATCACACCAGCGGGCGGTGTTGTGGCTGGCACCTGACTTAAGTCGGGTTGGTCCATGGTGGATAAGTGATAATAGTAATGACGATGCTAATTCCTCGGTTAAAGTGAAATATTGGCTTCTTAGTTGTATGTGCAGATGAGATGGCGAACAGCTATATATCGGCTTGTTTGCTTTTGTTAGGAGGAGTCTGGCCTAAGAGTGTGAAGCTGGTCTTCTCTGTTGGCTCTTCTCCTGATGGCTTTCTCATTGCTGTCACGCGGAGCTTCATGAAACGCCTTGGGTCTTCAGATTGACCTAAGCCAAGGACGGTGTGCCCCAAGCGAGCACTAGACATATAGTCACATTAACAATGAAACTCTGGCCACTTGACTTGCATACTCATCTACACCTAGTCTTACAATGTGATAGATGGGTAGTGCTTTGGTTGCTGAAAATAGCAGCCTCGATCATACGTTGCTAGGTACATGAATAGAAATAATTATCGGGCCAACAGTCACTCGGCCTATACACCGAAGAGATCCATGCATGTGACGGTGATCATATCCATGACAACAATCTTAGCACTAGCCCATTGGGTATATATTGTTGGTGATGGAGGATATTTACGTCTAAGCGCCTAAACCCCGCCTTGCGCTCCTCGCTATGGGTGAGCGATACTATGTGTATCATAGGATCAGCGTTCAGCACAGATGGCATCATTTTTCTGCTACTCGTCAGTATGTGGGATGAGCCAACTGGTGTTGGTAGCCAATGACGTCCACGAAATTAACTCTGAGATTGACCAGGGTGCATTGAAACCCCTCCTTGTGCCTATCTAATGGCGCCCTAAAACCAAATACCCCGGGGAAAACAACGAAGGAACAATATGCGACCTGGTTGGGTTTACGCTTGCATTTCAAGCGATCTAAGTCAAGGTACTAAGTAGGTAGCTCATGAAGGCAGCCAAGAGTGGGCTGGGCTGGATGATAAGTTCTTGGTGAAAGTGAAATCTGGCTCCAGGGGTACCCCATACTGTAGGCGAAATACTTCGACCAATATCGCCTGGGATCAGACTAACAGTGTTATGGTGCATTATATTGCTGCAATTCCGGGGCACTTGCTGCCAACAATGTAAAGGCTAGCCAATTGAATTCTTCTTGATGCCTTCTCAGCCTCAACAACCAAAGCTCTAGATAGGCTCCAGCATCACCGTCTGCGCTGCTACCTAAAGCGCGCTGCAGTGGGACGATTGTTGCGGCTCCTTTGCGGCGCAATCAGCGCTTCTCTGTCTGTTGGACAGCCAACATATCTTTGCTTCTAACAACAAAACCAGCTTGTCGCAAGGGGTTCAAAATAGGGTAGTCCGCGATTCCCAAGTTTCATGGGCTTTCGTGTCCAAGGCACATGGTCCAGTGCCCACCATGGCTCAAATGTATGCTGACGTGCCACTTGCGATCCTGCACACACCACAGTTCGAGACTGGCGAGGTAAGTCCCTCCAAGAAGGACGCCGACACCTATACTACCTCTAACCATGATCTAATAGACGGACCCTTTCACTGTCGAGGCATCTCACATGGTGCTGAGCCATAACTCATTTATCCGCGGTTTTAATAGCATATACCAGCAAGCTCCTCGTGTAAAGGCTGCAGACAAAGCCGATTTCGTGGAGTACTGCATTGCCTGGCACGACTGCGTTGACGCGCATCATCACTATGAAGAAACCGAGCTTTTTCCAAACATCAATAAAGCTTGTGGCAGGACTGATTTAATGAGTGCTGCCGTAGAGGAGCATGGTACGTAGGTTTCTGCTCAATATGTCCCGATTATCATGGCTAATTATATTGTCCGCATAATTTATAGCTACCTTTTTCGGTGGCATGGGAAGAATGAAAGCTTATCTGCAACAGGAAGGAGCTAATTTTAACGGTGACGAGCTAATCGCTATCTTGGACTCTTTCAAAGATGCTTTGCACTCTCATCTTAAAGCAGAGCCCCCTGCGATTGTGGCTCTCAAGGAGTATAGCACAGCGGAGAGACCAATCGACATCCTAGGCATTGCTGATGCAGCTGGAAAAAAGCAAGTCAACATGAGCTTCGTGTTGAATGTCCTACCCGTGTTTCTTCTCAATATGGAGACCGCAGACTTTGAAGAGGGCATGTGGCACGACGTATTCCCGCCTTTCAAAGGTGTTGTCAAGTGGGTTTTGACTAAGGCTGTTCCAGCATGGCATTCAGGTAGATGGCGATTTGTGTCGTGTTCCCCTGATGGGAGCGTTAAGCAGTTGGCTGTTTGACATGTACTATGAACGCTAGTTCACCATGTGCATAGTCATACAAGGCTTTCTTCGGACGAAGGTTGATGTTTACTAAGTAGTATAACGCATAGTAATTTAGTTTGGGGTCTCTGAACTGGGCCACGCATATATTCTCTGATCGTTCATATGCAACGGTATTATTTGACTTCAAAGACTTCCTAGGGAATAATAACCCGCATGTGCTCTTGTGCTTTCTTTCATATTCATGGTGGATGGCTGACAACTGTCCATCTTACGACACATCTGTTTTCTGGATCGTATCTCTACAGCTGAGACTGAAGCTAGACTCTCCTCTCTACCCGTCTCTTTTTCAAAACGACGTACACAGGTTCTTTCTGTACCACGACGAACGTTTTTAACTCATTCCAATTGATTCGAGTGCAAGGGGCTTGGGAAAGGTCAAAATTCCAAACCAACTGCGCTAATACCAATCGCATTTCTGCCATCGCGAGGGGCTTTCCAAGGCAGCTGCGTGTTCCAAGTCCAAATGGTTTTTGAGTGTCGCGAACATCATTTCCAAATTCAGCTGGTCTTTCTGCTTCTGGGAGGAATCTTTCAGGAAGGAACTCATCCGCGCGGTTGAAATTAGTTGCAGACAGCGACATCGCCACTGGGCTAAGGGTCACATGAGTCTGGGTACATCATTAGTGGCTACCTGCCGAAATCAAGCTGAGGGGTGATACTCTTACACCAGATGGTAATGAATAGCCACAAACGGTTGCTCCTTGTTCTGGTACAATGCGCATAATACCTCCTGCCACGGGATTACAAAGTCGTAAAGTCTCAGAAATAACCGCACTGAGATATGGGAGCTGATGCAAAGAGCGAAAAGAGATATCTAATTCATTTGCAAAGTTCCCTCTAATCTCATGCTCTAGTTTTTGGAGAGCGTCCGGGTATTGCACTAGATAGTGTAGCGCCCCGCAAAGTGCTGTTGCCGTCGTTTCGCTGCCCACAATGAGCAGCATAGTTAGTGTTGATTCAACCTCTTGCTGGCTCATTTTTTCAAATCCCGGGTTATTCTCAAGAAAGTGACTCATGAAATCGGGTCGCATGACTTGTGATGACATCCGTCGCTGTATCTTATTGAGAGCAGTAGCGTAGTGGTTGCTTTGCATTTTACGGAGTTTCGCTGGGATCAGTCTCCAGAGGATAGACTCTAGCCCTCGGTGGTATCTAGTTGCAGCTGCAAGAGCCATAACTAATCTCGTTAGTTGAACAACGCCGGACCGGGATATCATACACTGCAAGCATACCTCCCAGAGAATTGGATAGTAACTCTATCCATGGATGATGCTTCGTATCTTGTAGACAGCCGAATGATTCCCCCAACGCAAGCTCGCCAATAGAATCGAAAGTGAACCAGTTGAGCCAATCCACAACATTAATTACGACACCAGAAGTCGAGTCACTGGCATTACACACCTTCTCTTTGAATCTGTTCACCAAGAGATGAGCATAACCCTGGATGATAGCCTCTTGTCTCATGACCGCGCGATCTGTAAAGGCCGGTGCTACGACTTGGCGCATTCTTGCACTATCAACTGCGCTGACTGTTGTCACAAGATTTTCTGGCTGACCAGGAGGCGCTTTAAACCAAACATTGTTTCTGAGCAATTGTTTGTGGCCTTTTGTTGGTGTACATATATCGTGCCATGCTTCAACGTGGGAGAATGAGATCTCGTTTGGGGCAGTTCTCACAATGTCGCCATAAGTTTGATGAAACTGTCTTATATCCGCAACTAGTCTACCAGACACTAGAGACCGAATGAAACTCAGTCTGGAAGCGCGCCACAGCACAGGCCCTGGAATTGAAGCCAGAGGATGAAAGTACAAGTTATATATAATGGATCCCACCCAAAACTAATAATGGTTAGTTGATGAATTCACGATGAACTCTAGTCAAAATAGGCGATCTTACGGCGACTATACCGACGAGTATGGCATTGAGTAGGTGCAGCCATGCAATGGTGCCTAACCAGGTTGATTCCATAGCTAAACTTTCATAAACTTGGTCTGAATATGTAGAGGGCAATGAGGGGAGAACCTCCCATAATTGTTGTTCAAGTTTTTTTTTTCATGCGTCTATGGTTTCATGATGGCCACACCATATCAGACTCGGATTTTATCTTTATCTCCACTCGTCGAATCGCCTGTTAGCTTTTCTTATCTCTTGCATCGTTATTCATAGACTAAAAACGTTTGTTATTCCAACATCACATGAGACTGTTAGCTTCACCCGCTAGCATTGATGTCAGGGTTACATCGTCTCTCCATGGACAGAAGGAGTAACAGAGGTACATATGAGTACAACGACGTGACCAATCCTACCAGGATTTGTACAGTTATACATGGAATACAAATATGTACATCCGATTGTTAGGAAGCCATCTAAGTCGCGCTGAACTGCTAGATTCGTCGTGACGCCCGTGTTCGCTTTATGCTGTTGGTACGTCCTTGATGGAACCCACTAGATGGATGGGGCATGCCTGTGCCGCAGCTGAAATAATCAATCCTTATCTCTAACAAGGGCAAGCGGCCGAGAGCAATGACAATGAACTTTGGCTGTAGGGTCCAGACATGTTGGAATCTATGACTTCAGGACGTGGCCTATTATTTATACTCGTAACAAGCTGTGAGGAATGCCTACAGGGTACCTTTGTATGGTATCAGACTTCTTACTCCGACTCATACATTCTGTGTTGACTTTGTGGGACTATATATGCGAACCGAGATATCTTTATCAGCATGGCTTCAGAAAGGTTCGTATACTTCAGTCATCAAGCTCTACGCCATTGACTCTTAAGGCGCCCAAAGTTTTGCAGTACTTGTATTTGTGGCTAATTCCTGTCGCTAGTGTACTAGGAGAGGATTGTTTCGCACATGATGCTGCATCTATGTTCCTGGATCTATCGAGAGAACTTTCAAAAAAGAATCCTATTGGATCTTTCTCACCAGCTGTCTACGATACGGCCTGGCTGGCTCGCATTTCGACTAGGGATGGTGAGCCTAGGTGGCTATTTCCGCAATGCTTCCAGTATCTCTTGAAGACGCAAGATGAATCAGGTGGTTGGCTGATTGCAGGCTCGGAGACAAATAATATATTGAACACAATGGCTGCAATTATGGCTTTGAGAGATCACGAGGTGCGCTCGGATATATCGCCTTGCCCAGTTGTACCAGACCTTTCAGCACGTATCATGAGGGCCAAAAAATACCTCGAAAGGATCCTTGGGGAGTGGGATGTGTCAGCAACAACTCAAGTTGGCTTCGAAATCTTAGTCCCATCTATGCTCGAGAGTCTGGAGAAAGCCGGTCTACCCCTGAATTTTACAGGTCAGGAGATTCTCATGGCAATGCATCAACAGAAAATGTCATCTGTTCAACTGGATGTGATATACACTAATCACAAAACAACTTTACTACATTCTCTTGAAGCCTTCGTCGGGAAAATTGATTTTAGCCGTGTATCTCATCATATCGACGAGCATGGGTCAATGATGGCATCCCCGGCGGCTACCGCTGCCTACCTCATGCATTGCACAAACTGGGATAAGGCGGCAGAGCAATATCTACGCCACGTTGTGATGTATGGTAGTGGCAAAGGAACAGGGGGGGTTCCAAGCGCATTCCCAACATCAATATTTGAAACATCTTGGGTAGGTGCAGCCTATGCCGGTACATAGCATCTATAGCTGATGATCTCGGAGATTGTGTCAGTCCTGATGAAGACTTCACTTGCACCATTCCTAATAGCACAAGAAAGCACAAGAAAGCACAAGTACGATCCGCTCCTACTTGAAATCTCAGCTGGATTCCTGCCAAGGTATTGTAGGATGGGGTTAGTTTTCACTACCTAACTACTCATTCTTTCCAAGTCACTCACTAGATGCAGATTCTAATGTATTGGCCGATGCCGACGACACAGCCAAGACCATTTTGGCTCTCCATTTACTGGGCTCACTAGCTGATCCAGCAGCGATGATCGAGCAATTTCAATTCAATGGACATTTCCAGACATATAAGCATGAGCGAAATCCTTCCCTAAGCGCCAATTGCAACGTTCTTGATGCACTTCTCCATACTCCGAGTCCAGAAGAGTATTTAAGCGAGATCAAAGAACTAACTGCGTTCATTTGCGAAATGTATTGTTCAGGACAAGTTCTCGATAAATGGGTAAAGCTGCATGTCTACAACGTGTTGTCCAAAGCTAATATACAGCGCATAGAATGCTTCAGAGTACTATTCCACCATGCTTATTTCCCAGGTACTTGTGAAGCTATTACAGGCCTGGGATAATGGTGCTTTGTCTAGTTTACCAGAAGACTTAACTTCCTATCAGCTACCTGCCATCTTGCTCCGGATCGCTATTCATACTATACAAGCGCAGCATCCTGATGGGTCGTGGCGCCTAGGGAACCCCGAAAACGCTTCTCCATCACCTCAGATCACTGCATACGCAGTGCTAGCATTGAAAACGCTCATCGCTTTGCCTTGGCTAGCCAGATTTCAGATGAGAGTGCAAGAAGCCATTGATAGAGGAACGGCGTACATTCGAACGAATATGAGCTCAAGGCTCGACCACGAGACTATCTGGGTCGAGAAGGTCACCTATGCACTACCTCCGGTTTCTCGAGCTTATTGTGTAGCTGCTCTTTGCCCACTCATATCCTGTCAGTGGAAAGCCAGAGCTTTGGGAATAGCTGAAACCAATGTTCACAAGGTGGAAAATCTAGCAATGTTCTTTTCTCAATTGCCGCTATTCTCCGAGGACCAGATATGGGAGTTAGAAGCTGATGTAACTTTGGGATTCCTATATCAGCCTAAGCTGCGACGTGCCAGCTCTCGCATTTTCCCCCAACGGAATGACGTGACGTACTACAAATACCTTGAATACATACCCTTCACATGGATTGCAACAAATCGAAGAAACCAATATCCGCTGTCCAACAATCAGCTTTGGGAGTTAATGATGATTGCAGTTCTAGATTATCAGCTGGATGAATTTATGGAAACTGTCTTCGATGGCGACGAATCAGCTGAGAACATAGCGGCTATTAGGAAGTTGGTAAAACAACTATGTGACATTGGTTTAGATGAATCATCGCCTAAGAACAGTGGGGTGACGACGAGGACTCCAGGAGAAGATGCTGATGAGAGAGACTCCCAGGACAATTACCGCGACGAAACTAATAGGGGCATCACCACAAAGAAAGGTGACCGTAGTGAAATACTTGACTCGATTACATTGGAAACAATCAAGTCAGTGTTATACCATTTCACTTCCTACATATGCCAGCATGACGCCGTTGCCATGGCACCTGACCATATTCAGAAAAATGTGCGTAATGAATTGTCAAAGTGTATTCTTGCACACATAAACCATGTGGAGGATAATTATCACTTTGCGTCTGAGTTATCACAGCCACACTGTGAAAAGTCTTTATCAGCAACCAAAATTCCCAAGTTTGAATCCCCACGTGAAACTTATCATTCCTGGATAAGCACGACGGGCGCTGACGACACACATGCACCTTTCACATTCCAATTCTTCGTGTGTGTTGCAGCGTGCACAACAGGTGGCGCATTTTTCCAAGGTGTACGCCAACACTATCTATCTAGTGCAGCTAGTAGGCACCTTGCGAATCTTTGTCGCCAATACAACGATTATGGTTCAGTATCACGAGACCAAGCCGAGAAAAATTTGAACAGTCTAAACTTCCCAGAGTTCCATGAGGCTGGGAGGTACAATCAAGAAAGGAATGAGGCTACGATGAAGAATGACCTATACTTTATAGCACAGTATGAGCGTCAATGCCTCAATCATACGATGCAGTCTCTGGGCGCGGAAATGGTATCTGGTCATCGAGGTACTTGGAAGCTTCGGGCTCTGAAAGTTTTCGTAGATACGGTGGACTTGTACGGGCAAATGTACATAGCAAGGGACGTTACTCCTCGTGTAAAGTAAACCCCTATTGGAACTTGTCCACATAGATCCGAGTCAGCAACGGGTTGCTATACGAGAGAAGACACAACAGTGTCATTCAGAGGATATAAGACCCACGTGTTGACCTATCTGATTTATTTTACAGTTCTAGAGATTCCTTGTGTGTAACAGAGCAAATACGCAGAACTACACCACTACACTACGCAAAGGCTAGAATATTATCAGGTCGGGAACCTGACCGTTTGCATACGCCATATATGGTGCCGTGATACTGTGGAAGTTAGTATTGCTACAGTATCGCACACCAGTCACATTGATTTCGTTAAAGCATGCCGAACTAGTAGGTTTCGGTATGTAAGAAGACGTTCTAATCTCGCACTGTGGTGGGCCCAGGAGCAGCTATATCTAGACTCTCTGGGCCTCGTCCGATTCGTCAAGTGTCTGACAGTCAACTATCACCAGATCGCCGCACGCGAATACTACGAGGCTTGCGCTTCCAATCACACAGTAGGCCTTGCGATGATTGATCGTTGCATGGCCCGATATGGCGGTGCGTACTGCACTCTAAAGCTGTCAGTTGATTACGCCTTCTCGATATCATCTCTCCATGTTATCATACTAGCTGACTTCTCTGAGTAGGTTGGCGTGTGTATCAGCGGCACGATTCGATTGAACAAGCAGATCTATTGCATCAGGGATAGGCCCAATAGCACAAACTGCCCCAATGGGCCCGGTGTTGACGAACTCGTGAACGAGATCGAGAGGGTGCATGATGCTAGCGCGTGGTACGGAGATAGTTTCACTTGCACCGAGGATCTAGTTTCTGGCTAACGTGAGAATACTAGGGAGCTGTGAAGAGTAACGCATATGGTGACTATTTTGGTGGTAGATGTATCGTCCAAGCTGCGCCCTATTTATATAGTCAACGGATTGTAAGGGGGTGATGCAAATGTCGTTCCAGATCATCTGTCAGTTCAGCCTTTGAACATTTGTTAGAACTTATGTACATAGATCACGACACTCGAAGTGCTGTAGGTATAAAGGTAGGCAAAGAAATCCGGTATCCTCATTGTACCGAAGTACCGCCAATCATGATCATTCTAAGCCTTCTTGATGAGCACGCCCTGAATCCTAGGCAGCACACTGACTGGATCTTCGGGCGATTCGATCTCCCTTGGATTTTCCCATTCCCCTCCGCCGAGGATATCAGCCAACACATTCCGAGTCATATGACAGCCTACAAACGTGCTCCAGGCAGGGTTCAGCAACGCTTGCTCTAGCATGGTTAAAGGATGCTTGCTCCATCCATGCTCCCAAAATATGAATTTGCCTCCCGGCTTGAGTAGCTTCCAAACCTGCTTCATCACATTCTTGGGGTCCTGCACCGAGCAAAGGACTTGGATGCACAATACCGTATCTAGACTTCCTTCGGTTATTCCGACATCCTCTAGAATATCGCTATCTTCGAGGCGGGCGGCCACAAATGTGTACTTGTTTTGTAGGCCATGCTCTCTCACTTTAGCTTCTATGGTGTCCTTGTAATTAAGGTTAGGCTCAACCCCGTAAACATGAGTGACAGAGGGACTGAAACGGTGGATTTGATTGCCCGGTCCCGGTCCTAGCTCAAGAACAACACCAGAAGCAGCTTGTACGAGCGAGGGAACGACAGTGGTATCTTCGAAAGCGATGAAACCATTAGCTGCAATATGATGGTCAGCATCCAGGTGAGTGAAGATGTGCAGAGTGTTTACATGTCTTGTTGAACATGGTCGCCAAAGCAGCATCTCGAATCTGTGGCAGACGCACGAGTGCCCCCAAGCCTGATTCACGAAGGGCATCCTTGAAACCTTGCCAGCAAACTATCATGGGTTGTTAGCAAGGTACGCAAGTGACAGGCGATAGCGGACTCACGCTTCATCGAGGCCCAGACCATGCCACATGGCCGGAGGAAGGCGGCGAGACGGGGGTTAGGAGGCATGGTGGGGGATAGTGGAGTAACCGTAACCGTATGACGTGATTGTAGATGAAGATTCGTGAATTTGAATTGAAAATGGAAGCGGAGAAGTTGTGAATCGATCAGGATGTGAGAACACCTTTTATACGCCGAGTTGGTAAACATGAAGGGAGAAATGAAGGATCAAACGTGGGTGGGAAGTGCCTGGATTACGATATAAGCTACTAGTGGGCGCCTACGATAAGGGCCCTTGCGGGGGTAAGAAGAGCTGGGGGGTACGAGCTGGATAGTGACACGTCAGGATTGAGATGTAAAAAGGAGACGGGGTACGCGACATGGGCATTGTGGCTACTACAAGGTCAAGCACCATGTTCAGTATTCTTTTCCTGGGCTCTTGCTCTTGTTTTGTTCTCGCTCCCCTCTGATCAACTTTCTCCATTTTGACACTCAGCTGGTTTTGTCTTTCTCTTGCGCTCTGGTGTCTTCGCTATGTCAGATGGCGAAACGCAAAGACCATGGTACAAAAAACCCAAACCGCTCCGATAGGGTCGCGTCCAGCCCTCCCTGAGAAGCCAGTCGAGTCGCCCGAGTACAAGGTCGGTTTTCCTAGCCAATCAACCTTTGATTAGTAACCCCCCTGGTGATCGTGAGTCTCGCGCCCCAATTTCTTCACGATAGAATGATACTCATCATCTTGGCTATAAACGCCAACTTGATGAACGCGATATTTGGAATGTGAATCCCGCCGGGTGTGCTGAGCCTTTGACCCAAAAGTTAAAGGGGGCCTTTCTGCGACGAAGAGAGACCGGAAGCAAGAGACCCCCTCTTCTATGCTTTGCACGACACTTTCAAGTTCAAGATATGGGCTGGGGAAGTCTTCTGTTTCGTACTCAACCCTTCATGTCCTGACAACTTTCGTTCTTCGATTCGGCTTATGACCCTGCGCATCTGGCATGGGCCTCGCAACTCTCCTGCATTATCGCCCTAATTCTACTATGCATCAACCTGACGTACAGCGCTCTCCCCGGCTTTGCGCTCCTCATCATTGGGACTCCCCTATTGATAACGGCTATCAAGAGAGCAGCTCGTCGACGGAAAGGCTATCAGGGTGGATTTAACGGACGAAGATAAGTCCAAAAGTCACGGTGATCATATTCATCTCGACAGTCCCGTTGAAGCAAACGGCGCCAACTTTCCACTTGGTCAGCAGCAGCTCATGGCCTTAGCTAGAGATCTAGTCCGCGATTCTCGGATCATCGTTTGTGGCGAAGCCACGTCGAGTATAGATGTAGAGACAGACGATGAGCTCCAACTGACAGTAGCCGCATGTTTCCGCGGGAAAACTTTATTATATCGCACATCGACCAAAAACTATCACAGGGTACAATCGTGTCCGTGTTGTGGATGCCTGGGCAGATCACACAACTAGATACGCCTGAAAATCTCTTTCGCCAAGAGGGCATTTTAGGGGCATTTGCGAGCGCAACGCCATCCGACTGGAAGATATAGAGTTAGCTAGAGATGTTATGGGGGCTTTCATAGTTCGATGCACAATCATTCATCTATACTCATATATCCAATACATTGAACGGGTCAGATATGACTCACATACTCAGACTAAAGGTTCATATACTAGCTCCTCTTTAGAAGATAAAAGGGGGAGTCAAGTTGATGCCATAGCCAAAGATTCTCAATACTTTGATTGCTCAAAGGACAGCTTACTGCAGTGTGCCATTTAAGCCTGAAATAGGTGTATCAATATTACACCTCCACCTTATCATCATTGATCCTGAGTGCTGCGACCATGGACTCGAGCTCTCCTACAACCTTATCAAGGATTTCGATTTGCAGTTGAGGTTTAAGGAGATCCGCACCGACCCCAAAATCACAGTATAGACACTTTTGTACGAGATCTCGGTATTTTGGCCCCATGTTCGCCCGCTGCGTAGCAAGATTGTCAATGATGTCAACGGCGTCCGGGTCTAAGTTGGTCCAGCGATCTATCTGAAGAAGGCCCACACCCAAATTATAAAGAACGGTGTTCCGAATGCGCTGTGAGCGCCTGCTCTCATCCGCGACTGCACATGTCAGGGATAATGGTTCGGGTGGCTTGCAAACTCGTTTATGCTTCTTTCTAGGACGGCCCCAAGGTGGAGGGTGCTCAGGACGCTTTCCATATCCTTATGATTGCCCAGGTATTGGATGTCCTTCAGTGTCCACCAACTACCGAGCCATGGGGTAGAGTGGAACTTGAGGATAGTGGCTACCATTGCTTTAGCCAATAACAACTGATCAACAACATCAAAGTCCTTTTGAACGGGTTGATTGAACAAGTTGGTAAGTGGTTCTGCGGTGGCAAATGTCTTGGCTACTGTCACATTGTTGTTGCAGATGCCGGACCAGGCGTAGAACGAATGTCGAAATGATTTCTGCATCTCTATGTCAAGATGCCCAAGACAAGCGGCGCCTCTAAATTGTCGGGTAGCAATAGCGCAGCCAGGGATGCCAGTGCATTGATAGTTTTGGGCCCTCAATCCTGAATTTATAACCTTATGATGAAGCAAGCTATGTCTTTTTGAGTTCGAAGGCCGATAGTTATGAGATTTTATTGAAGCAGGGGTCTCGTCGGCCCATGCGACTCGTCTCCGCTTAACCACTCTAAAATCAACGGTTGCCTCGCAGGATTGCGTCTGGATTTCCCCGTTTCCTGGCCCCAATGGCTCAGGGCACTCGAGAATCGTTGATCGAACTTCCAAAGAAGCTAAATCTAAGCGTTTAGGACCGCTACACATTCTGTTAGCACCGTTCCTAGAGCTCCCAAAGATATCGGAAGTCGGCTTACATGACTTCTGGTGGTTCCCACTCTCCAAGCAAGAAAAATTTCATCCTTATGTCCTGTTGAACCTGAGCATCAGTGAACAATCTAAGAAAATGACGCTGATGCTCGCGCTCTTCGCAGACCCAGTGCGTCACCATAGCCTCGTGAAAAGCAAGAGTTGCCAATCGAACTCTTCCGAAATGCATGCATTCTGATGGAGGTGGCTTTATGTTGTTGGTGACATCTTGTACATGATTGATGTCTCCTCTTAGTTCTTGAGAGTGCTTTCTAATGCTTTTGAGGTCATAGTTAGATTGTTTCAGTCTTTCCAGGGCTTCGTCGTAATTGGTCTTGTTAATTGTTATTTTCAGGCGGTATCTGAGCCGCCTCACAACATCTTTAAGACTCTCGCCCTACAGTTGTAAGTTAGACATGATGATGGCTTATTTGTAGCATGTGCTCCCAAAATGGCGACAGCAAACTAACATCTTGCCGCTCAGACTCGAATTTCTCGAAGCCATGCAACTCGGCTTCTAGATCCTGGAGAGATGCTTTTATATCTTCAAAAATGCCGCGAAAAGCTGTTTGTCGTGACCCTAGGTACGTGCACAGCCGTTTGAGAATATCGTGACAACTATCGTCGAATTGTCGTGCTCTCAAGAATACTTCGACCTGGGACTGGCTGTCGGTAACCTTCCGGAGCAGTATTTCACATTCCGACTGAAAAAAGTCCTGCTGGGTCTCAAACTTTGTGCGAATTCGTTTCAATTCTTGTGAGTAGTGACAGAATATCCGTAATTTAGAATTGAGTTTGCGGAAGCCCTTGAGTGCCTCAAGAGCCAGGGGGGCAATGGCAAGGACCAACGAAGCAGGGTCTGCCATTGTCAATTTGTACAACGGCTCTTGATGAGGGTCCTGAGGATGGGCGGGGTACCTGTTCTTATGTAGCCCAGGCCGTGATTCTGCCTAACATACATGTAGTCTCTTGATTGGACGCCACTTATGCATGGTCGGTGGCAGTGTCATGAATATGAATGCCTTGACAGCACACTGCGAAAAGGTTCTCTCGCTTTTGAAAGTTATAATACACAATTAACCGCTCATCGCATCCGTGATAATCTCAAGATGGGGGAATGCCCTCCTTCTCATCACTTTCCTCGCGAGAACATGTCAATGACGAGATCACTAGATGACGCTGACCAACGATGGGCCTCAATCCACCAATGGCAGGCAAACGTCATTGAGAGATCAACAGAAAATCAGTTTCCACTCGCTGCGCACTGTTACGGCCTGATTATTCAACTCTACCAGCTAGTGTTGAAGCTTCTATGTTTTGAAAAGCACCATGATATTAATCAACGACGCATCAAACGAGCGTTTGAGACACTGATACTTTGGGGGCAGCAGTATGGAGTCTCTATAGGAGAGTTAGACAAGTTGATCGATCAATCGCGGCGCCTTCGACGATCAGTTTTGAGAACCCTGACTAGTATAGGGCGAACATTAACAGACCGTCTGTCCTATTCTTCCTAGCTGCGATTTCCTATTGTGCTAATCATGCAAAAGGCCTAACGCCCCGTATCCAACGACCTCTTCCAGAACAACTGCTAAAGGCTAGTTCTCTGTTGCGCAAAGCTAGGGAAAGGGTCGTATTTATATCCACTGACAATGTGGAAACTGAAGACGTCAGCGAAAGATCTAGCGATGATGATAGCGACACCTCATCAGTCTTTGAGGTTGATTCTCTTTCCGAAATTGCTGAGGACCTGGCGTCCAATGTAGAGAATTTGATGGACCTCGATGCACTATATGATGCTGCAAAAGACAATAGCAACATCTACGAGAAAGAGCCGGTAGCAATGCCTGTGGCAGACGTAGCGTCGGGTCCCGTCACGGCCGCTAAAGTCTACACTGAAATGATTCGGATGAGGTTTCCAGAGGCGGACCATGAGCTCCTTGACTATCTCGGACGGGCTAACTATCATCGATTCGTTAGAGGCTCACGGCAACGTGAAGAGAACGAACGCCAGGCTGAGACCAATGCAGAGACGGAGGAACACCATGCGACTACCGTTATAGGAAGCAAATTTCACGACTCGGGCATAGGGACATCTGTTTACACAAGCAACTATGCCGAGACAGTCATGTCTTTCCATCACAAAAACGGCAGCGTTGTCAAAATACCACCGCTTCCCCAGGAAGGAAAGCAAGGTCTACCATTCTCATGTATCGCATGTGAGAAAAAGGTGATAATTAGCTCTAATAAAGCCTGGAAGTGAGTGAGGATCCAAACTAGTCTACATTGCACTTTCTCTAACGTCTTAGACGCCATCTGCTTTCGGACCTTGAACCATACAATTGTCTTGAAACTTCATGTCGAAACACGGTGAGCCCATTCAGCAGACGTGAAGATTGGGTCGAACACTTGGCGGTGCATCATGGATATGGGGATCAATGGCAAAGCTTGCGATGCAGCTTATGTTTGGAAGAGACAGGACAGGGAGAGGCAAACGTGACTATTCACTTTGACAAACACTTGCAGGATATTGCGCTTGCCGCTCTGCCTACCAATGCGGATGATGAACCGGATCCAGACTTCGATGTCAATTCTAACTCATCTGATAGCGACACTAATGCTAAAGATCCGTTATCTGTAACCAAGTCCGAGGCAACAGATACACCCGACAAATATCGGGCCCGATCTATGAGTAACTCAAGCATGGAACGCACAGCTTCCCCTGATAGACAGCCTTCTAATGCCGAACACGCGACTCCGCTGATGTCAAGCTACTGGACTGTTCAAGAAGCCGCAGAGTTTCCTATTCTTCTAAGTTTCTACGGAAGTGACTGGGCGAGCATCGCGGCCCACATGCGGACGAAGTCTGAAGTCATGGTAAAGATAGATCTGGATGCTTATCACAGTTGATGCAAAGCTAACTTCGTCAGGTGAAAAACTACTACCTCCGAAGGAAGGATGGGATGCGCTGGGAAGCAATCGTGCAAGAAGCTGACGCTAAGAAAGCGCGTGGAAAGCAGACATCTGACCCGAATATCGACTCGCACAATACAAGGGATTGGCTTGCCCAGAAGGGAAATGACAAAAGCTATCTCGATGATGGAAACGCCCCAGAATCAGAAACATCGATTAGGCCCGAACCCTCTACCACTGGGAGCAATATAGACCGTCGGTTTAAGGACAAGCCATTCAAATGCGCTGTCAATGGTTGCCCTCGAGGAATACAAGGCTTTACTACAGCGCTTGACCTTGACCGACACAAAAGGAGTTTGCACCCTCACCATTGGTCAGGCAAACGCTACATGTGTCAGATTGGCCCTTGTAAGGAGAAAATCAAGATTTGGCCTAGGGGCGACAATTTCAAGGCTCACCTCAGGCGTGTTCACAACCTAGACGTCGTGTCTGAGGAAGAACTTAAAACCTATGAGTTGAACACAGGGTAACTATGGTCTAGGCTAGGGCTACTAGAGTAAAGTGCACAAAAGTTAGAATTTCTCGGGTGCAAAGATGGATTGCATATGTCATTGCCCAATGTTCTACTATCTCTGGGGCTCTTCCCAATTTGTTACGCGTCTCCTTTGTTATATATATTTCCTGTTGCCCGGATGGCCGCGTCGTCTATGTAACCCGTGGCGGAGGTATTGTTGGATTATCATGTATACTTGTATAGCTAAGAACGAGCGATCATAGTAGTTAGAGGTTGCTTACTTTGCTAAGTAAATAGATAGTAATATATAACTGGTCTCCTAGGTCTCATTGACTCGTTTCATGAGTCGAAGTCTGTATAACCTCATAACTCGCTTAGTGGGCAGCAAGATTACGCTGTTTCGATGGAATAGTATGTCAATTTAGCTTTGTCTGAACTTGCTAGCGACTTGTTTGGGGCGGAATTTATTGTCACAGTACTATATTTGAGTGTAGAGATGCAGGATTTCGACCTGATTACCGTCGTTTACCTTTTGGTCGCGCAACGGTTATAGAGCTGCACTCCTATTCCTCGTTCCGTGACACTTATAACGTTGACCTGGACATTAGGGCATGAGTAAGATCTTCATAAGATGGTTGAGATCTGCAAATTTCATTTACAGTGCCTCTAGGAAGCGTACGATTTGTTGAAGCATCAAGGTGTTATATTTTGTATAGCAAAGACATATTGTCACGCATGCTAACTCATTGGGGGACTGGGTAATGGCCATTCGGAAACCCCTTAAAGACTTATTTCACGGTTAGCATCTTTTCCAATTAAGAATCCTAAAATGCACGATTGTCGACAACCATCGTACTCCATAATCAAATGTATTTAATAAAGTGGAATCTGCGATCTAGAAGAAGTACGCAAGAGCCATTGTAGCAATCACCCATACAGCCGTTGTACCACTCTTCAATGGCGACGCCCCCGAGTCATCATCATCATCATCATCCTCCGCGTTATCGTCATCATTAGGCCACGAAGCGCCCCAAGTGCCGGCGAGAACCGTTCGATTATTCAGCCGCGGCTCTTTCTGAAAATGAGGCGTCCCCGCCATGACCGTCATATTGTTCAACGTCTCATTGGTACACCCGCTTAGCACACCAATGGAGTACCCGTAGAAAGAAGTCCACAGCAGAGTTTTGTTAATGCCAGGCTTGACCTCCAAGATGATCGTGCCGGCCTCCACCTCGCTTGACACGTTCGTCTTGATTGTCTTGAATTCCCACGGCTCTTTTACGTCTTCGTTGAACGCGTCCTGCGCGAGCTTGAAGATGGCGTCGGTTTCATCTTCGGGCAGGTCCAGCGTATGAATGCCCGATTCCAGCGTGCGTTCCGCGGTAATATCGTAGGTCCTGGGGCTGAAATGGCAAGACGACTGCGAGTCGGCTGGGCAAATCATGTTGTCGAGAGCCTGTGTTTGATGATTCGAGAAGCCGTAAGCGTCGTCGATAACGATACGATCATGGTCCCAGCCTGTGCAGACCGCCGATGCGGCGCTACTCCAGAGAGCAAGGCCTATTAAGGTGGTCGAGGTGGTAGTATAATGCATCTGGTTTGGTAGCTGGGAGAACGGTATTTCCTTATCTCAATGATATTCTTTTGCGATCGGGCGTCGTGTCAAATTTCTCAGGCAATTGATATGAAAGCATAGAGAGCTTCCCTATGTGCCAATACCTCATGATTTCTTAAATGTAATTCGGAAATGGCACAGTTACCGGAAGCCAAGAATCCTAGAGTATTCTAGTCGGTGCTTACACACAGTAGTGCTTTTGACTAGCGTGGCTGATCGACATCTGACGATTGCATCATTCGCTTCCTCGACGTCTTGGCAGTGTTTTTGCGACCAGAGTTATGTACTCAATGAGTAAAGATTAACCGTGAACACGCTGCGCCTCTGGTAAAACCTAACCGAGCTCGCTGAGCTAACCAACAGGAGCACTCCCAATGATTCCCGAAATAGTTCTGTAGAGAGGCTGTAAGCAGCTAGAGAGCAATAAGGCAAGGTGGACCAACAAGGGCAACAGACAAAGAGCTAACAGATTAATTAAAGGCATGACGTAGTTTAGATAGACAGAAAATTGGACGTCGAGACTTCCTCTCGTAACGCTAGACAACGCCAAATTCTCTGTCTATGTAAGTAAAGGACGTCATGCCTTTAGTCTATTAAGTATCTCAATGGTTCGATTATGGAGCCTCAAGCTTAGATACCTGTTACAAGCACATACATCGACACCTCTGTTATGTATCTTGTCCCAATTACAGAGTCTCCATGGTACCCAGGTATCGAGCCCCTATACCAAGATCTGTATGATTTGCCTTCAAGAAGTTATGCAATAGTTATGCAGAGAAAGGCCAGACATAGAACCCATATACGAAAAAGGATATGGTCTAGATTAACCACATAGCGGTTTCACTAGCTCCGCAATACTCCGGTGAAGCAACTACGAAAGTGCAGGCCCAACTCTTACTTTATTGGATATGATATCATGATAGATGCGGATACTATAATAGATCTGTATTATAACAATTATGTCATGAAGTAACTAGGACTGTGCAAAGAAGAGAGTCATAGTACATACTCCTAGCATAGGCACAATTGTCAAACAGTATCCCTATAATTACACTACATAGAAATGAATATCTCACTCTAAGTGTAAGTGACATGAGACTTGCACCTCTTATCCAATCAGATAGCTTGACGTCTACGCCTTCGTAAGACCTTGTCTATCTTTTTAGGTGTGGATGTTCTACACCTCTTTTTACACTCATCTACTTCAATACTTAGATGTTTATACCCCAATTACTAATTCGTTTAAATCTAGAAATCGCATCGAAATAGCAACCGCCCGCCCAGCATGCAAGTGAATGCACTATTATCTCAATCCCCCCAATATTCATACTCTATTCTAACCCAAACTCATCATCTTCAATACCTCCCACTCAAATACTTCAGAATTCAATGGCACTCACACATAGCATGACACACACACAGCACGACGCTCTAGAGCGCAATTCATAACACTATCAATCTCATGAATCTCTCTCATACACCAACCCAAAGCCGCCTCGCCTCATAATTACAACTTGATAAAAGCTAGCTAACACAGACCCACTCCCAACTAGTCCGGTTCTCAAACCTAATTAATCCCATAGTCCAACAACACACTATTATCACTAACATAGAAATTCTGCCTAATCTATACAAACACTCTCCCCTGTATATATCTCTACCCGGGAGAAGAATGAACGGACTTCACACTGAAAGTATAATGATAACATCCTCTTTCAAAGGAACACACTACCCTCCTCATCGCTCGCCATACGTCGACGTCTGCTACTAAGAAATATGTCCACCATTCTTCTGCTCCCCACAGATTGGTGACCACCCGGGCCGAGAACGCCAGCGCCCTCAATCCCGTAAGGATCATCTTCGCTTTTGGCAGTAGGGCTCATGTTCTCTGATTTCGCGGGCGTGACAGGGTGCAGCTTTTGTCGTGAATTTGCTGACCAATTGTTTGTCTTGCCGTGCTCTTGGCTCTCCCCGACACTCGAGTAACTGCGGCTTGTGAGAGGTACTATGCTGCTTTTGGCCTTCAATTGGCGCTCCCAGAGTTTCGGAGCTATGTTTATATGTCCACTAAATCTGTCTTCCTTCAGGTTGGATGAAGGAATCTTGGGCAATTCTTTTTCATGGCTCGCAGCACTCAGTTTTGTCGAGGTGCCGGGCGTGGACTCTTTAAGATGACCTGCAGGCGTTACAGACGTGGAAGCAGGTTTGCTGCTTGGTGAAGAGTTCGAAAAAGCTTTTTGGGACTGTAAAATATCGGAGTCTTTTTCTCCGGCATCGAAAGGAGTTGGTTGACTGTTGTCTTGATTATCGCGATCCAATTTTGAGACGCCGATCCTTTTCCCTCTGGTTCGGCAGGGGGTGTCGATCGGATCAAGAATCTCATCTTCCTCTTCGTCGTTGATCTGAGCATTCTCACGAACATGCCCCAAAGGTCGCTTTGACTGCATACCACATCTAAAGTCATTGGAATCAACTTGCTTGGTGGTGTCCTCGAGCTTTGCGACATTTGACGATAGCCACATTTTCCATTCCACGGAACTTGAAGATGACGTGACACGTTGCTTGGGCGGTAGTGATGTACTTCGCTTATTGTGTCCTGAGGGATTCAAAAAAATTGTGGCATCTCCATGTGTACTTGTGGGTCTCTGAAAGTCCTCTACAACCGACAAAACGCTATGTCTTTGGGTTTGGCCATCTTCTGTATTAGTAGAATAGATACTTTCGGTATAGTGCAACTTGACATCTGCATCTGACCCATGAGTACTCGAGCGCCGTATTGGTAAATTTGGCAGATTTGATAGCGAACGGATCCATGGGTTGAAATCAGGTGATTTGATGGCATACTCATTAGGGGTAGTGTGCATTCTGTCCTGCAAAGCCCGACGGTAGGGGCTTTCAGTGCGAAATAGATGCCGCGTTGGACTTCCGAAGAATGCGGAGCTGCGAGACGACAGCGTACGTGTAAGAGGAGGTACTCCCTCTAGGCAGACATCCCTTGATGAGATGCCCCCTGTTTTTGCGTCTATGGATGCGGATGCTGAAGCACGTTGTTCACATTCATTCGTTTTATTGGCGGCGAAAGCAGGTGGTTTTGAAGGCGACCCACGATCTCCGGTATGCAGTCGGTCAACCGCCTTCGGAGACTCGGGATCTGTCTCGCTTTCTGGGAAAACGTAACGGATCGTTGATGCCGGATCGCAGCCAAGGCGGCGAAGACGAGAGCTTTGACGTCGAGGCACTGTACCAACCTGCACGATGCCATCGTCGTTACTCTGTATCACTGAATCGCTCGTGTGAGCTTGCTGTGATTGGCCTATGCGCTTCATCAAAGCTGAATAGATTCTCGGTCCGTCAATGATCCCAGGCCGAGCCGGAATTGGTCTATCTAGAGATATGGTGCTGGGATTAGATTGTTCAGATATCGTCGCAAATTGAGCCGAGGAAGAACAGACGTGTGCTCCATGTTCGTTAATGATAGATAATCTCTTTCTCTCCCAATCTTCGCGAGAGCTAGTGTGGGTGATGACGGTGTCGGCTTCGGAGTTAGACCAACTAGTCACCCGAGATCTGTCGTCCGCGGCCTTATGGTCACTCCTCAAACTGTCCATACTGCCTTGTCGGGAGCGAAGTTGTTGATACGATGGCACATCATGTAGAGACGGAATACCAGAAGCTACATGTGATAAAGCGGCTTGGTTAGTTGAAGGGCCTCCCTCAAGATCGTTGCCAGTCTCGTGCTGCAAATCATCCAAGCTGAAAATATGGGATTTTTGAGCATCAATATGTTGAAGAGGTAGTCTCCCATCGTCTCCATCATCTTTACTCAAGCTGAATAAGTTCCTTAGTTTGTGCTTGAGACCCTGCGATACCTGACGAGCTTTGTGCCGTAGACTACCATTCTTCATAGGCATGCCGTTCATTGAAACGGTGCTGTTGCTCGTATCTCGCATGCTCTTTCTGAAAACCCTTTCCTCACCGGTGACCTTTGAACGAAAGAATCGAGATGTCTTAGGACGAAGATAACTCTTTGGTTTCTGTTGATTGGTGTCACAATCATTTAAGGACATGAAGGGGGCTGCATCGACATCCTCGGACCTGAATGCAGGTACAAAATTGTCTCGAAAATCTCGTAAGAAATTCATGGATTTAGGTGTTTTCAACCTCCGCGGAGGTAGGTTTTCATCACCCCTGGAGTGTCTGAAGTATGACTTTCCAGGTAAGGGAAGCTGGTTCGCGGAAACCGAAGACTTACCGAAGTCGTTGTATCCAGCCTCAGAGCCCGTTGGCCTATTCGTGAACATTGATCTAGACTTGCGGAGCTTGCGATACGAAGACGGCATTGATGCTATGCCGTCTTCGGGGGTGTAATTCTCGTCACTCGCAAACAGAGTATTAATGTAGTCTCCGGCAGCTCCCTTAGTAGCACACACCATACCGGACGCAGAGGCGCTTGTTGAAGGACGTGTATCGGTTTCGACATTGGTGACAAAGCCAGCCGAACTGTGAGTTGGCCGCGAGGGCAAGGTTTTCTGAACCATGGCATTTGTAGGAGGTAGATGGGAGGGTCTCGTCTGGACAAATCGTATACTCTGATGTCGACAAAGGGGGGCCCTGTCTGGCTGTGCTTTGGGGCAATTAGAGCGGGCAGGTGGCCATAAGGGTGAGTTGGAGTCTGTGGTCGACCGTTCTTTGGCTCTCGCGAATGCTTGTGTGGCTGCTAGTCGGGCATCACGTTCGGCAGTCTCAGGTGAAATATATTCTAGATGGACGCTCTTTACAGAAGCGACGGACTTTTGACGGTCCAGTCGACGAGGATTGGTGCTGTTTCGTCTGTGCATGGCGGTGTTCCGTGTATGCATAGCTGGGTAGACCGACGGTCTTCATGCCACCAGAGTCAGGGGCGGGAAGCAATCTGAGATCGGCGTGTGTCAGAAGGTTTTGCGGTAAAGACAGTCAATATGGTGTATTCGTTCGGACAAGTGAGTCGCGAGAGCAAGGCAATAGAGACAAATAAGGATTGAGACAGAAACAAGCCGACGGGGAAACGAGACAGTCGTAAGCGAGGGTAGCGTATGAAGGAAGAGATGAGAGATGAGAGATGAGAGATCGGATTTGACGCGCAATACAATGTAACCAAAAGCTGTCGCAGACGACACAAAACCGCGGTAGTAGCGCTGATAGTGCTGTATGCAGAGATAATGTCGTAGGATAGGGTGGTTTGATTTTGAAGCTGTAAGTGTCGAGACGGCGCTGCTGGGACGGGTGGTTATGCGGGTGCGCGCTTGTCAATCAACCTTGGATCGCAGCTTTCACGGGATGCCCATGGCACCTGCCCGATGAATTTGGGCAGTCGCATCGTCGTATCGCTTCTGAGGAAACTGCAGCTGTGTCCAGATCAACAAGAATGGAATTACGCTCACACCAAGTAACTCAACGAGTAGACCTTCGATAGTCCCCCAAGGAAAGACGAACTAATGCCAATCAATATTGATAATCTCTGTTGCTAATGAAGTGGCATAGCATTGGTAATCGGCAACTTCCTGATGACGATCTGCGCTTTCGACTCAGCCTGAACCTCTTTCCCCTTTGACTTGACAGGCTGTGAAAGAGTATCATTATCTTTGCCTAATTCCGAGTATAGTACAGACATCCATCCATGTTGAGTTACTAAGAAACCATCCTCAGGGGTCTAATAAGCAGCATCAGCACCAATGGCAACCTAATATCAGTAGTAGCAGAGCAAAGCAAACAAGTTCACGACTCGTATTGCACTCTATTGGAATTAGGAAGGCAGTACTATTTCAACTCCCTCAACATGTCCGATTTGAAAGGCTAGGGGACGTGATAACACCAATACATGACCACACTCCAACACATAGCTATCCCCAGATGCTGGGCTATTTATCTCGATGCAACAACACGAGAGCCGTGTCTAGTCAACCTAACTCCAGAGGCAGAGGAAGCTTCCGCCCTTAAACGTGTTGATATGTAATCGAATGTGGCGTTAACATTACAATACCTACACTGAGAGGATATCTATACTGCGCAAGGTCAATAGCCAACTTTACAAGACAGACCTGATCACGCTGTTGAAGCTTGTAAAACACAATTTTCAGTCACACTAAAGAGCAAGAAGCACACATTATTCTGGACAATGGTATGGAAAGTAATCGGGATATGGCATCTATGCCTTGACTAAAAAACCTATGAATGCGTTGCCGTCACCAAGACCGATCGATACCAAATGTACATTACAAAACAAACTAGAAACGGTTGAAACTAATCTGAAAACCAGGTTCAACCGCTTCTTCTGGAACGCCTCTAACAAAGAATATCCCGCATGCGTGCTTCCCAAAAAAAACTCATACATTCCGCTTGCCAAAGACTTAAGCACGGAGCTCCTTGAGGAAGTCCTTGAGTTCTTCGTCAACAAGGTCGTGGATCTTCTCGGAGAACTTCTCAGCCTTATCCGAGAAAGTAGAGATGCCATCGACAATCTTGCCAGAGACGACCTTGAAGTCATCTTCAATAGCCTGCTCGAGATCCTCAAGGGTCAATGTGGACTCGGGGGTCTTCTTAGCAGCGTATCCACCCTCCTTGACGATCTGGGAGTAGTTGGAGTAGCCACCGCCGTTCCAAGCAAGTAGGTTAGGAGTGTCCTCGGGAATCTCAGAGAGAGCACCCTTAGTAGCAATGGATAGCATGTTGGACTTCATCTTCTCGGGAGTGATAGCAGCCATTCCGTAATCGGAGTCACTAGCGGGCTGGAGGGACAAGAAGTAGGCAGTAAGACCACACAAGTGAGGTGAAGCCATCGAGGTACCCGAGATGGTGTTGATGGCGTGGTTGCTTCCAATCCAGGTTGACTGAATGCTCAAACCAGGACCGAAGATGTCAACACACTTGCCATAGTTGGAGAAGTAGGCACGGCTGTCATCCAGAGCGGAGGCACCAACAGTGATGGCCTTCTCAGCAGCTGCAGGAGAGTAGTTGCAAGCATCCGCGTTGTCGTTGCCGGCGGCGACAGCGAAGTGCAGACCAGCAGAGACAGCAGCGTTGACAGCCTGATCTAGAGAGGGCGACTTACCGCCGCCGAGAGACATGTTGGCGGTTGAGCCCTTGAAACCCTTGCGTTTACCGTTCTTGGCGGCCTCGACCTGCTCCATATGAGCCTCAGCTGCCCATTCGACACCCGACATGACATCAGACATGGATCCTGAACCATTAGAGCGGAGCACCTTGACGGCGTAAACGTGGGCCTTCTTCGCGACACCATACTTCTTTCCGGCAACGGTACCAGAGCAGTGAGTACCGTGGCCATTACCATCCTCATCCTCGTCGCCCTTGGGGATCGTCTTGCCCCACTTGGCACGACCCTCGAAATCAACGTGGTCAATGTTGGTGCCAGTGTCAATAACGTAGACATCAACACCCTCACCACCATCAGCGGCATACAGGTATTTGTTGTAGGTTCCAAAGTTGAGGGTCTCGCGGTGCGAGATTCGGGCTAAACCCCAAGGGGCACTCTTCTCAGTCTCTGGCGTCTCAAGGGCGTAGACGATTTGGTCTTTCTCGATGTATTCAACCTATTCATGAACTACGTTAGTTATCGTGTCGAGCGAGAGTTCAAGTAAAACAAAGGTTGTCTGATGGTCTATGTGTCCAAAAACTTACATCGGGGTGTTTACGGACTTCCTCGATGACGGCATCATCAAAGTGGCCGGCATAGCCGAGGAAGCCGGTGCCAATCTTCAGGGTGTGCTTGAGACCAGTGAAGACGTCGACAACATCGTCAATCAAGGGGATCTGACCACGTTTCCGGAGCTCCATGCGCTCGTTCTCACGCTCGCCATGGATCTTCTGAACCCATGAGTGGTGTTCGGAAGCCGAGGCCGCGGTTACGTGGTCCTTGAACTTGATGATGTAGGAGTTGGGGATCTCTTCGGCGGACGTTGAAGAGAGGATGGGAGCAGCGCCATGATGGATGGTTTCATAGCTGAAAGAAGGGGCTGCGAGGGCAGCAGTGACCCACGATAGAGCAATAAAGGCCCTCATGATGATAATAGGATTGGTTGTGTGACTGCGTGGAATGTTGGAGCCAAGCTTGCGATTACGATACAAAGTCTACCGGCGACTCAAGGAAAGAGATAAGGAAAGGAGACCGAAAGACCAAACTAGTGATACTTTGGTCGATGACAAGGTGATATACGATGGATGGATGGATGATGGAGATGGAGGGAGGAAAGGGGAGGGAGGAGGATGAAGAGGAGATTGAGAACAAGAGGCGAGGAAAGAGGTTGAGCAGATGGAACTATAAAGGGTAGCGCATCGGCAAGTAGGGACAAGATGTTGGGGAGGCTGCGTCGCAGGTTAGGTCAGGTCTGGTCTGGTGACGACACAGCCCGGACAGTACGCGGAACACAGGCTAGCGGCCGCGATAAGGACCCCCGTAGGGGACCACCCAGCCAGCCAGCCCGCCCGCCAGCCAGATCCAGCTCCAGGGCACCCATCTGCTTGTATCTGCCTGTATCTGCCTGTGGCTAGCGGCCTGCACACCAAGGAATGTCACCTGGCAGTAGGTACCTAGGTAACCTGGAAACGGAGCACCGTGCGGATCCCCTGCCCTTTCTCCACTACACCTTCACTAACCTTCACTGGCCGATTGGGGTAAGCGACGCTAATGGGCCACCTACTACCTACCTATCTACCTAGGTACCTACCTAAGTACTTTACGAACTACTTAATGGGGCTGGGAAATCCTAAGCCGAAGAAGGTTTAGAACGTTGACTCAGATGGATGACATTTTGTCAGGTCTGCCTGGTCTCGCTGGTCCTCGACTTCCGAGCTCTTCCCGCCTCATCCTTTGCTCTGAACGACCTACATTCTCTCGAGTTGAAAGCTCTCTTAATTGTCTAGAAAGTGTGGGAGCGAAGGTACAGTCGAGATATGGAAACGAGGCACGCACCCTCTTGCTTGGATACGGTTGCATTCGGGCGGGTGGTGGTACCTACGCCTTTTGACATCTAGACTGATACACGTGATAGTGGCTGGTATGTGCAGTCTCAGGCAAAGGTGCTCAAGTGGAGAGCTTCCCCCAGCTATCAGCGTCCAATCAGCCTCGCCCGGTACCTCCCACGATATCCACGATATCTCTCCCAGGCTCTCCCACGGTCCCTGGGTGACGGGTCCCTATCTGGTGCAACGCTAGACTACGATAGGTAAGCTGTTGCTAACATTCCGATATCGTTGTTATTGGCTTTTGCCCATCTATCATCCAAGAGATAAGTAAAGCACGCCTTACTTTACATTACATGTACGGTAGTACTGCCTACTTCGTACTACCTATACCTAGTACCCAAATGTCTCTCGATAGGTAGTGCCGATAGCCTCAGGACTCGATACATGTACTTACATCCATCAGTCACCGATGTAAGCACCCCGGCACCCGAGGCACCTTACATGTTACTGCGTGGATACTTGTCGAGCGAGTCACGTCATTCGTCTGCCCAGAAATAGGTTGGTTTACTATGTACTAAGTTAGATGTCTATCTACTCCCTCTCTTGCCACCGTACCTTGAAGATCCGATCGGCAGTTGTTGCAATGTCTGTAATTACGAAGAGCGGCCAGAGTGGCCATCAAAAGATCATCAAAGATCATAAGCAGCAGCAAGAGGTCTCATCCTGTACTCTTCTTCTGTCTTCTGATGAGACAGCTCGATAGTGAGTGTTGAGTGTGTGTCGTGTGATGTGGATGTGGATGTGGATGTGCAAGGATACGCAGGCAGGAGATGACCATTTCTAGACTGGTACGCGCATACTAGAGAACCTTGCTGCTGTGGTGGATCGGTCCATCATCCGCGCAACAGCTCGCCAGCCTGTTTGGCTCTGTATGGCTCTGTATGGCTCTCCAACAGCAGCAACTGGCAAGTCTGACGAATGGTGGCCTATTCAGCTGACTGGATTTCATGCGTGTCACTTGGCGCCCGAATTGTCATTCGTCGTCTATCAACTACCCAATAGGGCTGTTTATGATACTGTACCTACGCTACGCTCTCGCGGCTCTCTATCCCGGATAGTCGCTTGAGCATGAGCGGCTTTCTATTTTCGAATGCTTGTCTCGGATAATTACCAAGGCAACTTTAAGTCATTGTCCTCTGGATTCACATGCGATGGCATCGAGACAAAGTGAACACTCGAGCACCAGACTGTAGTCTCACATTGAAGGGGTATCTTGTCCATTAGCACATCAGCTAGACTTTCGCAATCTTCATTCTGTCCTAGGTAGCACTACTGTCCGTATTCAACATAAATACGCACTAGCTACCGGTATTCACATCGTCAGTTCCATCAAAACGATGGACTAATCACAAGGACTTATAAGCACACAGACTGCAAAAGATGCTGATATCTTGCCTGACCAAGACTTGTCATGACAGCCTCCGTCGACGGCATTGGTTCGATAAGACACGCATTGCACACCTTTGGATGTGGCGTTTCCTTTTAATGACTTGGATGGATGTCAGCCGGAAACATGTAGCTCGGTATGGTGTTGCACTACTTGCTGTAGAGCAGTGAGGGTAAGTTTGTCCCATTGTATATACTCGGTATAACTCTGTATAAATAATCCTCGATGACATCCTCGCTGACAATGATAAGATCAGATTGAGAATGCACCGGTCCGAGTCCGGTCTTATAATCTCGATGCGCGTTGGCTTGAGTACTTTAGCTGCACCGAGAGGTTCTGTCAGCAGCACACTATCAAGGCATAGCTGTGTTGCTAAGACTTGGATGAAAGCTTCTCTTTGCCCTCGTTCGCAATTTCGCGTGTTGCCCAAGTAGATACCTTTTCTGCCGGGCTTCTAGGGAAGGTTCTTCTTCACTTCTGGGATATGATGGCCTTGATGCCTTTCCAATCGTCAACTCGTCATTGCGGATAGTTTTCTTTAGAACCACATTGAGCTATACAAAAACAAGGTAAATGATGGTTTGATATCCAAGTGTGTACCTACCTACGATTATTACTTAGATGCACGCACATCTAGCTCTGGTTTATTCCCTCTGCCTACCTACCTAGGTAGGTAGGTACCTACTTCAAGGTCTGAGTGTACTGAGGTTGTAGAGGCTGTAGGTACCTAGGTAGCCTGTGGTCGCTGTGGCAGGCGTTGTGTAGCCTACCTACCTAACCTACCTACACTGCATCTTGGCACTGCATCCCTTGGGCCCCAGCACTGACGTCGATAGGATGGCTGAAGTGGTAAGTGGTTTCAGCACCTGCATTTCTGTCCTGGTCTTGATACGAGGCTGTCTGTACCAGACACACGCGTCTGAGCTGCTTACATGACAATTTTCCAAATCTTGGTGTATTACCAGTAGGCCACTCGACAGAATCTTTGTTCCTCGCGTGACATTCGCTCATACAGAGCCTCCAGCTATTTCCTAGATCCCCCCCTTCGCTGAGGCGTGCTTGTGACGCTATTTCCTTTTTGCCGCCACCCCCACAGCATCTTCTGCTCGTGCATGCAGCTCCCGCAACCATTCGATGACCTCTCATGTAAACGGTAGCCTAGAGCCCACCGGGGCCCTCCGAGATGACCGCTGTATACTGAGTAATGATCCGAAAGAATAGACCTGTTTTCCATGCCACACTCCTCGACTCTCTCCTAGTCTGCTGCCATGTCGGCTCGGAGCCGCTATCGATCCTCGACGTCTGCGTCTGCTAACTCGCCCGCATCGAAAGCGACCGAAGTCCTCCAGCGGCTCTTCGACAATATTTCTGCCTCCCTGACCTCTCTCGTTGGAACCGGCTATCCAGATCCCCAACGACTGGTCGACCAAATCGGGCTGGTCAAACAACACCTTTCTGCTGTAACCCCGCCGAGTTCTGTGCAGGATGATTTCAGACACCTCCATGGCTTCCAGCGATTGTTCGAGGTACTACGGTCCTTCTCCGGTTTCTATAACCCGCAGAAGCGCCACGATGCCGAGAAAGACGCCCTCTTCAAACTGTTGGACGTAGTATTGGGCACGCTGGGAGCGGCGTTCAGCCAGCATCCCGGTAATCGACGCTACTTTCGCACGCGAGTCGAAGGTGGTGGGTGGGATGCTTTTGAGCAGATAATAGCGAGCATTGGTCTAGGTGGTGCTGACTCTGATCTTTGGACAAGCTGCCAGTTGTTCGGAAAGCTTTTTTCATTTGCATTGAATGATACTGCTCTGGATTGGATATGCCGTGAAGCTGCTTCCGCAGCTCACCAACCTGTTGATACAGCTCCCCCTTCAGATGACAGCCAGATTCTATGTGCCAAAGTAACAAATGACACTAGCTTTGGTGGAACTGTGGCCGTAATTGACGCGGCGGTTAAAGACACAATCGTCGCGACTTCGATTATACGAAACCCCGAGGCAATTCGGACGGCAATTGATTTCTGGGAATCGATACCGCGAGATCAGAACGCCGTCGAAAATGTTGCTTCATTATTAGTTTTGAAAATCTTATTGGCGGTTGTCAAGGCTTCAAGCGTCAACCTATACCAAGTTCATGAAACTGGCATCCTCTCTCGGCTTTTGATTGTGGCCTTTCACGAGAGCTCGAGTGTGAATGATGCCGAGAAAGAAGTCATTTTATCTCTCTGCAAGTCTCTGATGTCTTTGGGGATGAACAAGCTCACAGATGCGCAATACTTGTTGCTCAATTCATCACCCGACTCGTCCAACTTCTGCTTGGATACGACCGACAAGTACGGTAGTCCTCCCTTCATCCAGTTTGATTTGTCTCTTCATGGCCACTCCTCTATTGAGTTGCCTAGTTTAGGTAGACCATTTCCACCGCAATCGTCGGCGGGATACACATTCACTGCCTGGTTCAAAGTGGACAAATTCGATCCAGCATCCCATACAACTCTTTTCGGGATCTTTGATTCAACGCAGACCTGCTTTCTTCTCGCCTACCTCGAAAAGGATACCCGCAATTTCATATTACAAACTTCAGTCACATCACAGCGTCCAAGCGTTCGGTTCCGTGGTTTCGCTTTCCAGGAGAATAAGTGGTATCATATTGCTGTAGCTCACCGACGTCCAAAAACCATGACAGCCAGTAAGGCGTCTTTATACGTAAATGGGGAATTCATTGAACAGCTACGCGCATCATACCCATCGTTGCCACCCCCATCCAATACCAGCACCGAAAGCTTTGCTTCCTTCACCTCAAATAATCATAAAACTCTTCCCATACAGGCATTTATTGGGACTCCACGAGAGCTGTCCACACATACTGGCGCTGGCCTTATCCAGTCCAAATGGTCTCTTGCCACTGCTCACCTGTTTGACGATGTATTGAGTGAAGATTTCCTTGCTGTGCCCAGTCGGCTTGGTGTGCATTATCAGGGGAATTTTCAGGATTGCCTTGGTGGTTTCCAGACTTATGCCGCATCGGCAGCTCTGGGCTTACGTAACGAGCTTGTCAGCACAGGGAAAGAAGAATCTGATATCATGAAGGTTATCAGAGACAGGGCAAGTCATCTGATCCCAGAGCAACACATTCTGTATAGCCTGATGCCCTCGTCAATATTCCGTGAAAAGGAACATTTTGGGGAGTCGCAGCTCTTTCGATCCTTGTCTCGCGGCCCTGCTCACACATTGGTACAAATGGTGTTGAAGAACGGTACAGGTATAGCAATCAATACTGCAATGCCTTCTATCAACGATGCGCTCCTTCGATCTAGTGGCGTGGCCATACTGGCAGGTGACCCCATGGTCGTTACTCCTCAATTCTTTGATGATGCTTTATGGCGTCTTGCTGGCTTTACCCCACTAGCTCTGAAACTGATTGAGCGCGCTTCTTCAGCTGAGGCACTCGTTCGTGCTGTTGGTATGGTATTCCGTTGTATCAACTCTAGCTGGCGCAACAGCGAAGCTATGGAAAAAGATGGCGGTTATGCCATTCTAGGTATCCTTCTTAAGACCAAGCTGGGCTTTGTCGGACTTAGCAATAGTACAGTGACAGAAAAGCTTATACTCCAGCCTGCTGAAAGAGACAAGCTTGCACTGCAGCTTCTTAACCTTATATTAGGATTTGTAGGGTATAATCATAGAGATCCCTTGGAGTCTGTTATCATTAACCCTCTTGCTTTCCGCCTCCTCTTAATAGATTTTGATGCGTGGAGGAAATGCAGTCCTGCTGTACAAGAGCTCTACTACAAGCAATTTGTGACGTTTGCAGTCAAGAGCAAGTACCATCAGCATAACCACCGCAGGTTACTTCGCATGAGTGAGTTATAAACGACCACTGGTTTATTCAGCGCTGACCTGGTTCAATAGGAGTGGTGAAGAGGCTCCTTGATGCCCTCAAGGCTGATCCTCTTCCTGAGAGCATTCTTCCCTTCTTTTTGGATGGCATTGAGCAGCTTGTAAGATCTAGCTACAACACCGAAGTACATCGTGCTATAGCTCTTTTCATAACATATGCTTTGCACTCGCCCGCTCGGTCGTTACCACGTACTCCGAAAACAGCCTCACACCTTGATCAGTCAACTGGGAGCATGAAACCGCGACGGTCTACGATCAATAACAATAGAGCAGCTGAAGGTGCTGCAAGAGTACTCACAAAGAGAGAGATTGGAGTTCGCCTCTTAAATATGTATACCCAGTTGCTTTGTGAAAAGGGGAATCACGCTATCATTCGCAAATTTGCTAAGACGGTGACAAATAAGGTACGCGGTCCAGATGGTTTGAAACCTGGCTTCTGAATTGACGATAACATAGTGGCTTTTGTATCTTCTCACCGAGGACGACCCAGAGATTGTTGTCTACGGATCCAAAATACTTGCACGGCTACTCGTAACGCATGGCTCAGCTTACATCAGTAAATTCTCAAGCAGAACTGGCGGATTTTGTATAATGTCTCACCGACTCAAGAGATGGTGGGACATCCCTACACTATGGCCTATTTGTTTCTGCATCCTTTTTGGGTTTGATGTTGCCGAGTTTAATTTCGATAAAGATTTCGACTTCTTTAGTCTGATTGAGACCTTTGGGACATGTAAGATTGTCACTCCTGATGCTCTGCCAATCATTACATCAATGCTCCAACACGGCCTTAAAGATGTGTTGAAGCACCAGGAAGACCCTAATTCGCCGTTAACCGATATGGATTTGATGCGTCTATCCTTGGCCGAAACGGAGTCTTCAGATATAAGGCCTCGACCGCGGTCAATGTCGCTTCACAAAGAGTTGGAATCACGACGTAAGTTGTTTCGAATCTCAGAGCCTTCATTTTCTAAGAATTGATCAGGTATGCCTCAAACGGACTCTGACCGAAATGCGGGCAATGCGAAGGTTCTCCAGGCCGTGACTCGGTTCTTGGCAGACCTGCATTCACGGTCATCGGGTTTCAGAGACTTTGCACTATCCTCTGAATACGTGCGACTGCTCCTCTCTGCCCTATATCCTGCCATCGTTAGTGTAGATGCAGTGACCCCTGAGACGGAATTGAATTCTCGCGATTCTGCGCTTACTTTTGAAGGCGCCGATGTCATCCTCCGTCCACTTGGCATGTCAACTGCAGCACCAGTAATACGAACATCTAGTACTTCAGACGTGAAGGCAGTACGGCCTGGCGGTCGCTACAGTGCGACACAACTTCGAAAAGCATCTTCATTCGTGATTTTGACTGCCCAAAAGTCTCCACAGCCCAGTCCTTCTCATATTGAGCATATAACATTTCCCAAGAAGAAGGCGGTGACGCAGAATATTGGCCATGGCATACTCGAAGGAATGCTGGAGCTTGTTATTGACGTCTTTATCGATCAACTTTTTGTGCGGAAGGATTTCCCTGGATTCGGGCTTTTCCTAAAGGTGCCCCCAGGATTTCAAGAACATCATGCGTATTTTGAATCATACGTCCTCAAGAGCACCATTGTTCATACAGCAAGCAAGATCAAGCTAGATTGGAAATTGTTGAATGAGCCTAAGGTTCTCCTGAACATGTCGCGGTTCTGCGTCCATATGGTCGAGGCAGTGTTCGAAGGTTGGTTCATTAACGGCACCGAACCAATGCTTGATTTCGCTGGCATGCTCCTTGAATATCTTCAGAAGCCTGAAGTGGCGAAGCTGAAAACAATCCGATTATGTAGCCAAGCCGTATCCTCGATCCGCAGCTGTTTCTTGAGGCTCGTTATTCTACGCCTCTCTGAAGTAAACGATACACAAGCGACTAATGCCGAAATGGACTCCTCCATGGACAAGATACTATATTGGCAGATGGTCGTTTTAGAATCACTCTCTGTTGATGATGACTACATGAGATTGTTCTGGTATCAACTCTACAATAAGCTTGTGGACGATCGGCAGACTGTTCGATTGGTGGCTGTGAACATATGGCGTATCATGCTCGTACAAAAGCCCGATGAATGCGCTTCGCTCTTTCGACTCATCATGACCTCGGAACAGTCGCAACTAGTAGCGGATTTTCAAAAGGTAACAGAATTAGATACTGACACATTTGTGGCATGGGTAGATGAGCATCGCCCTTCGCTGGATGCACTCTTCCTTGGAGGCATCTCTCGAACCTGGGAAGAGTTCGTTGCGACCGAGAACCAACGGACGACTGAGGGTGCTCGTTCAAGACTCATGAGGCGCAAAGAAGTGCTTAGGCGGTGGCATCTGGAGACGAAGGAACGGGACAGCACAATTCTTCGACATGACATGGCCAACTCAGCATGGATGAAGTCCATATGGGCTTCGGAGCATTTCAAACACCAGCGCGCAGGTCAAGACAAACATGATGACTACTCGTTTTTCTCATCATCATATTCTAAAATGGAGAAGGATTTGACCCGACCAGGGGCAGTGCTTTACACATCCAATTCCACGAAGTGGAAACTCGATAGAATCGAGGGTCGAAACCGTATGCGCTTGAGGTTGCTGCCCGATTCGTCGTCGATCCATGAAGATTACCAGCCCAAACGACGAGGAACAGATCAACAGTCGGCTTCAGCACTGAAGTCAAATTCTCCGGTTCCCTCGATAAGAACTGAGCACGCCACAAGCACTACTTTCTTGGACGGCCACCCAGGCGAACCTGGTGGTGAGGAGGCGATAGAGGACAATCAATTCCCAGCGCAAAGCAACCATGACCCTGACTCAGGGGACCCAAATGTAGTACCAGACGATGACTTCGAGTTAATTGATGATCCCAACGAACCTAATGAAGAAGATTTCGAGGATAAGAATCGAAGAGTTATGAGGCGCTTGCAACAAGGAGATGCCGTTCAACAAGTCTATAATGTCTCTCGCATCATTGGGCTTGATGCATGTGAAGGGATCTTACTTATAGGGAAAAACGCCCTCTACATCATGGACAATTTCTTCCAGTGTGCGGATGGAGAGATTGTAAATGTGTGGGAGGCGCCAACACAAGAACGCGATCTCTTCTCGCAGATTATCACTGGCACCAGGCCCCATGACTGGCAATCGTCCGATAACCACACTGCCCAATCATCTCGTTCTTGGAACTGGCACGATGTCATTAGCCTTTCGAAACGTCGATTCTTGTTTCGCGACGTCGCGATTGAGATTTTCTTCACGGATGGTCGCAGCTATCTTTTGACCACCAAAGACTTGGCAACCAGAGATGAGGTGTTTTCTAGGTTGGCCTATAAAACGCCTCATACAGCCGGGCCCAATTCTCTCCCCAACCCTGAAGACGCATGGCGTCTAGAGTCCTTAAAAATGTTCGAAGAATCGCCACAGACATTCGGGTCCAAATTTGGCAACATCTTCAACTCTTCACCTTGGAACCCAATCATGCGACGATGGCAACGGGGAGAGATCTCCAACTTTCACTATCTTATGCTTGTCAATACCATGGCCGGCCGGACTTTCAATGACCTCACTCAATATCCTGTTTTTCCGTGGATTCTAGCGGACTATACTAGTGATGAGCTAAATCTAGAAGACCCGGCAACATTTCGTGACCTGTCAAAGCCGATGGGTGCGCAAACCGCCCGGCGACAGGCCGACTATAGTGCGCGGTACGCAAGTCTTGCTGAAATAGGAGAATCCCCTTTCCACTACGGAACTCACTACTCATCAGCTATGATTGTGGCCTCATACTTGATTCGCTTACCGCCATTTGTGCATTCCTACATTCTCTTACAAGGTGGTAACTTTGATCACGCTGACCGGTTGTTCTTCTCTATCGAGGGATCATGGAAATCTGCATCTCAAGATAACGGCTCAGATGTTCGAGAACTGATACCAGAATTCTTCTGTTTACCAGAGTTCCTGACTAACGTCAATGGCTACAACTTTGGTAACCGCCAGGGGAAAGGTGGGCAGGTGAACGATGTCCAATTACCGCCCTGGGCTAAAGGTGATCCGAAAATCTTCATTGCCAAGCACCGTGAGGCTCTAGAGTCGCCCTATGTCAGTCAGAATCTACATCAATGGATTGATTTGGTCTTTGGTAATAAACAGCGGGGCGAGGCAGCAATTGAGAATCTCAACGTATTCCACCATCTATCATATTACGGAGCCAAAGACCTCGACAATATAGCGGATTCTGAGGAGAGACATGCAACGACTAGTATCATTCACAATTTTGGCCAGACACCCCATCAGGTCTTTGCCAAACCCCATCCTCCACGGGAAAACACATCATTCCCTGCTAAAAGGCTAGATACTTCCTGTTATGCGTTATCTAGAATCCCCCACCCGCTTCTCGAGAGCAGGGAAAGGGTAGCATGTCTTATCTATGCATCCAAGCTAGACAGACTGCTTTGTTCATCTCCCTTTCGGCTTAACCTACCTCCTTCATACGACAAATACCTAGAGTGGGGATATGCAGATAACAGTGTCCGGTTCTTTTCAAGCGAAAACAGAAAGAGCGCTGGCGTTAGTGAGAATCTCCATATTGGACAGATCTCATGTGTTGTCATTGCAGATTCCAAGACCCTTATCACTGCTGGCGAGGACTGTGTGGTATCTGTTTTCACCATACTCAGTCATCCCGGCAAGCCAGTCGAGCTTCTACACCGGTCATCCCTCTTCGGACACAAGTCCCCCGTGACTACAATCGCCGTGTCGAAAGCGTTCAGCACGATCGTCACCATCTCTGGGGATGGGCACGCCTTTCTATGGGATCTGAACAGATTAGAGTTCATTCGCAAGTTACCCAACACTCGCTTCGTGGAGTGCGCCTCCATCAATGATGTCTCGGGAGAGATCATGCTCTGCTCTGGCCCCAACGTTACTCTGTACACACTCAACGGGGAGCTCGTCCTCGATCAGAATGTCTGCATGGAACATGATGATTACGTGTATTCGTGCGCATTCTACGAGGGCTCGGGGAATGAATGGTTGGAAAGCTATCTTGTTTTCACGGGCCATAGGAGAGGCCGGGTGAATATCTGGAAGCGCTCGATTAGAAATGGGAAATGGATCCTAGAATTGGTGCGACGACTCGATCACATTGATCCGAGAAGCGAGACTGGCGCCAACACGGAAGCTGCTATAACGTGCATCACGCCCATGCCGCAGTTGGTGTATACGGGGGATGATGATGGAAGAGTGGTAAGCTTAACGAGAAATTCATTCACTCACTTCTCTGGGATTGTGATATCTCTGGGAATTGTCGTTAAGAAAAGAAAAGATTTGCTAACATGGCTCTATCTAGTACGAATGGACCTTGATACACAGGGAGAGGTAGAGCCTTTCGCTGTGGAACGGTGCTATGATTCTACATACTAGGCCGAGAGCGAGGAGTGTGGGTTCGTAGATCTGTATATGGACTGGGGGTTTAAATAGTTATATCATGGGACAAGGACGAGTGGGGTGCTTTAGATAGTGCTGGTGGTATTATCATGATGCAAGATAGCATGATGTAAGAAAAATAAAGAAACTTGAGAGGTCTATAGGATAGATTCAGACAAACAAATAAAAGAAAACAGGGGAAATGAATGGATTTCTCTTGGTATTGCGGTATAGTGAAACGCTGTTCATATAGGGTTTCAGCCAGAAGGGCCATGAATGAATGGATGGATGAAATGTTGCTTGCTGCTGTGTACAACTACCTTCCTGGTGATTGATGGATTGTAGTCTGTTGCACTGTAATGCCTTATGATTTGATTTGATTTGATTTGATGATACACAGGGCAAACCAAACCCTTTCTTTGAATTGATGAACATGAACCGTGCATCTATCCGTTGTCCCATCTTATCCTTCCTCTGAGATTCTTCCTATATACACCGGGTTCCTGGTACCGTCCATTTGAACCCCTCTTTCCCGTTATGTTATTTGATTTGGTCTTGCTGCACTGGGCTATGTTGTGCTATCCGTGTTCTTTTCATGCATGCCATGCGATGCGTGTATCATACTGTGCGCTCAGTCATCGTATCCTGTTAATTGTTTCCTTGGGCCCGCAGGGACTGCTCGTCATGTTCAAATCAGCATAAACTCTTATCTTCTCTTCCAAGACTCAGGGTGTGTATGTATAAGTGTTTGTGTGTATATATAGGGAGGGCGTACCGGGATATGTCATGGGAATAGGCGCAGCTCGCACGTAGCCTAGTTTCTTCATCAATGGGGGCACGGTGAAGAGGATCACGGGTCCGGAACCCCCGATCAAGACGGAGAAGAAGAAGGCGGGGTGTTCGCGCGAGGACCAGCGTAGGTATCGCAGGGGTCCGGCCCAGAAGCGCGGTGTTGGGTTGACTGGTGCCATCTCTTTTGAAGTGTGTGAGGGAGGTGCCTGTGAAGAGGTAGATGGTTAGCTTGATGGATTGAGCAGGTAGTCTTGGATAGGCACTTGATGCTTGATAGGGACGGAGGAGGGGTTCTGTGTGATATGCTGGTGTATATAGAGATGGGAGGGCATACTCAATTGACTGAGGGGTGAGTCGAATTGGCGTGGGTGGTCAATTGGCGGCGACTTGCTGTGTAGAGCTGTGCTGCTCCGATCTGAGGCTCTGGTGATGCTCGTTAGGTAATTGCACAGCCATACATGCCTCCATTGCCATCCACCTATCTGTGGCGTCTCTATTGCAAGGATGTGGCGGTGTTATGTATCATGACGGGCAGTGATTCAGGGCTGCAGGTGCTACCAGACTACCTATTCCACACTGTCAGTAGCACTAACTATTAGTGGACCCTAGGTGCTATCCAGCATCCTTGCAGCTGCTATTTGTCTTGGCAGAAACGGGCTACGTATGCCAGAGCTCCGACCTTCAATCAATAATCATTGCTGGCCATGAGCTTTTGAGACAGCTGGTCCCATTGATTGAACAAGTTCACGACCACATCCATATTTACCCAATCCCCTCTCCCTGTCATTCTGATGCGCAGCTAACTCTTTGATGCTGTCGCAGTCTGCCGTCTTTCTTGTTTCTTTCCCCTCTGCCAATTGATCTCTGAGGCATCGCAAACATGAGGTCGCTTGTGTCGCTTCTGCTCCTCGCCCTCGTCGCCGCTGTCCATGCTCTCAGCGCAAGTGGTGGCAATAGACTGTTGGTCATTCTTGAAGATGTCGCCGAGAAAGCTGGCTATTCAAAATTCCTCGGCGACTTGGAGGGTATGCACTATCCCATTTTCTGTCTCCCTATCCATCCACTGTAAACGTTACAGGCAACAACGTGCTAATTGTCTTTCCCCCATAGCACGCGGCTTTGACATATCTTACGAAACACCAAAGAGCGAGGGTCTTAGCTTGTTCCACCTGGGCGAGAGATCATATGATCATGTGTTGTTGTTTCCTACCAAAGCTAAAGGTACGTTTCTGTCAGACACATTCGCAACTATCCGGCACATTGGCTCGTCCACCAAATTCTGATCATGTATGTGTGTTCATAGGCCTCGGTCCCAACTTGACCCCGAGCATCATCCTCCAATTCATAAATGCAGAAGGCAACATTCTTTTAGCCCTGTCCGGCTCTACCCCTGTTCCCTCCAGCCTCGTTTCTGCTCTTCTTGAGCTCGATATCCACATACCCACTGATCGCCAGGGCCTCGTCGTCGACCATTTCAATTACGATACTGCTTCCGCGTCCGAGAAACATGATGTGCTCGTGCTGCCCACTCCCGGCCCCCTCCGGCCGGATTACAAAGACTTTTTCGGACTTTCTGCGTCTGGGGAATCGGGAGTCATCGCGTTCCCCAACGGCCTCGGCCAGACCCTTGGCCAAGGTGCCCTCCTCTCACCAATCTTGCGCGCTCCCGCCACATCTTACAGTTACAACCCCAAAGAAGAGTCCGAAGCTATCGAAGACCTCTTCGCCGCCGGACCCCAGCTCTCACTTGTGAGCGCTCTTCAGGCGCGCAATTCGGCGCGAGTTACCGTCGTGGGATCGGCTGATATGTTAAGCGACAAGTGGTTTGGTGCGAGCGTAAAGAAGGTCGGCGAGAAGAACTCTGTCAAAACTTTGAACCGGGAGTTTGCGAAGGCTGTTTCTGGGTGGACGTTTGGAGAGATTGGTGTCTTGCGCGTCAACTGGGTTGAACACCACCTGAACGAGGCGGGCCAAAGCAATGCCAGCAACCCCAATATCTACCGTATCAAGAACGATGTGGTAAGTGTTATTATTTGATCGCATCCGTCCTTAAATCAAAGCCCATGCTTACCCACAGGATTAGACATACTCTATTTCGCTCTCTGAATACTCGTGGGATAAATACATCCCTTTCACTGTTCCAGAGAACGATGAGCTCCAACTCGAATTTAGCATGCTTTCGCCTTTCCATCGACTCAAGCTAAACCCTACCATCTCATCAGAGGACAGCACCACCTATACTGTATCATTCAAGCTTCCCGATCAGCATGGCATATTCAATTTCCTGGTTAACTACAAGAGGCCGTTCTTCAGCAACGTGTTTGAGAAGAACACGGTATCAGTACGTCACTTTGCGCACAATGAATGGCCTCGCAGTTTCGTTATCAGTGGCGCTTGGCCATGGATTGCGGGAATTGCCGTTACAGTGACCGGATGGCTCGGTTTCTGCGCTCTTTGGTTGTACAGCGCGCCCCCTGCCAAGGGTGAGAGCAAGAAGAAGCAGTAGAGAGACTTGTGAAAGCGAATGGAGAATTGGAAGCGAAGAAGCTTCTACCTGTTCTTCTTTTTTTTTTTCCAGAGCCCATAGAGAAAAGGCTGCGCGGTGAATTCTCATGTTTGTGATATACCTCATGTACAAGATAAAAAGGATGGATTCAAAAGGACTTGATTTAGCCTATCTAAAAATGAGAGGCATAGACGATAGTCGGCCATGGTAGGCTCGCGGGTCGAATGAATGAATAAATATTATCAATACCGCAGAATAAGACTGCATATTGTAGCTTCCCATTCTATTATTGATTGGTATGATGTTTAAAAATTCACATGCAGAAATTTGAAGACTTCCAAGTTGCTCAGTTTATCAGAATCATCAGATGGTCAAGTGGCTGCATGTGGGGTGCGCCATCAGAGCCCTGGAGAGCTTGCCTCCCAACTTTCAACTTTATCGATAGCGCAGCATTGAGAGGGAGCTCATTTCTCGCCAACAACGTCAACATCAACATAAACAACTACATCTACACCTAATCATAATTCATTTGATAATAGCAAACATCTCAAAGGCAACCGAAAACAAAGAGATCCTTATAGATCTGATCAAACTCTGTACGAAGGAAGCGGCGCTCACTGCTGAATCGCCTGAGATTTCATACCCACTGTGTCACACACATACATACATACATCTATCTCATGCCATGAGACCAAACTGAATCTTGTGAGAAAGGTCAACCTGAGTTACATACACCAATAGGAGACAACAGACGGAGACCCGCGGAAAGATAAAAGGTTCTCATAATAATATTGGAACAAGGCTACCAAATCAGCAAAGAAGCCCCAGCTCCAATTCAAACACTCAAAAGAAATAAACTGCGCTCTGGGGAGGGACACAACGCCAGCCACAATGCCCTCAGACACACATCGCGCCGACGAGCGGCGCTTCCTCGACGAACGAGGCAGCAACGCGTCCCTGGCGCCCAACGGGCTCAATCCCGCCACGATAATGGAGAAAGCGGTCCGCGAGCGCATCGTCGACAGCTACTTCTGGAAAGAGCAATGTTTCGGGCTCAACGAAGCAGACATCGTGGACCGGGTAGTATCCCACGTGTCCTTCATCGCCGGCACATACGGGTCCACGCAGAAGCCCTCTCCCTTCCTCTGTCTCGCGTTCAAACTCCTCCAGCTCTGCCCGTCCGACGCCATCGTCTCGACCTACTTGTCCTACGGCGGGGAGAAATTTAAGTACCTGCGCGCGCTCGCGTGTTTCTACGTCCGATTGACGCGGAAGGCGGAGAACGTGTATGCTATTCTCGAGCCGTATCTAGAGGATAAGAGGAAGTTGAGGAGACGCATGAGGAGCGGTGTCCGGTTGACGTTTGTGGATGAATTCGTCGATGAGCTGCTTACGAAGGAGCGCGTGTGCGCGACGAGTCTTTGGCAGATGCCGAAGCGGGAGATCCTGGAGGATTTGGATTTGTTGGAGCCGAGGGTTAGTCCGTTGGGGGATATTGAGGATTTGTTGGACGAGGACGAGGATGAAGACGTGAATGGGGGTGAGAGTGAAGATGGCGAAGTTGGAGATGAGGGTGGAGATGAGCGGCGTGGGAGATCGGGTTCTGCGGATAGTAGCGAACGGGGTAGCAGGGGGAGAGGGGGTTTATCTAGGAATGGGATGGATGTTGATGTTGATGGAGATGGACGGTCTGATAGGAGTAGGAGTGAGAGGAGAGGGAGAAGCGATAGTAGGTGAGCCTGATATGTTTCGATTTACTCGAGCTTTTTTACTGCGGATATGAGAATCATGTTGTCGCGTATGATGAGCATGAAGATGTGAATAAAATACGATGAGTTCAACCATGGATTATCTCATCGTTTACAGAGAGCACTACATTGCTTGCGAAAGCATCATGACTGAAAAATGTAAGATTATGTGGTAAATTGCTTTATTTTATACGTATCTTGGGTATATCTAATATTACACAACAGGACGACAAATACCATCATCATAGACTGAATGTACAGGACTCTTGTCCGTTTAGAGACCCTTGCCAGACCTTGGTATCGCGTCTTCAATTTTTACCGGCGCTGTTGTTTGCGACATGGCCTGATAGCCTTTCTGCAACCGATAAAACACGTGCATCATCCCAGTACTGCCCAATGAGCTGCAGTCCACCAAAATGAAGCAGCTTCTGCTCCTCGTTTGCCGGGTCCACAGGAAGATCCATAGGGATACTTATAGCGGGAAGGCCGGCAAGACTCGCCGGCACTGTGAAGACGTCGTTCATATACGAATCCAATGGGGTCTGGTCACGGACGTGCTCGAGGAGTGGGGGTGTAGTAGGAGCAGTCGGACAGACAAGGAAGTCGACTTGTGCGGGCCCTAGCTTCGTCTCGATACCAATCGACTCTTCTATCTCGCTCAGATCGAAGTGCTGCTCGTCGAGTAAAGGGTTATCCAATTTGAAGATCCTGTCAAAGTCCCTTCGCACGAGTTGGCGGACTTTCTGCGCCTGGATGAAGTAGTTATCTATCGCCTCGGAACTCAGAGTATACGAGCCTAGTAATATCCGGCGCTTGACTTCGTTTCCAAATCCTGAACCCCGTGTTCTCGCGTATAGTACGCCGTCCTGGGCGTCGCTTGAGTCATTGGTATCTCGGTGACCATAGCGTATTCCATCGTACTTGGCGAGGTTAGAAGACGCTTCTGCGGGGGCTATCACGTAATATGCAGATAGCGCATTCTTCGTAGAGGGCAGCGAAACGGGGACAACACGACCCCCAAGTGTTTGTATCGTGTCGAGGGCTTGAAGCCATCCTTGACGAATGCGCCAGTCAAGTTCCTCGATGTTGTATTCCACGGGAAGACCAAAGGTCAACCCTTCCAGTGTTTCAAGCGGTTGTCCGTTAGGAGTATATCCCTCCCTCTCTGCCGTACATCTCGAGCGCACTGTATCCGGAAGAGAAGTAGGATCTCTCGGGTCATGCTCTCTAAATAGGCCTGAGCTGACAATAGCCTCGCGGATAGGTTGCACGGTCCTCGCTAGCAATCCAACTGTGTCTAGGGAATTGGCATACGGGACCACCCCCCATCGCGACAACATGCCATAGGAAGGCTTGAAGCCGACTGTCCCCGTATATGCGGCCGGCATGCGCACAGAGCCACCTGTGTCGGTGCCCAGCGCAATGTCTGCCTTCCCCTCCTTCACGGCCACGGCGCTTCCACCGGAACTACCGCCCGCGGAGTATTTCTCGAGCGGATGCGCGTTATGGACGGATTCGAAGGCCGATGTTGTCGAATGCGTGCCCATGCCAAACTCGTCCATACCTGCCTTGCCCACGACTTCCATGCCACGACCCCGTAGCTGCGTCACAATGGTCGCGTCGAAGGGGATTTCGGTCCCGGCTAGAATGTTGGAGGCGCATGTTGTCTGAAACCCCGTGGCGGCGATATTGTCTTTGACTGCGAGCTGGATGCTGGAGACTTTTAATGGAATGCAGTTAGTCAAATGTCCATGTCGCGATTCTTGGGGTATGGAGGAAGAAGAGGAGCATGTACCGCCATTGTCCTGTCGACGGCTGAATTCACCCGTTGAGGCATACCTAGGGCACAGGTACCGCGCAGAGCGAAGCGACGACCGAACTGATGCGTGAGCGGCTAGAGATGGCTTCACCGGCAAGCCAAAGGCGTCTCGAATAGCGGCTCGAAGCTGAATACGGTTGGCATATCTAGACATGTGACCCATGTGTTGACGTCGCGGAAATACTTTCTTTACCTAAATGGCATTTTCAAAGTTCGCTGGGATCTGGTTGAAATTCGCAGATGCCGAATCGTGAGAGGCGAGGGTCGGCCCTTGGCGGGGCCGCTAGACCGCTGTGAAGTGCGGCTGCTGGTCCGGTGCCACGCCGTCTCCGTAGCGCTGTTACCCGTCTAACTTTAGGCTCGCCTTAGGCACTAACAGCCTACAGGGTCCCCCGAGGGCTTGGTTACCTAGAGAGGTTGGGATTGGTTCAACCCCACGCCGGTGCCAGCTCAGGTGGAACAGCACCTGCAGGCCAGGCACTACAGGCAGGCATCAAAGCTCCAGCGGACTTCCGTGACGCAACCTCCACCTAAGCTTGGCGATAACTACCTACCTACCCAATTCATCATCTACTACTTACAACCACGCCAACACCAATGCTTCATCACTATTTCTCCATCTCTCTCTAATGGGAGACGTATCTATCCTCAAATCTCTCACTATTTCTACCTTGACATTATGACTTATAAGACTGCGGCTGTTCTGGCAGCCCTGGCCGCTGTTGCCAATGCAGCTCAACCTGAAGCGCCGACACCCGTCGCTGTTCCTATGCGAGAGCTCGACTGGGGGCAAATCAACTTCCTACACACCACTGATATCCATGGCTGGCTCGGCGGTCATTTACAGGAGTATGGCTAGAAGCCCTATGTCTTTCTCCATGCCGTGTCGTAATCTTATAGCTGACTCGTTCCTTCTACTACAGACCACAATACTCAGCCGACTGGGGCGACTATATTTCCTTCACCGAACACATGCATAGGAAAGCTGACGAGCAGGGAGTTGACTTACTCGTTGTAGACACCGGGGACCGTATTGAAGGAAACGGTCTCTACGACAGTTCAACTCCGAAAGGCAACTATACCTATGATATATATGGCCAGCAAAGTGTCGACATCTTGTGTACCGGGAACCACGAGCTATATCATGAAGATTCCATCGCTCGAGAACACAACATAACGGTTCCTCATTTCAAGAAGAATTACGTCGCTTCTAATCTAGATTATATCGAACCTGAGACTGGCAATCGGATACCACAGGCCCAGCGCTATATTAAATTCAAGACGAAGAACCAGGGATTGAACGTCGTGGCCTTTGGTTTCATTTTCAACTTCGACCGGAATGCGAATAACAGCGTCATACAACGTGTCGAAGATGCCATCAAAGAGAAATGGTTTCAGGACGCCATTAGGGAAAAGCCCGATCTGTTCGTGGTTCTTGGCCACGTAGGACTGCGAATGCAAGAATTTGAGCAAATCTTCAAGGTCATTAGAGATGCCAACTGGTACACGCCCATTGCCTTCCTTGGTGGCCATGCACATGTAAGAGATGCGAGGAAGTTTGATAGCCAAGCCGTGGCCATTGCTAGCGGTCGTTATTTCGAAACCATTGGATGGATGTCCATCAGCGGCATCCAGAAGCAAACGAAAGATGTCGTTTCCACCAAAGCCACCGCTACCTTTAAGAGGCGGTACATTGATAATAATGTTCTTGGGCTTCAACATCATGCAGGAGTAGATAACAATACTTTCGCTACTCCGCAAGGTCGCAATGTTACTGGTATGATTGCAAATGCTCGGAAAGCCCTTCACCTCGACCAGAAACTCGGCTGCTCACCTAGAGATCTTTGGATGACTCGTGCCAAATATCCTAGCGACACCAGTATCTACTCTTGGCTAGAGACCGACGTGGTCCCAGATTCCGTCGTCAACAAGGGCCGAGCCGACAAGCCTCGACTAACCATTGTAAATACCGGTGCCATCCGTTTCGATATCTTCAAGGGCCCATTCACAAAGGATTCCACGTATCTTATTTCTCCCTTCACCTCCAAGTTCAGCTACATCGCAGACGTCCCGTACGCCGTAGCCAAGAAAGTAATACAACTCCTGAACAACGGAGGAGTAGTCTTCGAAGCAGGACTAAACCCCAAATACATGTCCATACCCGAACAAATGGCGCCTAGCCCCTTCCTCGGCAAAGAACCGGCTTCGCCTCTCCCCGCACGCTCCAAGTTCATCGATGGCCAACAACAGCCTCTCGTTGAGCAAGAACCAGAGCTCATCGGCGGCTACACGACGAAAGACGACCTAGGCGATGACGGCGACGACGCAGTGCACTCGCCCATCAAGTTCTACAGCGTCCCCAATTGCATACAGTCACAAGCTGGATTCTCAGCACCGCCTGCCGCGGAGCCTGAAGCCGTCGATCTTGTATTCATCGACTATGTGCAGCCATGGATCATACCGGCGCTAGAATTTAGTGGCGGCGATTATAGTTCTGATAATATCACTATGTATATGAATTCGACTTTGACGGAAGTCATTGCGGGATGGGTCCAGGAGCACTGGAAGGAGGGATGTTGATCTCGCGTGCGGTTTCTTTTCGTTTACAAGTACACTGCTGTCACATTTATTATATGTGCAGATAACTAGATATATCGTGCTTTTAGCAAGGGTACGTAGGTAAAGCCAGTCGTTTCTGCTTGGATTACACGGCGTTTGGGAAGGCGGTTAGGAAGGGAGTTAGTGAGTTATTCATTTATATATGGGACAGCCTCAGTTATGGATACACAACACGTATCGGTATATATCACATGCCTAAGTGGTTTAAATTATCGCAATTGGCTTGTGATTTGTTATTTGGCTCGGCATCCGGAATTATCAGTCGTTACGGAATTAACAAAGATCATATATTACAAAGTGCCTCGGTGACTGAATATTTGCTCCCCTGTTATAACGACGCCAGTGACTGTCTGACCCTCGGGATCGAGGGTATTTATTCATCGTCCCATATATCAGCCTGAGACTATCTTATCCATCCCTTGGTACATTACAGTAGCCCACCCCCTTTATTCTCACTCTTCGGCTTAATGCCACCTGGACGGGAAGATCGCAAGTCCCGTCTCCGTTTAGATCATTGGCTAAATGTCCGGTTATCAAGTTCGACACTTCACTGCAAGTCCTTAGAACCGCGGCTTATCCCGGAATGCGGCGTTGGCAGTACATGGTGGGGCGTTCTCAAAATGAAAACATGAAGGACCGCGGTCTGCGGGACAGGCAATAGATATGATAACGAGTGCGAAGAATCTCGTAGCCATCTTCACTTAGCACCTATGCGAAGCTCCTCTTCGGGTATGCGTCCCAATTCAAGGCTTAGAAAGCAGTAGCCGAGGCCAGTATCAAAGCCGTTGATGCCGACACCCCATATGGCGAATCTGACAAGTGTTGGCGTACCCATGTACTGGTTTCGACCAGGTCTGAGCCTTGACTGTGAGTGCCGGCAGCAGCCAGCCAACCCTCGTCGAATAACCTTTGTATCACTCGCCCCGTGGTTGGTGTAGTAACTCTCCTCATCCTAGGCCCCCATCTACTGAATCTGATCAAGCAGTTTCCGCCGTCTTCTCTCCATAAGCTCCTGCTGGACTTCTTCCAACGTCGGCAACTCCCACGTGCGTCCATCTCCAGCATCTCCCGGCAGCGGTTCCCAGTCCGGTGGCGGCTTGGTATTTTTCCCGGCTTGCTTGTGCAACATATCAAATGCTTCTTTCTCCTTCTCGGCCTCGTACGCTAGTAAGGCGTCGTCTTCTTCGTCTGGCGCATAGCCGTAGTATTTCGCGTCGACGGCCTTGCGCAAATCATCGCGGGTCTCGAGGGGTTTCTCGTCCTGCGCCCTCGCCTGCCGCGCCGCTTCGAAGAGCTCCTTGACACCGGGTAATTCCCTCGCTCTCCCAAAGTATTTATACCCCTTCCCTCCTCCGCCGGGTATTTCGCGCCCGGTCTCGTCGTAGATCTTCCCCGTGCCGCGCATGTAATTCGGCCCTCCCAAATTCCGGATTTGCACCTCCCACATATGTTTTTCCCGCATCAGCTTGTTGATCTCGTCGTTCAGGTCCCGGATCTGGTAGTCGCTGAGCGCGGGGTCCTGGATCTTGGACACCTTCCGCGAGACCTCCTTCAGCACCTGGCCTCGCCATTTCTCGCACGCCGGAATCGCGTCTACTTCTGTTATCACGCGGGGACGCCGTGTGCGGCCGGCGTCGATGATGCCGAGATCTGCTGCCTGTGCCTCCCGGAAGCGGAAGAGCATCGACTGGGCTTTTTCCGAGTTACGCGCCTGCGGTGAGAAGGGTTGGTTAGCTGGATAGTTCGGTGGTTAGGGCTGGGGTGGGCTGCGTACCATTTTGGTAGATCACGTCGTTGGATTAGGAAGTGATGACGGATGTATGGACAAAGCACTATTACTGAGAGTATATTATAGCAAACCAGTAGACTCGTCGATGTAGCGAAAAGCACCTGAAGCGAAAAGATCAAGGGAGTGTCATGAAATTGAAAAGTTCAGGTCCTCCAGCAGCCTCACAAGGAACTACCTGGGTACAATGCCTTAGCTTGGAGAGTGGGGTGAACATGCTCAATCCAGCCAATCATGCGTGGGGACGCGGTCCCCTACAAAACCCCTACAAAGGCCCCTACGTAACTGCGCGCTGCCCAGCTACAGCGAAGCTCTCTCATCTTCATTTTCAAGCTTCATCATCCCATAGCCAACTTCTTCCTCGTCCCGCCATGTGTACACATTCTCAGAATATCCGTTGCTCATTTCTTTCCTTACTTTCCCATATGATGGCCGAGTATAGCTTGGCAGGGTGAGCGCGAGCAAACGACGGCCCTGCCCTCTACGACACCAGCTGAATCATCACTTAACACCTTCTCATTTTTCTTCACTTCTCACCATCTTTGCCTTTCTCAATCATCCTCCAAACACCCGACTTGACTGCCAATCTTGACACTTATGACAACATGTTGCGCATCTACACGCTCTCCACGCACGATTTATGCCATCTTAGATCAAAGAAAACACGGCCCACGCTACTTACAACTTTATAATAAATGACAGAGGCGATATCTCTCCAGCTTTAGTGACTACAGACTAGGTACATAACATACCTTACTGCTCACGGCTAGTTACCTGCCTAACTACATCACACTCACCGGGACATTCTGCGCATACCTACTATGTTACGTCGCCACAGACGACGACATATCTGACTACATTCGTAATCTCAAAGAACGACAAGCTCTGCTTACAGCCTCTGACACTGTTTGAAATTACTGACTCTACAAGGTGTCATTATACTACTCCATTCAAGGCACTACACCGCTCGCTCTACGATGAAAGATCATCATACTCTACAGCCAAAGCACTGCTGGAAATTACTATACGCTACAAAGCTTCAAATCAGTCTCTCTATCTCATTGCCTCGAAGACGAGCAATTACACTATTTTACACAATCAGGCATGCTGCTACAAGTCAATACGCTCTACGACGAGTTGATATATCACTTCAGAAAGTCACTGTATCACTCGCTCTACGATGAGCTATGACAATACTCTCTACACAGTCAAACACTGCTTGAAATCAATCACTCTACAAGGAGCCAAAAACTCTTGCTCTAAGATCAGCAGCTACAATCTTCTACTCCGTCAATGACACTCCCTGCAATTGCTACACTTCACAAAGAATTACCATCTTCATAACATCGCTTTATTCTGCTTCGCCAGCATCCACAAAACTTAGGGCCATGTCCCTCCAACGTTTGCATTCTATGAGGGCACCAAACCACGCTATTACCTATGAGTGGGGGGTGAATGGCTTTGCGATGACGAGAATCCCTCAGAGCTTGTTGGACCCGATTGTCCTAGGACATTTGGCGTATGACGAAAAATCAAGAACAGAGATCCGAGCAAAGCTAGCCACTTCATGTGAGTTGGCAGCGACTAACCTCGAATTCAGGTCTCTGCAGTCACGGTATCATTCTGGTTCCCAGCACACGTCGGCTATTTTTTGCTGACCCGAGCAATGACGACAAACTCAGCACACCAAGAGAATGCACCGTGCTAGTCGCACTCGATGATGGCATTTAATAGTTTTCAATCGGAGCTCGTGGTGTGGTGCTCGTGGAACCGCTTGGTTCAGTGAACTGTAGTTGTCCTCGAGGCCGTTGCACCTTTTCTTCTTCGTGCTATTTGCGTAAAAGCGAATGCATTCTACAAGATAACCCGGTGATGACCAAGTGTATCCAAAAAGCCAAATTTGCAGGCAGCCTGAACAAGCTTCCGGCAGTTCCTTCGGAGCGCTGAGCTAGGGAATGGTTGTCTATGAGAACCAGAGAGCTAATCTGAGGGTATATATATCTTGTTAGATGCATTCTGCTATCATACAACATGACCTCGTTCAATTTCCGATTTATTTCTGCCCCTCCCTTCCTCTAGCCCTTCCCCCCTTATGTGGTTCGTGCGTGTTTTCCCTCGGGCTTACAGCACTCCCCTCCTTTTTGAAAAACTATCGTACTACTAGTTTGCCGTTTATCTTGTCCACATTCATCAAAATCACTTGATTTCAAACCTGTCACGGCTCAAAGCATGTTTCACTCCCCATTAACTGACTGAGTTAACCTAGATACATCAAATGATTGTACGTTCTTGTTCCATATCCTCCTGATCTAAGCCAAACTAGAGAACGCAGTCTATTGTTCCTTGTTTTTCTGGGAAGCTGTCAAAGTCCCGTGACCATATCCATATTGCACCCCTCCATACCGGTCCGAGTCGAAAACAAACATATAATCACTTTTCCTTTTGACATGCCATGCAACTACCACTTTGAGCTCTCTACAACGGGAGGTCAGGACAGTGATGACAGTATTGCGGAGAACAACGTGGATGCTCCTGTAATTGTTCAAGCTGTGGATTCGATGCCCTCGTCGCTGTGTGTGTAGTTCCACGTGGCTTGGGAGATATACTGATCCGCAGAGCCTAGCAACCTTGAGGCAGCCCTGACCCCGAAATCTCTCGTGAGCAGATTGAAGAATTCGGCTTTCACTTCGGCGCATAAATGACTGTGCCGCATATGAAGTGTACGACTTGTACGCGAGATTAATTGACGATAGAATGACGGACGGTAGACCGAGCGACGGTGAATTGGTCGACGGTGATGTTGCGAGTACTTCTTTCTCGCCATGGTGGGAGAGTTGGCGTTGGAGCCACGCCGTGAAGTTGCTGATGAAGAACAACGCAGGCAAATGGAGGATGAGGTATAAGGGTGACTCGCCGGAGTGTCAAAGCTTGCTCTAATGAAAGCCAGAGGTGTCGGGTCACAGTCAACTGGGTCTATCACAGCGAATTTATACTCGCGAGCCTGATATCAACATCCTTTACTAATTAGACTTACACTTGAGAAAATTTCTGGTCTCGAGGATGATCCACGCTTTATATTTGTCGGGATATGAAAAGAGATGCAGGACGTTTAATCTGCTGCGACTCACCTCGTTTCGTAGTCCTTTTGATCCGCATACCAGCAGAGAAAATATTTCGCGCCGTTTCGTGGAGTAAACTGTGTGACCATCTCGATTGGCTCAGAGCCTCGGTGTCTTGCTCGTCCAGGACACTGATGGCTGACCTTGACTGAGCATGTGCTACCGGCGGTGCTGCAGGAGGTTGCATCAACTCCGAAGCCTCCAATCCCAATCTTTCTCCCCCCTCCCCTCCGGAATATTGGTTGGTTCGTAGCCATTGCGCCGACGGCCCCCAAAATACTGCCAGCGACTTCTACCTATCGATATATCTCGCGAAGTCTGAAACACAGCATTTTCACGTACATCGCCTCTGCTCCTCCGCGGCGTGGGTGACATCATAGGCAATGGGCGTATCTAGCCGGCATTGCTTGTCCTGGGACGCATGATTCTAGGTGAAGCAGCTCCCCGATTATTAACATCACCTGGAATACTCGCAGACTGGGTTCACGACCACCCTATTCCCAACTTTGCGGCTAGAGGTCTTCCAGCGAGGTGCTACCCAGGTTGGACAGGTGGAACGCTCGAAGCACAACTATACACTGGCAGAATAGCCCCTATATGACTCACCTTCAAATTTATCGACTCTTTGCAAATCCGTTTTCCAAGGATAGCTGTTAACACCGGATTTGAATATTGTAACGGCTCGCTAAATCTATGATTCGTATTTAACTAATGAAACGACATAACCTTGATTCAACATTCGGATACGCGTTGTTCTTTGCACAAGCCTCTAGTCACATGCCACCAGTTCATGCTGCATAAGTACGCACGGTATGGCGCCGGCTGGCGACTCCCTCCCAGAACCGTTTCGGACGACCCGTCTTCCAGGAGACGCACAGTGTCAATATCGCGATCAACAGACTGAGTATCCCAACAATGATACCGATCAGATCAGTCGTCTTCAGCTTATCGTCACTTGAGTCTTTCGCGGAACTAGCCGTATCTGTCGGCCCAGCACCCTCAGTACTTGAGATTGTGGATGACGCTGGCGTGATGGTGGGAGAGATGGTAACTGTCGTCTGAGAAGGCGAGATGTGAGTAGACGTGATTTGAGAAGACGAGAGCTCTGATGTAACAGGGGGTTGGCTTTCTGAACTTTGTGCCGTTGTCTGAGTCTCATGCGACGATGTCTCAGACCGAACTACAGTAAGTGTCAGGGGTTAGCGTATGTAGTACATATCGCCCTCTTCTCGGGAATGACCATATAGCGGCGGAAAGGAGATACGCAAGATGCAGTAAAGGCTTCACTCGGAAACACATGCCTCTTCTTGCCTTGCGGGCATATATTATCACCAACCTACACGTGGGTGGCCGTCAAGAAAAACGACGCAGCGGAAATGAGCAGTGCAGCAATGGGAGTCCAGGAATAGCGCGTCCCAGCACCAGACCGAACAACCGTCTGCGTCGTCGTAACAATCTCGGTAACAGTGACAGTGGCAGCAGCGGCAGCGGCAGCGGTAAGACACGCACCTGTTGGCGAAACAGACGCCGTTGCCACAGACGTATACCCATGGTCAGAGCAGTACCTCAACAAGAAATCCGTCGCGGTGCGCTGGTCTTCATAATTGGAGCACAAACTAAGGACTTGCTCATCGATGGAGTCGACGGCTTGCTCCAGCGTGCTCGGTCGACACAAGCACGCGTTCGTCTGGCATCCCACTACGACGTCCACCAATTCGCCATGGCAGTCGTGAGCGTTTCCCCTGAATGGACACTGCGCGCAAGCGCGCATGTCGCGCCAGCCCGCGAGCGTCGTGTATACGATGGAGTCATCGGAGATGATTTGCGCGGATGCGGTGCACAGGGCTAAGATGAGCTGGGCAAGTATATAGAGGGATGCATGGTTTGGAGACCAGCGTGTGAGGAGCCTCATTACTGCGGTGAGATGCAAAGGCCTATATTCTGACGATAACCACGCGAATCTGAAAGTTATTCTAGTTAGAATGAAGTATCGTCACCGTCAACGATGCATCGATATCATATAATAACATCAGCGCAAGTTGGTATCAGCATTCGTCACGACGTAGACGCGTTGAGTCAGAGCCGGACACATTCTTTATCTATCTGCCTATAGTTATAGGTATTCCCACTTCATATGTTGTCTAGGCCTGTAGTGCGCCTAGCTAACAGATGTGGCGTTCGAATGGTCGAATGGAAATACATCGTCCATGACGCTTTTGGATTGAGTTATTGATACATGTTATCACGAGCCCTGAGTGCACTATCACGTATGCAGACAGCTGAATTGGCGATGGCGTTCAGCCGCTCGAGCCTCAGCTTGACTGTGCCACGGCATGGAAGTTTCGAGCCCGGAGGCAGAGTCGCGGTATACTCACTCAGATTAGATAGTTTTTACACCACGCGATGGTGGATCGTACTTCGCGTGAGGTCATTTGAACAATTAGATAGAAGCAATGGTGTTGATATGTGAGTTGCCCATAGAAGCTTTCCCTTGCTAATCCCCCATACCCCCCCCCTTTTAGTGCCTTCGTAGGTTTATTTTGTCTTTATACCAACTAGTCAGCCATTATCTGCTTGGCAGAGAAAGCTACTCAACCGAGTCGACTGAGCTTTGATATCTTTTCCGTACTAAGCACTAGCGAAGTCAAGTATAGAACACACGTCCATTAGCAAAAAGCGCACCAACAAGGCTAAGCAGAGTGCTTTGATATCCTATTATCTATCGGGGGCATGGGTCAAGCGCAGTTGACTGTCCTTTTTTATTGATTTTTTTTTTTTTTTTTAAATTTAGTTATGTATTTATTTATTCATTTTTCGAACTAGCTTTAGCAATAATTGTTTTCGCGAGGGTGAAGTGGAAAGGTCTAAAACGCCAGCTCATGCAGCAATACGTGTATTCAAGCTCTGGGATATCATACCTCGGAATTCCACCTCACCTCTCGCTGAACCCTTATCTTTCCACGCGGTATTCTTGCTGATCCTGGTCGTGCGCTTATATCTGTCCAGAATTCTCCGCGCTCTCTTGCTGGATAGAGCACGTTCATGTCATCCATCCTTTTGAGGAACCTTTCCTCGTCTTCCGAGTTGCGAGGTGCACTGCGATTGATACCGGATCTCGACCCTCCCGCCAGATTCATTTTTGATTGTCCACGGATGGGTTTCATGGTGTAACCCGTTCGGTGTGTGATAAGTCTGTCATCAGGTGACCCCATTCCTCTAGCTCTCTTGTACACCGGAGCAAGAGTGGGAGCACAGGCGGCAATGACTGTAAGGTAGATCTCGATGGCACTCGTAGCTAACAACAGTGCCGGCGATTCTGGAACTTATCAATATCTCTACAACCTCCTCATTGTCAGACGGAAGAATATACTCACCACTAGAGCCGTTTGGTGGTTGATTTAGATATAGCGAAATGGCGATCAATCGCGCAAAATTTGCACCTATTGCACTACGCATAATGTTAGCGGAATTAGATTGGGAAATGTGACAAACCCGGCTACCAGCAGGAGTTTCACTTACAGTCCGCCGATACAGAATATCCCAATGACAAAAGAAATCTTTGCTCTTGATGAACGCAACTTCATAACCTCATGAACGGGTAAGGCCACGATAGCGACGTCAATGATGATGCTAAAGGCGGCTGGGATGACGATACCCAGCTTAGTCTCCAGACATTGTCCTCCTTGGATTGAATGATCCCACATATATGAGATTGGTTGACATATCCCAAGATTTAGACCCTCAACTACTACGAACCAGGCGACAGACACGACGATGAGAATGTACCCGCCACGCTTTACCATCTTAGTATGGAAGATCCGTAAGATGAACATAATGGCAGAGAGTCGAATGCTGGTTAACGCCGTGCCATACAAGATAGTCGAGATGAATATGAATTTGAGTGGCTCTTTCGATGCGCGTGGAGAGGCGGATATGGCGTCCGGTGAGTCAATCCCAACACCGTACTCGAGGAAAGCAATAATGACTACCGCACCGAGCCCGTGTTGAACAATCAGCGCAAACAGCGCAAGCCAGTCATCCGAGCATGCTCCGAGCCTAGATAGCCGTCTCGCCAAAAATCGAAGGGCGAGAGTGATGCTAGAGAGGACGCCTAGAAAGATTATGGCTCCTATGTAGCCCCATGCATCGTGCCAGACTCCGAGAGTCGATGTCATTGATGGTGCCACCGACGATTCCATCGCCTGCTAGCTGCTACACAAGCTGAACATGCGTGTCGTGGGTGGAAGACGATTAGAAGGGCCAGCCAGCTGGTGAGAGATGAGCAAGTATTTGGGGTAGAAGAAACACCATGACTCGCAAAGGAGCTTTTTTGTCGAAGAGTTTCGTGTGCATTACCCCAGGCTTCGAGTATGCGAGCCAAGTTCGAGCTTCATTGGTGCCAGTGGTAACGTTGGTCCGCCGTTGGGTTCATCCATCCATCTGCTACCATGTGCCCACAAGCCTGTCCGCGTGCATCTGTGCGTTTACTGCAACAGTAGAGAAGCCGGACTCTGGACCAATGGATACGCTGAGGCGGCTTGAAGCAACGGTCGACAATAGATTAAGGTGGAATCGATGTGGGCTGACCACTCAACTTATGGCGGAGCCCACGTAGAACCCATGCCCTGCAAACGTGGCTCACAGACGGGACGTGCGAAGGCATCGCGAGGTCCACCAGATGCAGGTAGTATGTTTCACTGCCCTACTCAAGGTCGGCTCTGAACGAGAGCCAAGTGTACTGATCGTCCCACGGACCGCTACCCAAGACTCGTGCCAAGTGTCTCCTACCAGATACTTCCCGAACGACTGCATACTTGTGCCCCATCAAACTCAAGCAGTGCTTGCATGATATGTGCAAAACCTGGGCAGTAGATGGCGAAACTTTCTTCCACCATCCACTCCTCGCAAGAATATCGTACCACCACTATTGTATTACTTACAGCGATAATCGAGATGCTGCTACACTAGCGTGGCCCTGCCCACTTCGAGCAACGTGGGTAGAGCGAGCGAGCAGGGGACCAGGGGCGGGAAGATCTATCCCAAATGTGAGACGGCCAATTAGGATCAGATATCTATCTCTAGGCACGTAGGATTTGGTGGGTAATTAACGCGCGTCTACTTACCAAAGCGCGTAAGATCTCTGCGCCTGTCTTTGTGCCTACCTGGGCAGACATCTAGGCTGTCTACGTTCCCTTTTCCTTAGGAGTTTCGATGCTTCGTTCAAGTATAGATACTAAGATGAACCGCCATTAAACCATCCATACAGGCCCCCATACAATAAAGCAGACTAACAGAGTACGAATAAGCTGAAGTAGGCGTTTCCCACGTGGCCAGTGTCCACACGAGGAACGTGGTAGATGTGAGCACCACCACCCGTTGTATGAATGTGCCACGCACGTGTTTCGGCCAGGTTCATCGCCAAGTTCGGTTCCACATGGATGGGATTGGCTCGGATGCATTCATTCCGATTGCTCTCTTTCTTGCGCGAGCGCAAGCGCACTATACCGTCTGACTGCATATTCATGTCGTAGAGGAAGGCAATTGATGTACATTTGCTCACCGACTTTCTAAAAGAATATTGAGTTTTACAATGACTATTGTCTGCCTCAGCCTTGACGAAAATAATTATCCGAACTAGCTAGAGGGTTGCTTCACGAAAGGTTTTACTTCTGGCATTGTCATTTGATCGCGAAATCCAAAGCCCACGTAAAACGCTGAGGATGGCATAGATTCCTACCTAATTGATAAGAACGCGTGACGAAACGAGGACAACTTGAGAGTTAGGGTGCAAGACGACTCTTGAGCAGCTCGTTGTGTAGGCTCGGCCCCAGATACAACTCAAGTACATTTTATAATTATTATAGTACTATCAACCGTATCCCAGCCCCTTGATCTTGCCAGGTGACACATACCGCCATCGTTTATCCCATATACACAGTGCAGTGTCTGATCCTGCATAGTAGTCATATCTTCATCCATCTTTATTTTTCTCTTTGTTGTGGTTTGGCAGACGTTGGAAGTATACTGTCTGGAGGAGGTCGGCAAATCTGTAGCGGAGGATATGACCATTGCAATCTTCACCAAAGAATTCAAACAAGCTATTCTCAGAGCGACCGACTAAGCTCGGCAGCGTAGCTGTCGTGATATGATTCGTAATGGCGCCGGTAAACAGAGGAGCTCCTGATGAAGAATTGTTAGCGCCCTAGTTGAAGACTGATATAGATCCTTGGGTAGCTTCGGACGAAATATGTAGCCAACGGCTTTTGTTATTGCGGAACCCTCGGCTTTCGACTCTGGGCGACTTACCATTGTGTGTGTCCTTATCGGGGTGAAGTTCAAAGGGGCCACCTGTAGATAGACTATATTGTCCCACCAGCGCCCACCTCGCAATATTATCGGTGGAATGGGCAGGAAGCTCAAGCTCAGTCGGACGAACCGCTCTCTGTGTAGTATCGTTCGCAGTCATAATCAAGGAGCTATATCCGGTCTCGGCGTATACACTGATACCATCTGGATAGACAGTATGCCAGGTCAGAACTGGGTCGCCGGTTGTCATGTTCCTTTGCAAGTTACACGTTAGCTTGTTCGTTAACCGAACGAAGAAAGTGGCGCCTTACGTGAGAGTGGCATTGATGATGCTCCAAGCTCCCACGAAACATTTTAATGGGGTATGAGCCCAGTTGCCCATGACGGTATATTGTAGGAAGACTGGCGATGTCAGATTGGTAAATATGTGGATAAAGAGGCCATTCGATCAAGTGTCTTGATCCTCTCCATTCAAGTCCGTTAACCTCCAGGAATCCAGGTCGTTCTTCCAATAAGCAAGCTCGCATTCACGAAATCTTAGTAACTGGCAAGATATGAGTCAAGGTTTGAATTGACTTGCCTTAATTTGATTCACCTACCTCCCAGAACGAGATTCGGGTTAAACTTAGAGTATGGCATGAAACATAAACGAGGCTTTTGGATTAGTTAGGAAGTCTATTCTAGTCCTAGTCCGTTGAGCTTTGTCGGCCAATTCCTAACACTTATCTATCTTCGTCCATCTACTCTAACCTCGATGTGGATAACATACTAAAAATAGTGTATTAATATGCTCCTAGGCCATTTTTATCAAAAATTGAAATACTATTCGAGTTGGTGGGCTTTCGCCAGCGGTGTTAGGTCGTTCATACGAAGGTACATAAGATCGTCCCTAGCAGAGCGAGCAGAAAGTTCAAGCATAAATACTACTATCAAGTATGCTGGATTTGCGTCTCTGGCAAACCAGACTTTTCAACCAAGTAAGTTTGAAGCTTAAAAGAAAACAGGAAACTAGTTACACTATATTAATGATTACACATGGCGACGAACAAATATCGCTTAGGTAATCAGGGTTAAATGTGTGAATTGGGGACCGATGATCACAAATATGTAGGGGTAAATTTTGGTCATAATGCCCAGTTTGGAATCGGAATTTAATATACGTTGTGCTACATTCTCAAGGCTACTCCACTCACGTAATTAATAGATCCGACCCCCCAGCAATAATCATATCATACGTGCTGTAGGACACATTAACTTCGAGCAATTATCTATAACCCCCAACTAGCTGAGTTTTCGCTCCAATCATCATCCAGACTAGATACTGAACAAGACAGTCTATATTAAAGAAGTATATGAACCATGAGAGTCTACGTTATTACCTACCTAAGCACCCAAACACTATACGAGTATCCCCGCATGCGGGCAAGACAATCAGTACCAATAACAGCGATTCAGGCTAAATGTGGTATCATCGTAGGCGTTGTGGCGTTGGTAACTTTCCAATGAAGCCCCAGGGGGTTAATATCGCGCGGGGTTGTTCATCGGGCTCCTAAATCATGATTCATGACCGAGGGCATTCTGGCGGAATATTCGAGAGGGGCGTGCGAAGGAAATAATATTACCACCATTTAGCCGTCATTCATAAAGTCCGAGCTAGAACAACAAGAAGTGCGGGATTCCTAGTTACTTCTTATAAAGATAGAGCTAAATGCGAGGAAAAAACCCTCTAAAAGGGTAGAGACAAATTTTCGCCAACCAAAGCTCTAGAACATGGCGTGGATCACTTTCGCCGCCCTGTTCGTGGGGATCGCGTGGGCACGTGATTTTCCCAACTGCCAGTCCGGACCAGTGAGTTCCTATCCGAATAAATCCTCGACTAGTTCTGGGATGTACAGTTATATGTGTGGACTGTGCGCCTTTTCATGATCAAAGGTCGCGGTTTAGGAGGCATAACGGTGCCATACTTGCGAGAAAATCTGATTGTGTTCACAATGCATCTGGTGACTGAAAGGACCTTCGACTAATGATTGGGGAAGCTCGCATCGAATCAAGTATGCAACGCGACACTCGATCCGTGGTCGCGTGCAACCGCAGTAAGATATCTTGATATCAAGTCCATATGTGATTCAAGTCGACTCACAGTCATTGTGTAGCTCGTCACGGCTATGACCACAAGTGAGAAGATCGCTAACAGTGGGGACAATTCTCCCGGAATTTCGCGTCTCGGTCTACCGGCGTATGAATGGTGGCAGGAAGCGCTGCATGGAGTGGCCGGGTCACCAGGTCTGCAATTTGCAAACTCGGGGAATTGGAGCTACGCAACTTCGTTTCCCCAGCCTATCACAATGGGCGCAGCTTTCGACATGCCCATGATCGCCTCGGTAGCGACCGTAACCTCAACCGAAGCAAGGGCCTTTAGCAATGGCGGGAAAACCGGGCTGAACTTCTGGACACCGAATATCAACCCCTTCCGAGATCCCCGATGGGGAAGAGGACAGGAAGTCCCCTCTGAGGATCCTTATCACGTCTCGCAGTATGTGATGCAACTGATCCCTGCGCTTCAAGGCGGGCTCAACCCAGAACCATATTACAAGATCGTTGCTACGTGTAAGCACTATGCGGGATACGACCTGGAGAACTGGCATGGAATAGCGCGGTACGGGTTCGATGCCAAGATAACGATGCAGGATCTCCAAGATTATTATCTTCAACCGTTCCGAACGTGTGTTCGCGATGCTAATGTTCGCTCGATCATGTGTTCTTATAATGCGGTGAATGGAGTTCCAACGGTACGTTCCACACTAGTTTTGCCCAGTTTATAGCTGAGGCCTACTGTGTTCTTCCGGAACTGAGCCTCAGTGCCGCATTCCAATGTGATTGGGATGCCTGTCTTGAGGGGTTCATTCTAACGTAGATTACAGTGCGCGGATCCATGGTTGCTACAGAAAGTTCTTCGAGAGCATTACGGCTTTACTGAATGGGTGACAGCTGACTGTGATGCTATACAAAACATTTGGACCGATCATCATTACGGAGGGAGCGCGGCAGGGGCTGCTGCAGCTGCGATAAACGCCGGTACCGATCTTGACTGCGGGTCATTCTGGCCGCAGAATCTTCAGGCTGCTTACAATCAGCGATTGTTCAATGACACCATACTCAACCGGTCTCTAATACGTCGCTATGCGTCCATGGTTAAGTTGGGCTGGTTTGACGCCGCTGCTAAGCAACCGTATCGGCAAATAGCCTGGGCTGATGTGGCAAAGCCAGATGCAAAGGAGTTGGCGTTACGTGCCGCGCAGGAAGGCCTCGTACTGCTGAAGAATAGCGGTACTAATAAGCTGCCATTGTCTACAACGACGACGAAACGTGTAGCCGTCGTTGGCCCACTCGCGAACGCGACAACTCAAATGCAGGGGAACTATTACGGCAGAGCGCAAAGCATATCGACCATTTTCAATTCCCTCAAGGCGGCTGGCTTCGAGGTCACGTACACACAAGGCTGCGCAATTACGGGCACATCGACATCCGGATTCGCCGCAGCTGTGAATCTGGCGAAGAGTGCAGACGCCACTATTTACGTCGGCGGTATAGACAATTCAGTTGAGTCAGAAACCAGAGACCGAGAGCAGATCACATGGACCGGCGCTCAGTTATCCCTGATCCAGCAACTGGCAGCGGCCACGGGCGATAAGCCGTTTATTGTTGTTCATATGGGTACCATGGTCGATAGCTCGGCCCTCGTGTCCGAGAAGAACGTCAACGGGTTGCTCTGGGCGGGCTACCCTGGGCAAGACGGAGGCAAAGCTGTCGTCAATGTGCTAACTGGTGCCTTTTCTCCCGCTGGGCGATTGCCCATCACGCAATACCCTAGTGATTATGTCAACCAGGTCGATATGACGAATATGAACTTACAGCCTGGAAGTGGAAATCCTGGGTACGTGGGAGGGCTCTCCTCGTCCCTCACCTGAGCTTGCCGGATCCAATATACTGACAATTATCTAGACGCACATACAAGTGGTACTCCAAGTCACCGGTTTTCTCTTTCGGATATGGATTGCACTACACCAGCTTCAACGTCTCACTCCCAGCAGACTTGCCAAAGACATTCACGACAACAGATCTAACGGGCGGCAAGGGCCATGAAGGATCCCCATTAGACCTTTGGCCACTAACTTCGGTTCCAGTATCGGTCACGAACACAGGGAATGCCACTTCTGACTATGTGGTGCTCGCCTTTCTGAAGGGCGAGTATGGGCCTACACCGTATCCCAATAAGAGCCTGGTGGCTTTTATAAGACTGCATGATATCAAGCCTGGTGATACTGCTACCGGGAAGCTTGACATCAAAATTGGAAGTGTTGCGCGAAGTGACGCCAATGGGGCACTGACACTATACCCTGCAAAATACAAATTAGTATTGGACGTTGATGATCGTACAAGCTGGGATTTCGAGATCACAGGTAATGCGACGGTGTTGGATAAACTGCCAGCGAAGTAGAGTGGATATATCTGAATGACTAGCTGGGAATACAATGGGTTGAAGGGGTACAGAATGCGTCTACTCTATATACCGCTCTGACTTTGAAAAGCTGTAGCTCTGGTTTATCTTAACCATTTATACACCCATGGAATACTGATTGTTATCTTGGCTTTGACCTTCGCTGTCGACGCGACAGAGACGGTACCCAACTTGCTCCCATCGATCGTTACCAACACATGGGTTGCACCAGAGGACATCTTCTGGGTCAACTGCCCTTTTGATTTCGAGGAGCCGCTCGTAATTCTCTCCCCAAAACGTATGTTGCCAATCCGGCTCGTAAGGGTAATTCTAATAATCCTTGTCAGTCACTGCCCAGTATGAAGACAACTTTTTGAGATCCCACCTCATTCACATAAGCTCCCATATCAGGCGCTAGCTTTCGGTAGGGTTCAGTTCTAGCATTGACAATGTCGATAGCCTCGGCTCTCGCGGTAGCGTTAAGTGGAAGAAAGGAATGCCCGGTCACTAGAATACGCGAACGTTAGATCAAGCCTAACATTCTCGGTGTACTGGAGACCTCACCGGCGTGGACAACGGCCCTTCTCCAGGTTGGAGTAACTGCGGTACTACCACCTCTTGGTTTGGCATTATGTACACCTTTCCCAGCTACAAGATATGCTGATCCGGACGCGAGCTTGAAAGCTTGCCCGATATCGGCGGGGTCAGATGTCGTAAGAGCTTTTTCATCCAGAAGACGAGACCCAACATATTGATCGTAACCTGCCGGGTTCTTGTCGTACCATACATCGAACCAAGCTTTGAGGGATGGGTACGGAAAGACGGAGATCGCGGAAATTGCAGAGGGCCAGGTAGCATTGACATGAGCAATGATAGGTTCCCAGATGGCCGCCATATCACTGATATCGTCGGTATCTAGAATCTGTTTAGGGGGGAAAGGTTAGGGATCGTCAGTTATGGTAGAGACGAAAACAGGTGAAATTCTGCCGCCGAAGAATAAACGAATAAAGCACGTACCACAAATTCACCACCCACACCTGCATAGTTGGTAATGCCACCATTGCCATCTGGTCCGCTCAAGTTTTCTCCAAAGTATACGTAGCCCGATACGTCCTTTGACATGAGGTAGGGGAATTGAGAGGCTACATAACCATTCATGTCCCAAACCCAAGGTGCTTTGACATCAGGACTCAGAATTCCAATGAGCCCTGCTACTAGCTTTGGCGTTGGGTGGGTAGCTATGGTCGCCGAGGTCATGACGCCGAAAGTCGATCCTCCACCCTATGTATCGTTAGCTCTGGTGTACACGAAGAAACTCGTCGACGTGAACTTACGCCCCGCATGGCCCAAAACAAATCTTCATTTTGGCACTCGTTGGCAGTAAGAACCTCGCCCATCGGCGTGACAACCTCGACTTCCAGAACGCTATCTGCTCCCATGCCATATTTTGGACTCAGAATTGAATGACCACCGCCGGTAATATAACCACCCACACTGACTGATCGTGAATCCCCGCCTACGATAGTCTGATTGATCTTGTCTAACTCGGTATAAACGAGACTGAGCGGGGAACCGCCGCCTACAGTTACGGCGGGGCTGTCGATCGTAAAGTTGCAACCAGTTGGTTTAAACGTCTCATGTGTCTCGACACTCTGCATATGATGAACCCAGATCGATAGAGCCCCTGGCGCCTGCGAACGACCTTGGAAGTCATGGCCGGAACTCTTCACGACAACACGAATGTTGTGTTTCCGTGCTAGTCGGCGTTGATTATTAGCACTAGCAGTTTATAAAAGATGGTATTGATCAAGTTACCAAACTCGAAGCTTAGCTTCACGTCCATGGGGGTCGTTGCGTTCACGACGTAGGCAGGATATCCCGCACTACTACATGGAGTATATGGGTTAACCAGACAGGTGTCATTATTGAATTGCTGCCACATGTTTGAAATGGGATCGGCGACGTGGAAGTCGTAGGTTGACCAGGCTGCAGTGACGATGACGCACTTGTTGGCGCTGTGCGGATGTATTGTCAGTAATTAACCACCTCGTAAGCGATTAGAGATCTACTTTCAACGCACTTGTAGGTGGGCTGTCCTGGATGGCAGACAGCTCCAGGAGGAGCCCTTGGTTTGATAAGTTTTCCCCCAGTAGACTGATTGAATTGGGTCCAAGTCTCTTCAGGTGGCCACTGTTCGTGATATGTCAGTGTCTGATTGTTGATTTACCCAATTTATCGTTGATTGTTCCCAAACAAGCCTTATTCTCATGTCAAAAGTATCGATCAGGTGCATATTGAGCACATGATTTAAACCCAGGTTGGCCAATTGATTGAGCACTTACGGCGGTGGTACCAGGGAAGGCTTTGCACGTTCCATGGTCGCCATGTGCCTCAGACGGGGCCAGGAAGAAGGATGAGGCGAGAACGAATTGATATACCAGCGCTTTCATCTTGTCAGTGATGCGTGGATTGATGACGATGAACGAGATGCTCACCTTGTTAAAAGACCTCACTCTCTTCATATATAATTTCTTTTCCGAGGGGATGGCTACATAGAGTTATAACTAAGGCGGATAATAGGGCTGAAAATGAGTCGACTATGAATTATGGAGGCATGTGATCATAGCCACAATCATCATCGCTTAATTGTAATGTTTCTGCCTGACATGCAGCGTACCCTGCGTAAGGTAGTATGTTTACCAGGAGTCTCCAATTTCGCATGGGGTTCATCTGGCTTCGTATAGCTCGGGTTTTCTGTCCGCTCTTCTCAGATTGCACTTCTCGGCTAGTCTTTTCCCTATTGGGACGCCTAACCCCAACCATCAGGTCGAATATTAGTGCGGTCCTATCCGCGCCACCTTTCGCAGCATCCTTCCTAATGTATTACAACACCTGGGGACCTGGACACGCCATGGAAAGGCAAGGCGTACGAATGTCCAACCCCTGATATGCGTACTAGCGAACATCAAAGCTGGAATTGAGAGTCGTACTTCGTACGTGGGACAATCACTAGTTACGCCTTCAGCCGCACACGTGGGCACTGTGTGCTTTGAATCAGTTTTTGCCTGGCACAGTACCTTGAGCCAAAAACCCCCGGGACCCTATGACGACATGGCTTTATCTATAACTGTTGCAGTTGAGTTATGTATACGTAAGCTGGACGACGTAACCAGAGCACGACATATCTTGCCATACTTCTCATGATTATGCTGGTGCCTATTCTACATGTAACCTTTAATACTGATTTGAGCTAGACTTTAACCTGGGTTTATTGCATGTCGTATGAGGCTATCCGTATATCACTAGGATTTATGCAACAAAAGGCACTGCCCCATACCTACCTGATAGGGCAGTAGGCAGGCGGTAAGCTTGAAGACGACTTGTGCCTAGAGAAGGGCAATGAATAGAAAACATTCCAACTGACATCCCCATCAGGAACGGCTCATTTGTGTTTGTGATAGTATGATGCTATCTGGCTGATCTTCGTCGGCTAATGCGCATATTATACCAAGACCTGTGCTTGGTATCATTATCCTTGCTCGCGGCAGATCTTTCTGCATCTACCCCTAATCGGGTGCGGTGCTTGGCACATACCAGCCTTATACTGAAATGGTGTAGTGGGAGGGATTAGTAAGTGTTGATATCAGAGTTTCGGAAATTATAGACTGATTGTTGATGAACTTTACAGAAGGCATCAATGAATACCGATATAGCTCTTCAGCTTTTCGCCTAATTCAATACGTTTGGTTCTTATCTTTGTTATTTTCTCGACACTCATTAACTACCCATAATGTTGTAGAGACTACATATCTTCTTGCGTATGGAAGCATTAAGTTAGATTTAAGAGAGAGAGAGAGAGAGAGAGAGCATTGAAGGGTAGACTTGAAAGGTTTCGACCTGCCATAACGACCTTCCCACGGCAGTTAGTTAGGATGATGATGCATAGTACATACATCACATTCACCACATTTAAATGAGGCTGATGCCAGTTCTCGTAAAAAATATCTCCTAAGTAGCGCACATGAGCGTGTAGAGAAAATCTCGTCACATAAAAAGTAACTATCAGCGGGTCACTTGTGTGCCCTTGTCTTCGCATTCGCTAACAATTGGAAGTTTTCCCATTCATACATTTTTGGGAGTAGTTTAGTCACGTTGTGCTCAACTTGTATCAGATAATTCCACCCGCTTCTTTTGACATGACCAAGTGTCTCCATGCAAACTCAACTGCGCTTTTAAGATCAAATCAATCCAAAATCCAAAAGACTGCGCCTGGATTGCTCCTTGGTGGCTGTGATAGACTCAGTTTGCCGTTATCTGCTACGATAATATCTACTCAGGCCTAATGGAGTAAAAGATTACCCACTAGTTAGATGCCTTGTGATTATAGAGGGGAATCTGCAGTCACTATCGTTTGAGTGTCTTTCAACGTAGTGTCGGCCATATTCTCAGCCATGTATAACATCATTTGCTAGGGCATCTATTATAATCTAGCCTCGTACGCTTCTATTGTCAGGCATTTTCGGAAAGCGATATATTAATCAGTGCTTCTAAGGTTGTTTCAGTGGCGAAGGCTTATTACAGCCCTGGCTTGGGTCTAGTTCCCGCGGAATCCTTGTTACTGTTGCATGTACTGTGCCTTAAATTCATCAACGAACCGAAATACGATCGTGTAATCGCCCTTAAACTCCTTTGGAGTAATTCCCAGCTAAACCAGTACATACTATGTATGATTTGAGACCCTGTCAATTGGAATGACTTGCTATAGCACAACCTGGTCTCCCCAGGAACGTCAAACTACAGCCGACCGCGAAGATTGCCTCGCGTAAGGCTTTTCTGCAGGCTCTCGGAACACCAAAGAGAAAGACCAGGGCCCAATAAAACGTGGCGAATATTCTATCGCCCATGGATTTCTTGGTAAAATCAAATCTTCTCAATAGTTGTCCAATCTCAGTTGATGTTGAGGCCTGTGCTCAGGCTAGACCACGTCCATGAAAAAGTAGCCAGAATGGTATAACGATGCGGTTGTCTTGAACCGAGTTCTAGTCAGTATGCCTTGCCATTCGCTTAGAAGCATGCTCTTACGTCAATTGCTTTGAGTCGCTACAACACGCCACCGTCATGTGAATCTTCAATATTACGATCCGTGCTGACTTGTGGCTTGCCTGCGTGGCTGGTGCGTGGCAACGATTTTATTTCCTATTTGTCCCGGTGTCTGCCCCCATCTAAAGAAACTGACATATTGAGAGACAGAGGCTGATAAGAAGGGCTTCTAATTGAAGCCGTTGACAATAAGATGGCCTGTTATGGCTGCTGAGATCCAAATAGTGCACTTGGGTCCCTCTCCGTGTCTTGGCGCCCGACTTTGCTACTATTCACCCCTGACCAGATGCAAGGTGCCAATCCTTCGATCCGCAATGCAAGCTACAAATATGATGTAGGCAAGAGGTCTAAGTAAAGGCTTATCCGCACGCGGCGTGAGACCTAGGGACGAGCTTACAAGTGGTTTAATTCTCTAACTTGCTTTCTTCGTCATTTGGGGCGAAAGTCTAAAAGTGGTAGGTGCATTTTCAGAGATACGTTCTTCAAATATCTGATTGAAAGAAGATTTATTCGTAAGCCGGCATTGAACGCTTAAAAATATCTTTAATCTACATGCCGCTGAAGATCTGAAACTAGAGTTTTGGACTGCTCGCCCATTGGGGGCCTTTTGAAGCCTCTAGCTACCTAGACGCCCGGCTTGACGCTGTACCACTATGTAATGGTGCCCTACGTGAGAATGCAAAAAATTCGGTCATAATGAGGGGCTGAGGTAGGCTATGCCCCTATAACTTTTGTAACGCAGAGCGGACTTCATTCACCACGGTAGAACCAGGCGAATGTGGTATGTCCCTCTCATTTCTTGTCGCGTTCTTCTCCATTGACTTCATCTTCACATCTCTCTGGGCGATCCGAAGAACTCAGCGAATTTATCAATATTAAAACCAATTTCTATCAGGTTAGCGATGAAATTCTACCCAGAAAATCCTGGAGACTGTTAGTCAGGTTATCCTGTTGGTGGTACGTCATCTAGTCATGCGTTACGACGAATTGCCTAATTAGGCAATTCCTACGCAGGGCGGGAGCCAATAGGGCGGAGGCCGGTAGGGCGGACCTCCGGATGTCAGTTCTATATATTGATCAGTCGCCTCCCGTCTGTTTGACTGATGGTAGTCTGTATGACCTGCTACGCACCTGTAATTCATACGCCTGATTGTTGAATACAATATCTATTTACCCCACGTACAGGTTACCTTCTACGCTGCTTACTTACGTATATATGCGATTACCTAAGCTAACCCTGCATGACCTCCGAGAGAGACCACCTGTAACTGTACAAGCAACAACGAGTATGGCATTCGACCTCCCAAAGATGTTGATGTAGTTACTAATTTCTAAACAATAGTGGATGAACACTGTTGTACAGTTGTGTTGAAAGACAATCAAGCTGGCTCTTGCGATATGCTTCCGGCTACATACGGTGGGAGCGCGCTGTCTCCGGAAGACCGTATGACAACGACCGGAACAATCCACTGCTCCCTCCCTGTATCACTCGAGGACACCGATATTGACCTATTGCCCGACACCAAAGTCATCAGTATTAACCTGATCAGAAATGTATCAAATATCGAGATGCATGATCTGTTGGCTTCGAACAATGTCATTCCACCACGGCTCTCACTAGACATGGACGAATTAGCATACTTAAACCACTTCGCTGCGAGAACTCTTAACGCTGCAAATTATGCCTACTTGACAGATATTGAGCCTATATGGGACCTTAGCTCGCTTGAGTTCATGAGTGGGCGGGCCCTCAGAATTGAATCGGGTGACGCTCAGATGTACCTTTGGATGAGCTTAACTTTAGGTATGGGCATGGTTGCAATCGCTGTTCTCGTAGCTATATTTTGGATTCTCATTAGACTCAGACAGCAACTGAGATGCTTAGCAACATGGCCCCGAGCTGCTACTGAAGAGGCCCGAACACGGCAGGAGACAGAACCTATGCCGGCTGCGGTTGAACTATGTGAAGTTGAGGGGGATGGCATTGTGCGGGAGAAGCCGGATGATCATAAGTTTATCTATGAATTACCTGTGGTGCCTGCAGAGTTACCAACTTGTGCTTAAACCACCATAGTTGGGACGATGTAGGCAGCCTTGGTAGTACTAACGACTCTCTGGTATTCGGGAATCACCTACTTCCCATACACCGCATGTTGATTTTTAAGCTGCTTCAACATGTATGTTAGTGCGCTATATTATCTGATTTCTTTTATGCACCACGTTGTTTGGTAAGGATGGAGTACCCGGCGGTGTTCTGGTTTCATATCGGCGACTGGGAGAGGCGAACATTATCAATCCCCGTACCCTTTCCCGTACTTTTGGGCAGTCCCATCAGACAAGCATCGGATATTTCTCCCTCTCGCCGCTTGAATACTAGGGGACAAACCGCCAAAGGGTTATTGTGTCGTGTGTGCCTAGACGTGTTAATGCTCAGCTGCCACACCTGATCCTTACTAGTGTAGTCGTCAGTATAGCATTGGTAGCAATCGATGTTTACATATTACTGCATGTGTGGGTTGTTATCATCATCCCACCCTGTATTTAACTTGTCAACGGTACCTGCGGCTAAGCCCATGTGCCAAGGACCTACGCCACCTATCAAGAATACAGAGTCTCATAAACCATCTCTTGACACAGCGTTATTATAACTGTAAGAGGACATATTTTAGCATGCACAGCTCGTGGTCTGACATTAGGCTACAATATCCTGTCCTGAGGTATACTCGTGATACGGTAGCTCGATGGCGTTACCGCAGCATGGAACTAACGGGAAATCCCGAGGACCCGCGCAGTCCGATCTGTCTCGCTATATTAGACTTCTAACCCAATACCTTTCTCATATCCCATTGCCACAGCCGTCTTTCTCTTCTGTCCCGTTACAGACTCTACTCAAATATACCTTGTCTAATATGCTATGTTCTCCTCTTCTTTCGGCTCATAGCGGCTCCGCCTGAGGCCCAAACCTCAGCTCAGGGCTCACCGAATCTAGACTAGGCGAATTCGGTCGCTTCATCATCGCTGCTGCTACCTTAGAGTCGGTGAGCAACACATTCCAGCTTGTGACGCCGGCAGTGGCAGCTCGCGTCACTATCCGCATGGCTCTATCTTTCGTGACCATCAAGAGCATCAATGGTTCAAACCGCCTTGGTTCGCTTGCCACCATTGCCATGCGGTTAGCTGGATTGGCAATGTCCACCATGTCGATGCCGCGGTTTAGATCTACGACAGAGTATATATTTCAATTGCTCATGTTGTACAAGCGACCCGCCGTCGTGATCCAGAAGGTGTCGACCGTCCCTGCAATGACGCACTGGGCTTCGTTGGTGTGGGTTGTGACCTCAGCTAATTATAGCGGCGAGGATACCGCTTGCGGAAATTGAGGTGATGCCGGCGACCTCGAATTGGGAATCGGGTAGAGCTTTGTATTCGCGATCGCCTGTAGCATTTGGTACGCATTTAAGCAATATCCTGAATAAGATCAAATCCTTTATATCTAATATTACTGTAGTCATATAGCTGTTTCAGTTTGGCGAACGCATCGACGTACGCGAGCTTTACGGCAGATTCGACTGGCTCTTTGGCTCCATCGCCGAGCCTCAGCGTCGTCGGGCTCTTGCCATCCGGGGTCGTACTACATGACCTTCTTATCAAATCAAAGCGATAAAAATGAAATACCCATGATGAACCCGGCGTATGAAAGAATTCTTTTGAAATGCAACATGATAATGTATTCCGTTCGCAAAAAGGTATCGCTACGATTTCACTCCTGTGGTTTATCCTGGTGACATTGATTCAGTTCTCTAGAAATGAAAAACTCACTCAGCTAGAGCTCTCGACTTTTACCTACGCCATTTGTGCCATTATTGCGTATTGTTTCTACTGGGATAAGCCCCAAGCCGTCGAGACCCCCATAAGAGCATTCAGTTACAACTTCGAATTCGGTTCGAGTGGTAACAAATGGGGATATTGAGTATATTCCAAAATGGTAGGGTGGAAGTCCATTTCTGTCGCGCAATTTCTTGCCTCCGTTCGGGATGGATTCTAAGACGGTAGACCCTTCAGAGCCTACCCCCGATGATCAATCTCTCACTATTTTTGCTGTTATTTGGGACGTGTATCTATATGATGATGATGCAGCTGGCATCATCGTAGAAATGGTCTTTGGGGCTATCTATTGCCTTGCATGGAACGGCCTATTTCCCTCTTACTAGGAGTTGTATGCTTGGCGCTTCTCATCGGTTGTGATAACAGCATCATTCGTGCCATACTCCATCGCCAATAACATCTGCACCAGAGTCTTCAGAAACACTATAGATGGAAGGAGCCGGAGATCACATGTTATACGTAACTTGGCATTGCTTGTTTTCCTTGGCTTATATATTACTTGTCGACTCTTCATGCTCTTTGAAATGATTCGGGCATTGATTGCATGATCTCGGAGAAGCTAATGGCATTACATTATTCTGAAGACAATAACATCGTCAAATTTGAATATAGCACCATTATCTTGTACCTTGCTAAAGTAACCTTTTCATTATGTAGTAATAAGTCTGGCTTACAGCTTACCCAGAAAACTGGACAATAGGATAGATAATTGAGCCGTTAAGGTTTAAGATATCGTTGATGCATGGCTTGGTAGCTTGTCGGTAACCTTTAAATTTTCCTAGGAAGTCTTACTGCTGGAGCTAAAAAGCTGAGGCAAAGTCTGTATAATAGCACTTAAGGAAATGCCTGCAGAGTCCAATACATGCTAACCCTTTTTAAAACTATAGTTATTTAATAACTTTTTAATAAATAAATTTATATATTCATGTTATATAATAATAATTTTACATCTTTTCTGCTGGTAGGGAAAATGTATTGTACCTACCTCTGCCTACCTCCTTTATTCCAAGGCACGTTAATAATGGCACTAATTCAGGCAGGCTCCATGTACATCGAGCCTCTATTTGATAATTACCTCGAAGTTCACTTGCGTATATTAAAAGATACTCTTCTTAAAACCCTCATCTCCCAGCGTCCACCGAATAGACCGCCATAGTTGGCAGCTTCAAAATCATCCCCTTCACTACTATTGTGTATTGGACTTAAGTCTATCCTTATTATTAGAATAGTTGTTGCTTATTCATTTGAATAGGTTTGACCCAAACATTCAGGATGTAGTGCCATCATAGTCAGCAAAAGTTTGAGCCATTCTAAGTAATAGCGCAGAACTGCCAAGCACCTACGGAAAGTTCTTCAAGGTAGAATTTGGTAAGAGTGCCGATATATGTTGCATTCAGCGAATTCAGCTGTTGTGCGAGTAACAGCACCTCCTTACGTAGGTTTGCCTGACTATGGCCCTTTCCGATATGGTTGACGGGGCCTTCTAGATTATATCAGCTATATGCTGCTAAGCTAGCTTCACTCCTTTTTATGAAGGCTTAGGTCTCTCTCAATACCTACGTATGTACCTCAGTAGTAGCTCGTTGAAAAAGGAGTAAGCTGAAGGAATATAAATTGAACAGAGAATCTGCTCTCAATCCAGAGTTAGAATAAAAGAACAAACACAAGGAGTCAAACTCTATACATAGTAACGGGACTATTCGCGCGGCGTATCATTCAGGTTAGAGACAATAGAGCTATCAGAAAGAACACTTGATTTCCACCAAAACATGTAATCCATCGCCATGAAACAATACAGATTGAGATATTAGGAGACCCCAGTTATTCACCCCCGACGGTCATGTCCATGGCCATTTTCTTTCGAAGATTTAGAAGAATTGGAAGGGGAAGTGGCAACGATCCCAGTGTGGTTAACTGTCTTGCGGTCCTCGACCCACGCAAAGATTGCCGAGAAGTCGTTGCACTGGTGCTCATAACCCCACCCACTACTTCCGGGGTCACCTTCATGCACGAACTCTAGTGTCCTATCTCCGCTGCACGTAATAGCCTGCTGGAGGTAGTCCCAGCAGTGACCGAGATGTCCAGGTCCCTGTTCCACCGCGCCCGGGTCGCCTGCTGCAGCGACAAAGTAGCCTGTGCGTATCATTCGCTGGTTGTTTTTGAGAGTGATTAGCGAACGCCCTATGAGAAGACGTTTCATGTCGCTTTTCTGAACGAATATGTGCGTATGTGAGAGAAAAGGGAACATGCTTAGGGGCACGAGTGAGGGGCGGAGAGGGAGGAAGAGGCTTTTAATATCTGCTGCAATAGGGAAATGAACAAAGGAAAAGTGAGTAGCTCTCTTACCAGGCAATGGAGTTGGTGGAAAACGGAAACCACGGCGCGACGTTCGGAACCTAGTGCACCTGGAGGAATAGATGCGTCGTTGGCTAGGTCAACAAATCCGCCGCCCACTGTTCGCAGCGTAATTAATATATAGCTAATCACATATGGCAAAGCGACGGGAAGAAAACCTTCCCCGTCTCAGATATTGGAGAAACCCAGAATATCATAAAAGCAAAAGAGAGATAAAGACTATACCAGGAAAGAGGCTGTCCCACGCCTTTTCAGACTCGTCATCTGGGTCGATGGCGAACTGATCTTTCGGCCAGAAGACCTTGTTAACCTGGTCCTGTGGAGGCATCCACGAGGCGTGCGCGTCGTGTTCGTCAGCGCTCTGCGTTCGCGACACTATCACCGCCAGCGTGGACCCCAGGCCGGCGACGGCGAGCGTGAGGATGGCCACGATGACCCGTAGCCGGCTGTACCGCTTCTTGTAGTAGCTTGCCTGGACGGACCGGGAGGCCACCGGGCCTTCGCCCATAAGGCCGTCCTGCTCTTCGTTTTCCTCTCGCCAGGCGAATGGGGACATATTTTGGGATGGTTATAGGGGAGAAGAATAATATCAATATGAAGATGAAAATAAACGCACAGAAAAGCGAATGACGAAGACGAGGGGTATGTTGATGGCGATATGTGCGTGCTTTGTCTGCTCTACTGCCTGTTATGAGTGTACAAGGAGAAGTCAGGTAATAGTGCCTTGGAGGTCGTGAGAAGAGCGGTTCATTCAGGGCCTATTCTCTTCAAGTGATCTAACAATAGGAGGCGAGTGGACCAAGGCGCTATATCTCCCGGGATTGCTACCGCGTGTACCGCAATTGCCACAGATGCCTCGGAGGAGCAATCACCACGATAACTCTGATCACGCCAGCAGTGGCGACATTCCTGATGATATCAGTACCATGGTCGGCGATGCGACGCTGGCTGGATCGAGAGTCCCAACAAGTATCATAAGATGGTTCCGACGAGCGCGCTGTGATACTATCACGGGGAATTAGCTACCAACAACAACAGACTGCATCGGTTTGTCTCACCCTGATACCACATATTCTCCGGATCTCCCGTTCACCTATCGCCGGCAAATTACATCGTCATCGAGATGTTCATGCGGGGGTACCTAGGTATGTCCCGCTTCTTTGTGCTACCTGGAGTAATGCTTTTATCTCCGCTAGGCAGATCATGTTCCAATAAGATTTGTGTGGCACTTCCAGTACTGGTTCAATTGTGTCGAGTTGCATGATTACTGATAGCCGGCAGGCTAACGGAGAGAACCAAGAGTACTCACTGTCAGTCTATATTGAAATTAGGAGGGCAGGTAATCCTGGTAGCTGGTACTGCAACCTACACACACTTTACTATATGACATACCACCCCTATCTATAATATAAAAACTAATTAAGAATTAATTTAATAATAGTTAGTTCAAAGTTTTATAAATACATTCTTTAAAAAAATACGTTTTATTATTTTTATTCTTTATAACTTTTATTATAAATCTTTATATTAAACTTTTCTATATTTATTAACTATATTATAATATTTGAAACTAACTATTAAATCAAGAAATATTTTAATTATTATTATAATATAGTTCAATCATAATGACACTTTAAATATATAATGAGGTATAAGTGAGTGATACCTTTGGCCAGTCTAGGTGGCCTCTGGGGTTCGACCTCCGAGCTTGGCAAAAGACTTCAGTGCCCTGTACAAGTCATACAATGTACGGCCCTGCGAGAGGCAGGCTAAGTGTCTCAAGGGGCTACAGTCGGGACTTTTCCGGTTGCCACTATATGTCCGTATTAGGTGCGATTCCTGTACGATTGCCTGACAGGCCTGACCTGCGCCCTGAGTGACGAAGTCGACGCATGCCCGCGAACACACACCAGTGCCGGGATAGTTACGGATAGTGCCTGGTCAGCCTACCCACAGTAATATTTCAACTGTCTGTGGCGTTTCTAGACCCCTTTTTCCTCCCGACGATGGCTTGGTTGGCCGGCCGTTAACGGCCTCTAGGCTTGGGACCCCCGGCGCTGCGCTATACCTATCACCTTAGCGCTCATACAGATCCTCCGGAGACATCGTAAAAGAATAGGTAGATAGAGGAGAGATAGACGTGGAGATAAGGATGCGGAGAGTATGTCACTGGTAGCTCAGATATCAAATGCCGCGAGAAACAAAGGGTCTTGCAGAATCTACCTACGCGTCATAACTGGTTGGACTACGTGAGAGTATCACGAACTCTCGCATATTATCTTTCAGCCCCAACGTTGTCGCACCACACGCCTGATCTATGAGCTAACGGCGCGCCGTTGGTGCGACTCCCCGCATTGCCAGTTGGGGGGAGGCGCTTTTCTGTTGAGGAGCGTGGTTGGATACATACCTCTCAATCAAATATACGAATTTATTGGTAAATGAAGAGGGGGAGGTAACCGTAGGAGACCACTTGTATGATCACGTAAATGATGGTCAGGTGACACGATTAACATTATCATGAACTTCTATCGAGTAATGCAATAAACTGGTATTGGCCCCCTTTTTAACCTAATAGTGCTCTAAGCTTTTACAGGTAGATTTTTTTTTTAAAGAATTTTACGCTATAGAAATATTTATTTACTATCTTATAATTAGTACTAAAACATACTATGCTAAAATATACCATACCAACCTTAACCTTTAAAGACTGAATTAGCTAGTAATATAGCCTAACCCTTCTATTCAGCCTTCGTATATAGGTTAAGGCTTAAGATCTAACTTGAAGGTCCTCATGTGTAGGTCTTCACGCGTAAGTTAGGGCGCGTAGGTTAAGGTTGAAGGTCTAGGTTGAATTGCTAACTAATTCAACCTTCGCGTATAGGTCAAGCCTGCGTTCTTTACACATCATTCTAATATTTTCTACAGCGCAAGGTACCCCCCAAAAGATTCTGCCTGTAAAATCTTAGGGCACTATCAGGTTAACAGGGCGGACCAATCCCAATTGATCTATAAACTCACTTCTGCCATCTCAAGACTCAAGACAACGCCACATAGGCTATCAATCAGATAAGCATACGCAGTAGAAGGTGTAAGTGTGGATGTTGTCAATCTACCTAGTCTCAATACCTCTGCCCAAAACCAATCATAATCCCCAATACTGCCTGTGCTCTAAGCATTTACATCGATTAGATCGACATTCATCTTCATCCTTGGTTCCCACCCTGCCAATATCTAGCCTATTTAGTCATAGAGGTGCTTGGCGAGGTCCTCCGTCATATCAAAATACTCGTCCCACGTGTTACCAAGAATCTCATCATACATGATAGGCGCCTTCCTGCGCGGCATAGAAGGGTCCGGGCGAAGGGCGTCGAACATCGGCTTCGTCAGGTTCTTGATGCGGTGTTCGTCCTGCCAGTCGAGGATCTGGCCGAAGTCGACGCACTTGCGCGTGACGTCGAAGTCCGGGAAGGGCGGCTCGCGCTTCTCGTACCAGCCAAAGGTGATGAACTCAAGGCTAGGCTGGCACATGAGCCAGTGGGCCAGCGTCTCCTGGCAATGGGAGAGATGGGCGCCGTAGCTCGCGGGGTAGCCGTCCGGAAAGTAGATCGGGTAGTTGTGGAAGAGGCTCTTGCGCATCGCGTTGAAACAGTGCAGCAAGTGTATCCCGTCGATAATGGCTATGTAGCGCTCATCGCCCTCGTCGAAGCTGTCTTCCGCCCCGTCGAGCCACGATGCGGGCGTGCGCACCGAGTTGTCCGGGCTTTTGCCGAGTTTGAGGAGCTGCGCTCTGGAGATCTCGAGCATCCCGACGTCCGTGACGTGGGACCAATACTGGTTTACCTCTTCGCTGGGGTTCTGGCGTGTGATGGATCCATTAGCGTCCAAAGGGAGCTGCTTATTCAACTGAGGTCCCCACTGCGGCATCATGGTATCGAGAGCCGGCGCTGCAGAGATCATAGTCAATATGTTAGTTTCTCGTGACAATAAGGATGTGGAGCTGAGTCGGGCGTGAGGAGAGAGAGGACACAGAGTAGTTGAATTACTGACAATAGAAGGCTGTGTGCCGCGAGATCGCTCTCTCACAGTTTTCACTTTGACGGAGGCCATACTTGAAGAAGAAGAACGATCCCAAGAATAGTCCAAGGGAGACGAGTAATAGCAGGACATTCCCGATGATGAAGTAGTTTGACACCTTCGGACGTGCTAGAACTTGAGTAGAAATGTGAGTTGTCTATCACCAAGAAGACAGAGGTTCATCTAGAATGCTCACGAGTAGTTGGATCTTGATCAGGATCCTCTCTGTTAGATTCTGCTTCATCTTGGAGCAACTCCTTGTACGAAGGGATGCCCTCTGCTGCCTAAGTAAACAGGATTTTATCAGCCTTTTTGTCTGGGGAGGGGTAAAAGGTGTTTGGTTGGGGCTCATACCATCGTGTTTTCGTGTTTACTGGTTTTCTTCCATGTGAACGAAGGCATATTTTGTGTTGGGAAGTAGTGTATATAAAAGCTCATAGACAAGTCGAGGTTGGCAGTTGGGCCTTAACTTCTGCGAAAGGATGTCATGGGCTTAATATTGCATACCAGGGCGTTCTTGATACCTGCCTACCTCAGTTCTTGCCTACCGCCCTAGTTCGATAGATCCTTGCGTCTCCGAGGTTCTAGGTCCGAAGACCAGGAGTCCCGATGCCATTGAGCAGATTATCATCGATTATGACGGCAATATACAACGTCACGCATGCAATTCTTCCGACGCCCTCATGTTAAACGAATCATAACGTCATGGGTCTTCATAAAATAGTATTATACTGCTTGGATTGCCGAAGCGCTTAAATGTTGATCGAGCTTAGCGCGATATAGAAGAGAGATTCATAAATATATAATAACTTATAGTTAATCATTATATAAATTATTTAATTTTTTAATTTTTAAAATATAAAAAATTTAAAAACTTTAAAATTAATAAAAAGTGATAATATTTTTAAAGTAATAAGAAAAAGAATTATATAAACTTTAATTATATAATTAGCTTAATAGTAACTATAACATTTTATCTTAATTAAATATATGTAACGCAGCTTCGTATAGCCTATGTCCCCCAATATATGCGTTTAATCAATCACCTAAACCTTGTTTAAGTGAAGTAGGACAGCGCCAAAGGCGCGCTATCAGGCTTCTGCTAGGTAGTGGCAACTTGTTAGAAATAACCACTGCGCCAAAAGGTAGTTATAGGTGCCCCCTTATTAAGGGCTATATTCTGACACAACTATCTACTTCACATCTAGTGTAGGACCTACTCCAGATCTGGCTTCATCCACATAATTCTATGATTGGGTTATGCGGGTTCACTAAACCCGTTACACAACGATCTATCTTTCAAGCTCGGATCGTTCCGATGTTGCACTTTGGAGGTAGGAAATTTTCTATTGATCATGATGTAGCAATATCTCGCGCCAGAGAAGAGGGATAGTATGATCTGATCGGGTATGCAGCTCTCCCCGACTCCTGACCAAGAGACTAATAGTACACGTCCGGAACTTTCCAAGGTAGTATTCGAATGAACAACAAAAACCTCGTTGGAGCTTGAGGATTGACGATTGTGTTTCGATTGAGGAGGAACGGATCGTGACCGGCGTGGACCAGACATGTAGCCAGGCATGCACCTCAGCCTCGTTATACGTGAGCTACCAATTGTATAACCTCGCGGTCTTCTACGAATGGTTGATATCGGCATACCGATCGACGCAGTGCAACGAAATATCAACCTTGGTCGAGGTCGGCTGTGTATAGCCCAGCAGTCTTTCCGTGTCTGATGGAAGATGGTAAGAGAACGATGAGTGATGACCACTCTCTTGCCACAAACTGATGAACGGGCAAGGGACGAGGAAACCACAAGGAAAAGATACAACGTAAACACTCAATCTATAAGTAAGACTCAATCTCCTCCCCAAGGCCCTCGACTTCTTTCAGTTCAGCATCCTCATCACAATTCAAAACTCAGATCTCGAGATTGGCCCATTCCAAACCACAAGTCAGTTCTCTCCCTTGACTCCTAACACGGGCTCAGCTCATACCAACCTGTGCAGGCTTTTCCTGGAGCTCCTACCACAACCGCCAACATGCAATTGACATCCTACATTTCCATCATCGTGGCCATTGCCGGCTTTGTCAGCAGCGCCCCATCCCCTGCCCCTGCCAACGGTGTCGGCACCATTCAGGTCAGTTCGCTGTAGTCTTGTATTTCCAATTTCGGACCTCCTTGCTCCTGCGTGCTCCTGAAGAACGAGGTGAAGTCTTATCCTGTTTCCTATTACTTACTCCAGAGGTGCGAGTAGGCACGAAAGTCCGAGGATGGCGATGCCGCCGCGAAGAGGTCGGCCGGCCGCTTCAAGCCCATCTGGGTAGTTGGTTACGACGAAGATGAAGAGAAAGGCGAACACATCGGTTTCCGCCTCTTTTCCGAGGGAGACGATGACGATAGCGCCGCTCACGGTGAGGGCATGAAGTCCCATGGGGGTAAGACCAAGGCCCACGCGCCGGAGGGCAAAGACGACCACGAGTCCTCGTTCTGGTACTACTACTATACTTATTAGGCGAGCGTTGCCGGGGGAACAGCCGCGGAAATCAACATCACGCAGTCTCACGTTGGATGGGGAATGAGTACTAGGCCTCGCGCTACTTTCCGTTCATTTACACGCAATTTTCTAGTCAGCTACTCGTAACAGATAGGAAGGATCTGCTTACCAATACATTCATTTGGTCATAATTAGGTGTAGAATTGTGCACTATTGTTGTTCTCCATTAAACCCGCCGTGCAACACCCTTCTAAGCCCCTAACCCCTAGATCACGAATCGCAATGTAATCGCCAAATTATTACAACATGACCGTCAAGCAGTCAGAATCAAATAAGTATCAATTACAGCCGGCAACAAAGCCATAGGGCCAAGATCCTTCCCTCCCGCTCCCTTTCCTTCCTTCCTTCCTTTCCCTCCCCGCCATACTCCCACCCCATCTCCTCAATTCCATTTCCAAATATCAGAACTTTTAATCTTTAAAGCCTCGATACCAACACTTCAACATTTGTATGCAAAAATCCATATTAACGAGGGTTCCATTTTTCAACACTCTATCGCATCCTGCTTTAGTTTGAGGACGTGGCGCCTTCGTTGACGAGTTCGCGTTGACGATGGTCTCTAGCCTCCGGACAGAATCATCATCAGCATCATCATCCCCATCGGTATATTCTCAGGTAACGGCTGGGCTGGCGAGACCCCGAGCTCAGGGGGTCACACAAACCCATCGCCTCCTTCCCCAAGCCCCGAGAAATCTTCCCAGCTCCGGACTCGGATGAGGGGCACTTCGAAACCGGCGGCCTTATTAGGGAGCCCGTGCCTAATGTGCTTATCAAAGAGAGGAATCTCGAGGGGATAGCCGCCTGGATGTGCACGAAGAAAGGAAAGTTTAAGCACACTAAAGGCGACAGGGTTAAGGACTAAGCATCAAGCTCTCCAATGGCGACAAGATGGCCCGCAGCTTCTACTGCTACCACAACAGCTGCGACGAGGTGCCATGGAAGTACAACTCGATCCCCGCGGGAAAGACTCGCGTCGTGGAAGTGCCCACCGGCTTCGAGGGCCGCATCACGCGCGGCAACAATAAACTGAACGTGGCTGGCGTTCCGCGCCTGCTCGGTACCTGGTTGGAGTTCAGCCTCAACGCTAGCAATGCTATCTAAGGCAACGTTTCCCTTATCCGCCAGGTAATGACGAGCCGCCGTCATGCGGTCTACGGGTGCGCACCTCCAACGCCGCACCGGTTTCTACCAGTGGGTTCTCGACGGTGCCCGCCGAAGGCTTACTCGAGAAAGGTGGACGGTAAGAAGGTCATCGACCCCACTGAGGGCAAGCATGCCGCCATTCGGCCCGTCGCACGCCACTGGGACGGACCTCAAGAAGGTGGGGGCTAAGCACGCTTACGTCGACGATGTTGGCCACGGAAGCCTGGTCATCAACTCGAGCAGTGGACGCTTTGGAATTTAGTTCAGCTGTGACCGAGTCTAAGGGTGAAACACCCATGCTTGCAGACAGACATTTTGAGACCCTGCCCCTGGCAATCTAGTCGCGCAATATCAGGACGCTCACTCGTGGTTGGACTGGTGCATTTTCAAGGCTGGCTAATCACAGTCGTGAACAGATATCAGAGTTTTTCATTTTATGTCATTGGTCATAATTTCCTACGCAAAAGTTATTTTTGCACTTATATACCTGTAGATTATTACAGTGGAGGGTTACAGTGTCTTACGATTGGGATTTCCTACTTGTTGGATCACTAGACCGAGGTCACAACTATCATACCTCACCTATAATCCTTCGAAATCCCCTTTCTCGCATTGATGTTTGTTGATTCTAGTTGGGAAACACTGCTTTACTAGTACTCTGTGATAATGGCGTTTATTCTCGTTCTTTCTGATTCCGCCATTATCCCAACTCAATCTCGATTTTCAAGTTCATCGTTGTCCTAAGGGCTTTAGTATTGAATGATGATAAACAACTGACTTAATTACTCCCCTCTACCTTATCTCCCAGGATTTTCGCGTAGCACATGGCTGATACAATAAGAGATATCTCGGAGCTCCCTCCCGACACTAATAGAGGGTATATCATCAACATCTTGATCTGGGTCGGGGGTGGTATTTCCACAATCTGCGTCATATTACGAATCTATAGCCGCATATACATAATCCAACGACCTGGCTGGGACGATGCCATTGTCGTTTGCGCCACGCTGCTCAACGTTTCAACCAGAGCGCTTACGTCCGTCACAGTAGCCCATGGCCTCGGTCGACACATATACTATCTATCCAGCGACGATATTTATGTTATTACCTACTATAACCCCATCTTGGAGACTCTTGGGATCATCGCGTATTGCTTGCCGAAGCTTGCGATCGTTATTCTGATCAAGAAGTTGATGGGCACAGTGATGCGGGGTATCTGGTTCCTGTATGGTGTAATTGTAGTGCTTTTCGTCACAACGGCAGTATCTATTGTAATTGTGTTCTTGGAATGTAATCCACCAGGCCAAACAATACATCCGTTCTCATCTACACGATGTATTCCCATTCATGTCTTTGATATTGTCAACACCCTGGCAAGCGGTCAGTGACAATACCTTCCGTGGACCTTCTTTACTCGGTTGATCTCAAGTCAATCACTAACTCGTCTATAGCATGGTCCGCCTTTACTGATCTGGTTCTGGCTATTTCCCCAGCTATCTTCCTTTGGAACCTTCAAATGAAGATGTCGCGAAAAATCACCGTTATACTAATCATGGCTCTGGGATTTTTGTATGTTATATCACACGATACTATCAGTAAGCCTATTGCTGAGACCATTCTTCCATAGTGCTATGATTGCTGCAATCGCCAAGACTCTCCAGCTTCCGAAGCAAAATTCGCCCGACACAACTTATGACATATTTTGGCTTTGTTTTACATTCGCGTCGGTGCTCCAATCCTCATCCATAACTATCCCTTGAAGCCTCACTAATCTTGTCCTGTCAGTATTGAAACAGACCTGGTTATCATCGCTTCCTGCGCGCCCGCATTTCCAAAGCTCTGGGTGCATGTATTCAGCAAAAGGCAAGACCAGTCCGCACTAATGTGGTACCATTCTGTTAGGCCACCTTGGTATGGCTACCAAAGACAAGGGCGCGAAGATGAAATGATTGGTTCTCACCACACATGGAACTCTCATCTCACGAATGGACAAACGAGTTCGCTTGAGAATAGGAATTCGGGAGAGACAGACGAATGGTACTAAGTCTCCATAAAACCTAAGGTTCCATTGGTGCTACGTCCATCTTCAATAGAAGCCATTATCATCATTAAGTCAGGAGTATTGCTTGTCTTAACCTTGGACTCACATCCAGAACCAGTATACCTAGAAAACTAGGAGGCTGTGGTTGTGCTTGATTGCATTACAGAGAGTTCGGCTTGATAGGATCATGGCAACAAAGATTCATCTCGATTCAGTAATAGTATTCCTGAGATTCATATTACGGAATACGACAGTCCTTATTTTGAATTCTGCATGTGGAATTTGACGTGAAAGTTAGGCTCCCGCGTTCTAGTCTTCTGGTCCCAATATAGTATAATTGATGTTTTTGAAATAAGAATACACACAACTATATTATACTAAATTAAACATGAGCTGAAAGAGCTGTTATATAAGGAGCATGTTATTATTAATATAATGCTTTAAGGACTAAGTAACCTTTTTTTAATAATACTATATTAATATAATTTAATCTTAAATAGCTAGCTTGCTCCATTTAAGAATCGTAGCATAAAGAGGTGATTGATGGAAATAATAAGTAGCCTAAGCTGTCTTAAGGTATTTTAAGGTGAAGTTAAACTGAATCGCTTACACTGAAACTCTGAATCCTTATATTATATTAGAACTTTACAAAGCTAATACTTAGCTTTATTAAGTAAAAACCCTACCTTACAACCACCCCTTATTATAACCACCCCCCCTACTTATTAATTACTTAACTTTTAAAGCAATTTTCTTAATAAATATATTATTTATAATACTTTTTTTAATATTTTTAATTAAATCTATTATTTTTAACCTTAATAACCTTTTTTATATTAATATCTTTATATTTTAAAATGTATTAATTAATAACTTTATTAATATAATATATCTTATACTTAATTTAATTATTTAATTAAGCTAACCACCCTTTTAACCTATTATAATTAAAGGTTTAAGGTATAGCTATATTAATATTATAAATAAAAATTTTAAATTAAAGAAGGAAAAAAGAAAAGATAAAACTAAAATATAAATATATATAAAAATATATATAAATTAATAACTATTATAAGTTATATAACCTTATTAATATAAATTTTATATATTTTTATAATATTTCTTTATAATATATATAATATTTTAATATAATATATATTTAATATATTTATTATATTTCCCTTTATTAAAATTAAAATATAAGTATAAAATAGATTAAAAAACTATTTATAATATTTAGTTTTAATTATAATGCTATTTTATATAATAATATTATTATTAAAATAATTAATAATAAATTTATTAACTATTATAACTTTTATTTATTTATTTAATTATTTAAATAATTTTAATATATTAAACTATGTTTTATAAAACTTTTATATTTTAATTAATAAGTTTTTAAAATTCTTTATTAAATATTAAATATTATTAAAGTTATAACCTTTTTAAGTAATTTAATATTATAGTGTTTTATTATACTTTATTATTTATAATTTAAATAATTATTTAACTTTTTATTTTAATTCTTCTTTAATATCTTTAAATTTTAATAATAATTAAGTTTATTAAAATAATAAATCTTTATTTATTTTATATAAATAATTTATATAAAAAAGGTTTAATATATAATTATATTCTTTCTTTTTAAATATTTTAAAAGGTTTAACCTATTAAAAGTTTAATTAAATAATTGGGCTATTAATTATAAAGCTCTTCTTTTTTAAAAAAACTTTATCTTTTATATAGAAATTTATTAAGCATTACTTTTTATTTATTTATATTTTTTATCTTTTTTATATAGCCTTTATTATTTTATAAATTACCTTTTATACTTTATAAATTTATTATATTAATTATTAAACTAATCTTTTAAATATTATTTTTTTAATAATATTTAATAAAGGTAATAATAAAAAGTTCTTTATATTAATTTTTATTAAAACCTTTAATAATATTATATTAATAATTAAATATTAAAAGGTATTATATATAAAATTTAATATAAATAAATAAAAGCTTTAATTATTTTAATATTTATTAATATAAAAGTATAATTATTAATTTAACTTTTAATTTATAAATTTTATAGCTTTTTATATTTAAAGGTAAAGGGTACTTTTATATTAATATTTAATATAGGTTAATTTATTAATCTTTATTAAAAAGTATAAAATAAAGAATTTTATATTATTTAAAATTTATACTTTTAAAAGGTTTAAAAAATAATAAATATATTTATAACATTAATATATTATATTTTTTATTATATTATTCTTTTTATTAAATATTATAATTAATAAATAATTAAACTTCTTAATAAATACTTATATATAATTATAATTATATTTATTTAAAAATATATCCTTTTTATTAATTATAATATAGCGTTAAATAGTTATAAAAATTAATAATAAATATAATAATTTAAATATTTTATTTTAAAGAACTTTATTTTATTAATAATTATAATAATTATAAGTATATATTTAAATATTTTATTTTAATAAAGGTTAATAATAATCTTATTTAATTATTTTAATATATTTATTTTATTTAAGGTAAATAATAATTATTAAATAATAAACTTCTTTAATTAAAGCTATTTAAAAACAAATTTTTAAATTAAAGGTTTACTTTAAAATAATTAATTAATAATCTTTATATTTTAAACCTTATTTTTCGTTTTTTTATTAAATTAAATTTATTAAATTAAAGTTATATAATATTATTACCTCTTTTTTTATAACTATTATTAGCCTATTTAAAGCTTTAAATAAAATTAAAGTTATATTTTATTTTTTAACCTTATAAGCCTTAACAGTTAATAGATTAACTATTTTATAAAATAATATATTTATTATTATATTTTTTTAATTAAATTAATATTAAAAGATAATATTAAAGTTAAATAAAAAGTTTACCTATTTTATTTATTTTATAAAAAGAATTCTTTTAATAATAAAATATAATAAAGCTTAATAGTTAATTATTATAAAGAACTTTATATTTAATAGTTTTAAATAATTATAGTTTATTATTTAAACTATAATTAATAATTTTTTATTTTATATAAGATAAGTTTATTTAATTAATAATATAATTTTTAAAAAGTATTTTATAAGCTTTTAAATATTATTTTTTTATTATTATTAAATAGCTTTATTAATAATATTTTAAAAAGTATTAGTTTTAATTTTAATAAATTAATTATTATAGGTAGGTTAAATCTTAAAGGTTAATTATAATGTTATAAGTTTTTTTAATTTTATAATAGGTATTTAATAAGATTAAAGCTTAAAAAAGGAAAAGATTTCCTTTAAAGCATATATAAAAAGGGTATATAATATATATAAAGTATATATATTTTAAGGGCCTTAAGATATTATAATATAATAATTACTCTTTTTTCTTTAATTAGGTTATTTTTAATTTAATATATAATTAATCTATTAATTAAATATAAAATAAAAAGTTTAATTATAGTTATGGATTATGGCCAGTGGCAGTAGGTACCCATGTACCCTATACGTATAGGGCTATCGAACGGTCCACTATATTTATGTACGCCTGCTAGTCTGGACAGCTATTGCCACCTAACCTACAAACCGCAATTATTCTTATCCTATAAAGGACCTAGCCAAAGAGGGCTACTATATAATAGTTCTCTTTTTTTCTTTATATTTAAATTAATATATAATTTTAATTATTATATAAAGCCTTATCTTTAAAAGTAAAGCCTTTATATAATAATTTAAATATTTCCTTTATTATAAAGGTATAAGGACTGCCTTTTTAAATATTTCCCATTAATTATATAAAATTAGGTTAACGTATAAATTATTTTATAGTTAATTAGTTCTAATTTAAACCTATTCTTAAATTAAAAAGATTAGGCTATATTATATTAAATTAATTATAATATAAAATAATAATATATATATAGCTTAATAAAAGCGTATTAAAAAAGAAGTCCGATTTTTATTAAATAACGTTACTAATATATAGCTACGAAATAATAAGGAACCTTATATTAAGTTTTAAAAATAATCTTTTGGAATTTTAACCATATTAAAACCTAACCATAAAGAGATTATTACTATAGGTTATAAAGATAAAGGTAAAGATTCCACTTTTAAAAGAGCAGTGCTATATTATTAAATTACTATTTTAAAGCTTATATTTATTAATAAACGCTACATTATTAATAACTTATAATATAAAAAAGAAGGTTAAGCATTTATTAATAAATTAGTAGAAAGCTATATTAAAGATAAAATTCCTATAATACCGTTTATTATATTCTTTATAAAGCTAAAGGTAAAAATTCCTAATTTTAACAATATAATAAACTTTATAGCATAAAAAAACATATTAAAATACCTTAAAGAAATATAGTAAAAGTTTAAACTATAAACCTTTATAATAATAAATTATTAATAGTAATTTTAAAATTTATATAAGCTATTAAAAAAGAATAAAATTATAATAAATATATTAATGCTATAGGTAAATAAATTAATAGATATTAATAAAAATAAAGTAATTGAATTTTATAATAATATATATAACCTATATATATTATTAAATAAATATTATAATAAAGATAAAATAAATAATAAATGCTTAAAAGGTTTAATATATTTATAAGTTAATTAATAAATTATTAATAAACTATTTAATAAATTAATAACTATTATTATTAAGTATAATAAGTTAAAAGCTTAAATTATTAAAATTAATTAATATATAATAGATTTAATTAATTAATATTAAGGTATTTTAAAATTTATTTATATTAAAGGAAGTATTTATAAGTTTATTAAAGTATTAATTTCCAAGTTTTATAATAATTTTATAAAGGATAATAATGCTTTTAAAGTATAGTACTATAATATAAAAGGTTAATTAAAAACTAATTATAATTAGTTTATTATTAATTTAGTTAAAATATAAGATATTAAAATATATTTAAGTAGGTTAGCCTTTAAAGATTTATAGCCCTACTTAAAAAGCTTTTATTTAAACTAAATTAAAACCTTTAAAAAGTTGTTCGATTATTTATAAAAGATCTATTATAACGTAAATACTAATAAAAAGGTTAAAGTAGAATATTATAACCTATATATAAAAGATAACTTTAAGAAGTTTAAGCTTAAAAAGTTTCCCGCTTTTAAAAATAACTTTATACATTTAATTAATAAAATTAAC